CTAAAACAATTCATTAACAATCATACATTTCTTTAAGAAAAAACATGATTATGAAAATACTGATCGTAACTGCGAAAATGTGTTGCATCACTGTAATGTAAATTATTCAAAGACGACGAAGCGAAAGAACGCAATTTCTATAAGAGATTTCATCATTCTTGGAAATAGCCATATGCGTCATACTCTCAACATATTTTAAATCCCCATATTTTCTACATTCAACGATATACATTTTACTGGTTCGTGGAAAAAGTTTTGTTATTTTATCATAGATATCATACACGTGGTTATATTCGCGTTTACAAACGTTAATCTATTTCGTTATAATCATTTCAGAAGTAAACACAACTAGGAAAATGACAAAATCTACTATTGTTGTCGATAGCGCTCGTGGATGGTGGATCGTTTTTGCATCGTTTATGGTTCATTTCATTATGGATGGGTAAGGAATGTGAACTCTATATCGAATTTTGTTAACTATATAATAACATTGAATAGAATAACATATTCGATGGCACAAGTGTTCTTAGAACCAATGAGAAAAAATCTATCTCTTTCACGAGCTGCGGTATCGAGTATTTTCAGTATTCTACCTGCAGTCACTCTCGGAGCTGGTTAGTTTGGATTCTAACGTAGTCAAAATGATGTAATTCACATTTTCTTTAAGGACCGATTGCCAGTGTTCTGATTAATATGTTTGGATGTCGAGCAGTGGCTATCATAGGTACTTGCATTGCTTCATTCGGTTTCTTTTTGAGTTATTGGTGGGCAAATATCTGGTTTTACTATGTGACCATTGGTATTGTTGGAGGTATGAAAGGTTTACTGAAACATCTGTTCATGCAACTTTGATATTCTATAGGTCTTGGATTTGCGTTGATGTATTTGGCAGCGATTGTTTCCGTTAATAAACAGTTCAAATTGAAACTCTCAACTGCTATGGGGATCGCTGTGTGCGGTTCTGGTGTTGGAACGTTTGTTCTTTCTTATATCATGGATGGTATCGTCAACATACGCGCTTGGGTCACTTATCCCTACGGTTTACTCATCGAGGCGGGTATTATTACCTTTGGTGTGGTGTGTGGACTCTTGCTGGTAAGTAGCTCTGAGATGATAAGAGTAAGGATTGATTTTCTGACTTAGATTCCTAAAGAACATGAGATAAGAGAAGCAAATGTTTCAAATACTTTAATGCAATCGAACGGAGAAGCAAATCTTGTCGTGGAGAATGATCAGGTGAACACCAAATCAACGTCGAAATCGTTTTTTAAACAAATCCGTGATGAAATTGATCTGAACCTGTTTCGAGATGTAGCATTTAATCTTTTCGTCTTCTCGAATTTCCTCACGAGTCTTGGATTTAATGTCATCTACAACTTTGCCGATGATCTTGCTAGTGACGCAAAAGTCGTCAAGGATCTCAGAACGTACATTGTCATGTCTATTGGTTTATCGAACATTCTTGGTCGTTTAGTCATCGGATTTCTAGATGATCGAAAATTGGTCAATCGTCTTCTGCTATTTATTTTAACATTACTCCTTTCGGGTGTTGCTACCATAGCAGCTCCATTGTGCGGCTCCTCGGTTATCTCTCATATTGGTTATGCATCCGTCTTCGGGTTCTTTTCGGGTGGCTATGTTACTTTGACAACCATTGTTCTTGGTGATATTATTGGAGTCGAGAAAATATCGGATGGATCTGGTATTCTTTTCTTTTTCGTCGGTGTTGCAACGGCGATCGGTACACCCATTGTTGGTAAGAACTTTCTCGATGACCGAGACTCTTTCTCTATCAAAATGACTTTTTTTAGGAGCAATGCGAGATGCATTTTCACATTTTGCTCGTCCCTTTTTCTGGCCATATGTCATCTTCGGCGTTTGTACCATTGTCAGTGGAATTTTATTGTTCGCCATTCCTCTTCTACAGAAAAACAAACGTTCAACGAAGAAAACACCAACGGTGGAAGACAATGAAAATACTAGTAATCAAGTGGAATCGTGAACAGAATTCAGTGCCGCTCTTGTATCATTCTATAATATTCTGATTAAAGAAAAAAGAAAAAGCGTCATTCGAATGAAATATTTACATTTTTTTGTAGAATCTAGGGTAATTATATTAAAAGGATGGCACACCTACGACATTATTTATGTCGATTTGAGGTTGATCACGTTTGAAATGAATTGACTTCAGGCAATTCATTCATAGGGATTATAGGAGAAAGAAAATCTATGGCGCAGTACATTTCTCTGACACAATTTCAATCGACACCTGATGCAACATGTTCGTTGATATACTTGATTAGATCGTCATACACATCTGGACGTGACTGATAGCTTCTCATCTGAACAATTTGTCACAAACAGCTATTTAGTGTCTATAGAATACTTTGTACTTGCTGAAAAACGCATAGTACTTGGGAGCATTTCTCTTTAATTAAATCTAAAGTCTATTCTGTACGGCGTTATAATTTTCTCTTTGTCACTTTTTCATAAATATAAAGGACATTACACCTCGTCACACAGAAATTCATTACAATGTCGGCAGCCTATTACTATATCTTATCTCTAGCATCAGCTAATACAAACATCTACAAAATCGGTGGGCCTATTCTCATTGCCATAGGCACTCTCAGTTGTTTCATATGTCTGAGCGTGTTCACCCGAAAATCTCTGCGTCGAAATCCCTGCTCGATCTATCTAATTGCATCGTATCTTTCAAATTTTCTGATGATTTACACATCGATATTGATTTCGACATTAGGCACTGGTTATAACATCAATCCGAGTGCGTACAACCTTGTCTTTTGTCGCTTTCGTTACTATATCACACTTGTTTGTGATGTGTTGAGTCCATCTTATCTTATCTTTGCTGCCATCGATCGTGTCTTTGTTACCTCACGTGATGCTTTGGTACGACAACGAAGTACTCCTCGTCTTGCATATCTATGCATTATTGTCATCACTTTGTTTTGGTTAATCTTTCATATTCATGCATTGGTGTTTACAGTCATCATCGATAGTGCATCGAATATTGGCGTTTGTTATTTTCAACCGGGCATGTATCTGACATTAATCAGTTATTATTCAATGATTATCAAAGCAATTCTCATACCACTGTTGATGATTATTTTGGGTTTATGGACTGTGAGCAATGTGCGAGCTTTGAGTAATGTAGCAGCTATTACTACGCACTCATCGTTAAGCGGTATTGGCGCGGCAATGGGCGGTATTCGTTCTGCCCGTTCGAAGGATCGGCAATTGATCAAGATTATTCTTGTCGATACTTCGATTTATATTCTATTCAATACAATGATATCTGTTCTTCTTGTTTACCAACAAGTAATGCAAAACCAAGTTCAGCCTTATGTCCAGCTGTATCTACAAGGATTTGTGATGAGTGTGAGTGTGTTTAGCGCGTATATTCCGTTTTGTATTGGATGTTATACTAATTTATTTGTATCGAAAACGTTTCGACATGAAGTGAAAAAACTTCTAACATGTCAACAGTAGTAGTGGAAGACATTATTCGATTATCTAAAGCTAACCGATCGACAAATGACGGAACCATTTGCACAATTTTTTTCGCAATAAATAGCAATCATTCCATTCAGTAGCGAATCTTTTGTTTGATTTATTGTTATTCAAAGAGAAGTGAATATGACGAAAAGCAGGTTACGGAAAGAAACAGACTGTTAATTTGTTCTATACTCAATATTTTCTACAAATTTGACACAACGATTCATTGAAAGTCTTCCGATACGAATTCGACGGTACGACAAATACAACAAAGATCAGTATTGATGGTACAAACGAAATAAAATAGCCACAGAGATATACCCATGTATGGTGAGACANGAAGCACAAGCATCGAATACCATCAAATTTGCTTTCAAACTATGGGTGTTGAGGCGCAAAGGAAAAACACATTCTGTACGGTATCTTTTCACAGAGCAGAAGTTTTTTCGTTCAATCAATATAAGCAAAGAGATCAAACAAGAAAGAAAACGAGTTACGGAAAGTTTAGTCAATCAAACCGAAATATTCACGATGCAACGTAGTGGAAATGAGAAAATCGATGCAGTTAGTATTGAAATGAATGCAATGAAAATGAAAGTCGACAAAATCGAAGAACAACTCGTTGAAGTACAAAAGATAATGAATAACATACAAAACGGACTGAATGATTTGCTCTCTAATGTCGCACAACAAAGACGCTCATAGCGAGTAACTATCAAAGTCTTTGAATGTCGAATGAATTTTGTATACTCATCTTCTATAAGATTAAAATTTAAGTTAAGCGTTAAGAATGATATATGAGCGTATCAATGAGTTAACTTGTCTTTCTGTCATAGACTGTGACAAATATTAAACGAAATCGAAGATTTTGTTGTGAAAAATATATATTCATCAGCGAGACGATCAATTACTCTTGTCCAACATATGAGATGTCCTTATATTCATCAAGATGCATTATCGTGTGCGATCAACAGTGAATAGTGAGTGGCGACAATGTCGTCGACTGTTCGTGAGGCTATTCTCATTTCTTAGAACGTCATGTAAGAATAAACTTAACTTCATGGTACATACTGTCATCTCTATCAGCGCTCACGAACATACACTCTATTGTTCAAAAGTTGATATAAGTTTTTTCTCGAATCTGACGATGTTTCGACGATGATGTTAATGGCAGTTCGTGATGCCTGCATGATCGAAAGTAAAAAAGAAATACACTTCATGTTGGATGACATTAATGCATCACAAACAGAAACGAATGCAGGTGTTGACACAATGAAAATGCCTTTGGATTTGAAAACGAAATGACGTAGATGCATAGTTACTGACGCATGTGACGCTAAAATTAATCTACAAGAAGCATTTCGTTTTTTTTGCGTCTGTGCGTTGGTGTTTCTGATAGGTTATATACATAACTGCAGTCTGTTTTTTCAGTCATTCATTGTACATTCGCATTGACGGTCAATTGCCATTATTTATCAAATTAAATGCAAGCCGGATCGAATTTTGTTGGACCTCGACCCACTGGTTCCTATCCCACAAGCTGTGTCTGCTGGAATTGTCAGAAACAAGTTGTTACTCGTGTGGAAAAGAAAAATGGTCTGGTAACATGGCTCAGCTGTGGAGGTTTAATTCTGTTCGGCTGTATTTTTGGTTGCTGTTTGATTCCATTCTGTGTAGATGCATGCAAGGTCAGTCGAATTTTTTCTTCCGAATATCTTATGTGTTTTATTTGATGTTGTGTAGGATACTGTGCATATTTGTCCGAATTGTTCTACAGTTCTTGGCGAACAAAAAGTACTCTGATCGAAAATATTTTTCATTTGTGATATCATATTGAAATAATAAACGAGAACAACTTGATTTATTTTTATCGTTCTCTAACAATTCTGACACGATTAATGGACATGTAGACGATATGAGTATTGCTGATTGGTTGAACAGTACATTGCAAACACAGTAAGATTTTGTTAAGCTTTGCTCGTAGTTCGGGTAATGACGAAATGGTAAAAATTAGAAAAAGAAGAAATGTGTAATAACTGACAAATATCATTCGTAACGAGAATTCTGATCCAACAGATGTCGACATGCCGCATATGTGAAGAAATTGTATTAACATCGGAGGAAATAGTAAAACCAAAAAGAGAAATGAAATAACTAGAATCTGAACTGTTAGTTTTCGATATCGTCGCCATTGAACAGGCTGTTGTACACGATGTTTTTGGTATAAAACACGAATGAAAAGAGCTATGCTAGAGAGAATAATCGTGAAAGTAGGCATGACTCCATGAGCGATGAGATCATACAGAAAAAGTGTTGCGTTTCGAAATGCACATGGGAAAAAGCCTGGCCGAATTAAACGACTGAAGTTATTGATACAGGATGAAACGAAAAACACAAAAGTATAATAGACAAAACAGTAAACAATCACGAAATATGGCGGAAGATAATGAATAACTAGTCGTCGGCGTCTGGTTGTAAGTAATCTATCATGAAAAATGAGAATGTGTCTTTCTGTTGTAAACCAGGCGTAGAGAAGAATTTGAAGTACATAGATTTGCCAATCGAAATATCCCCAAACAAGACGTGACATTGGTGCGATAAGAAAAGTTCGAAATGCATGAAAATAATAGATGAAATAAGAAATATGTATACTATTGTAGAATAGATTAATCAGAAGGAGAAGAATTAGCGTATAGCTACGGAATTCTCGACGAAAATTTTGATCAAGAATTAGAGAATATAAAGCAAACAAAGATGCAAGGATCGATGGAACAATCAGAAAGAGCAATATACAAAACTGAAATGAGTAGAACCGCTGTGTGTCGTCATCAAATACTGCAAGATCTTTTGCGACTAACATGGTGTGAGATATGAATTCAAATGTCTTTCGAGCGATGTAATGCTGCTGAATAGATCTAATTAAAAGCGCGTTTTACGGTATGTATTTCTAATATAGTGTTTAACGGTTTAGTCAACAACCTCATTAATTTAGCTTGAGAAAAAGATAATGACTAATTTCACAGCATTAGTTTTCATTAGAATAAAACGAAGGAGAATTCTCACTCAAAGTCTTCAAGGAAATGAGACGCACAGTAGGAGAGAGAAACTAAATAATTTATAATTCTATCGCTGGTTTTCATTCTTCTTATGCACAAGGAAACCATGAATCTATTAAGATCATAAAAATAGGGATGCATGAGTACAGTTCGATTGAATATACTATCTCGAGTATGAAGAATTACTATCTGATAGAATTTTTCTTAATTTTTCAGATAAAAATCTGCCCTATTCTACTGTATGACGGTTATAACTATATTCAACAATAGCATTGTGTCATTTTGTTCAAGATTATCGTTTTCTTATAGAATCTTCTATCGAGTTATATTATAAAATCAAGGTAACAACGTGAACGCATGTTCAATCAGACGCATCACGAATATTCTCATGGAACATATTTTACACGATGAAATGAATACTACTACGCCATCTACTATATTAACCATTCATTTAGGGAAATGTTTGTCCAATTCGGTTTTAGCTTCATTCGTGTTTTGATCGTACTGGCAGCAAGTTGAAACACGTTTTGCGATAAAAGTAATCAAAAAAGTTATGGGGGATGACTTGGATGAATTTCATCCATGTTATGGAGAATTTCAATGTCCTCATTGTAAGAGACAATGGAAAAGCACCAAAGCCTGGGCTAATTATGGTCAAAACTGTAACGACTGTGATACATTGGTTCGCCCGAAAAATCTATCTAAGAATTACATTTATATCTGTGACAATTGTCATATGTTGTGGTACTCATGTTATTCCGACCAAGGATTAACATGTAAAAACTGTGGTTCAGCTGCTGCTATTCATCCACGGGATCCTGATGACAGGAGAGATCGGAAGTTTATCGAAAATCATAAAATGAAGTACAAAGATTTTCTGCGTCCTTCAAATGCGAATGGTGAACATATCGAAAGTTTATGTGAGAAGTGCCGGAGTTTACGACGTCCCTGCCGTGAAATTGACGATAATGGGAAGATAAGACTGTGGGATCATTTATCCAGTGATGACGATGTTGATAATACCAACAGTGTAATGGTAAGTATTCTATTTGATATAGTATAGGAAGATTTAACACTATCGTCCATTCTAATTTTGCTCGATACAACAACTTTGAAACGACACTACTTGGAAGACATTGTTACGTTCTAGTGAGCCTTTCTATATAGTGGTTTCAGAAAAGGCATTTCGAGTTTTTTTTACGGGGAACGTTGTGATACAGATCACTGATGTATGTTATGTAATGTTTTCTGTAGAATAATCGTCGACTGTCGAAGATCTGGCAAGGAGAAGAATGTAAACCGTTTATCTCAAATAACTTTACTCATGGCCGTTATCCATCGCCATCTCAAATTCAGCAAAAAGAAAACTACGGATGTTCTATCCAAAAGAATAATCCGTCCAATAATCATTATCATTTGACAAATAATTGCATGCATGTAATCATTCATCCACCAAAATCACAACGACATCAACGGGTCACAAAATCAAGGATCATTATAGGATGCCTCTTGTGCGTTTTAGTGCTAGCAGCTCTTGTAATGATTTTACTTATCATGAAATTCAATTGGACCAAGTCAATTTCGACAGCAACTAGAGGAACAAAAATTCGGAAAATCACTATTCCTACCACTACCACTACCACTACCACTACCACTACATCTACCACTACCACGACAACAACAACAACAACAACAACAACTATTACTACTACTACTGTAACACGTATTAATTGGTTTGAATCACAAGCATCACGATTAAAAGCGATCGGAAATAATACAGTATCGAAGCTGATGCCAGCTGCCGAAAGAATGGGTAATTGGTTCCAGTCTCAGATATCGCGTGCCAAGGAAACGGGAAATGATGTTGCATCGAAGTGGCGTGCAACTGCACCATGTTTCGCTTCAGACACCATGGTCACTCTTGAAAGTGGTAAGCAAGTGTCTTTGCGTAACTTACATGTAGGAGAGCTAGTTCGTATCGATCCAAGTAAGTTGAGTTCTGTATTAGCAATTTTTCGTCATCATCGTTCATCTGTTTTATTTATCGAAATACATTTAAATGATAATACAAGCAAACCACTTCGTCTGACGCCAACACATTCTGTTCTTGTACGTAAATCTCATGACGAAAAGGAACGATATTATTTTGCTCGCGATGTTTCGTTGGGGGACTCTATTTATTCCACTTCAATCAATCGAATGGTTCAAGTTGTTCAAATACGAAAAAGCATAGACGTTGATCAGTATCTGTATGCGCCATTAACATTCGAAGGTACAATTCTGACAAACAATATGACTGCTTCATGCTATGCAACATATCCTCATCGACTGATGCATCTCATTACGACGCCATTTCGATGGTGGTATTGGCTTTTGATTCAATTACAACAAGCTTATCTGCATGAAGTGAGCAGTTTGCTTTGTGTGCAGTTTGTCGACTGGTATTTGCAACTGTTTCCAGTTGTTACCTACTGACATAGTTCGATCAACAACATGATTGACGAATATGACTATTTGGAACTGTCGTTTTTCTTTTTTATTAATAAGAAAAATAGTGCGAAAGCATTTTAGATGATATGAAATCAATTATTAGCTTGTAATAAGGATAATGCTTCCTGTTCTTTATTCCATTGGGCAATACTAGCTTGAATTGCATCCCAATCAATTGTTGTTGGAAAAACAATTGGTTGAACAGGACATGGTGGAAAGATACATATGAATGACATTCCACCAGGACCTGTTAAGCCACTGAGATCAATTGGACCACGACGTGCACGATCATGTTGTGGAAAGGCGGTTGATAATTCCACAGCAAGTACCATGAGACAAACGATTGCAACGACAAAACGCATGTTTAAAGGTGATAAAGAATAGCAGAAAAAAATGAATAAATATATATGGAAGGATAGCATCAGAAAAGAAACTGCGTGGTATATGTGATTCTAGACACATGTTGAAAACAAACCCATGATATAACATTTAAACTATTCACTCAGTGCAAGAGTCGCTAATATGCACTGTAATTTCAAGATTCTCAAACAAGTACATGATCTTTCGTCTACTGTAAGACGAAAGTAAAAGCAAAAGATCAATATTGTATATATATATATATATATGTGTATAAAAAAAACAAGTATGACGACACCATCAAGGTTATTCTTTTTCTTTTGTACTGTTTTGAAGTGAAAAACAACGCATGTCATACTGAGTCAGTTTAGTTTTACACACACATAACACAGTGTTTACATATTTTGATGGGGAGTTTCCCTGGTGTGCTCAAAAACTTTTTCGCGTCATTTATTTTTTTGTTGTTAGATGTCATCAATGGTAATATCTGCAAAAATTCTGTGCACGAAAGAGATATATAAGCAAACGAAGAAAACGTTTATTTCATTCGACTGTAACTATAACTTCTACACATATAATAAACCATCATCATGCGACTGGCTATCGTTCTCGTCTGCTTAACATTAATTCATTTCAGTCATGGAAGACAATATTTATGCGATTCAACTGCTAAGTGTGGTTGTTCAAAGAAACAACCGATGCTCAGTAGAATCATCAGTGAACATATGAACAATGATGGATATTGGGGATGGATTGTTAGTATCAAAAAAGCGGATCAACCGACTTGCGGAGGATCAATTATATCAAATTCATGGATTCTCACTTCAGCTAGCTGCGTCAGGGAAATACCTCGTCAACTTCTAAGCGTGGCTGTTGGGTTAAGTAATGTTCAATCTAGTACACAAACACGTCCAGCAGCTGAGATTATCATACATCCGAATCACAATCAATCATTTTTTATAAATGATATTGCTTTGATTCGTTTGGAAGCACCTTTAAATACGGATGATCCGTCTATAGCACAAATATGTCTACCAGCGGAAACGGCTGGAAATTATTCATCAGACAACTCATCGGTTAGTATTAACAATCTCTATTGAAGTGTGCATAGAACAATCTTGTAATGCTTTCTAGTTAGTCGCTCTCAGTTGGGGAGTTTCATCTGAATGGGGACCATTGAGTGTCAAAGATAAAGCATACGGAAAACTTCGAGAAGTTCCAACGACAGCTGTTTCAATTGACAGTGAAGATTGTCAATCAATAATCACTGATGATTCAACACAATTATGTGCTCAAGTCGTCAAACCCAATATAGGTAAATCAATAAGGTTTATCTTACACTATGTTATATTTCAAGAGATTAATTCTGTATTCATTTCATTCAGATACTTGTGCCGGTGATGCAGGTAATCCATTGATGGTTTACACACCGAGTAGACAATGGATTGTTGTTGGACTTGTTTCATTTGGTATCCTATGTGATGGGTAAGTATTACGTTGAGAACATAAAGTAATTTGTAATGTTGAATCTGAATTTTAGTCAATATCCTAGCGTTTACACGCGTGTTTCCGCCTATTTGGATTGGATTAAATTGAAGACCGGTATTGGCTCCACTGCGAAATAAAGCATGACATCCCGAACATGTCATTGACGTTCATTCTCTATTCTTTTATATAACTATCCTTTTATCTTGAAATAAATTTTTCAATATCCTTTTGTCATCATTACGATGCAGATTTCTATAAAATGGAGTCAATAATACGATGAAGTGTAGACTTCAGGACATTAATATGCTTAGTCACCTTTGATATTTAATTTCGTCTCATATTTAGCAACGTTATTGACAAATACAACGACCACACGTGGAGTAGAACAATATTGTCTTACTAACAACATTGACTTAACCTATCAGAAAAGATCGTATTAATGCTACTTAATCTCTCTCATAAATTGTTTTTCCTCTTCATATCATATATATATATATATAAAGACTCGATCGATTAGCGAAGATTGCAGTTACCACATACAATATTTTTCGTGACATGATGATCCCAACATATTTCTATACTGTCCTCGTATTCATCAAAATCTTGGCCGGTTCAGCTTCATCCATCGCTGATCGAGCGACGGCACAAACTGTTCTCATTCGTCCTGGCATTAGCTATGAATATATTCATATCAATGCGACAAACGATAAGCCAACTATATTATTTCTTCATGGTTTTCCTTCATCACTTCATTCCTGGCGTCACCAAACGAAATATTTTTCTGAACAAGGCTATGGATGTCTCGTACCCAACTTAATGGGCTATGGTAGAAGTTATTCACCATTAAATCGAAATGAATATACAAGTAAAACGATAACTGATCATCTCATTATTCTACTTGACCGTGTGGGCTTGGGTAAATCAAGCGTATTTGTTATTGGACATGATTGGGGAGCGCGAACAGCAAGTCGATTCGTTCTCTATCATCCTGAACGAACGATCGGTGCTGCACTTCTAAGTGTTGCCTACAGTCCACCTTTCCGATTTAATTTGAACGCGGCCCTTCAACAATCGCTGACAGATTACGGTTATGAAAGTATTGGATACTGGACGTTCTTCGCAGCTGATGATGCAGCAAGAATAATAGAAAGAAATGTAGACAGCTTTATCGATCTTCTGTTTGCTGCAAATGCAACACTTGCAAGGACAGATGTTGCACCAGTTGGTAAAATACGAGCATGGCTAAATAATAACACACGAACAGATCGAGCTACGTATATGACAAAAGAAGATTATGGTACACTTCGTGAATATCTTGCTAGTGGAATGCAACCGAAACTGAATTGGTTCCATGTAGTAATCGATAATCTCGACTGGGATTACGAGAAAACGTTTAATGCGACAGTGCGACGGCCAGTGCTTTACATTGGAGGTCGCAGAGATTATATCGGAATTATTGGAGCTGCGGAACGACAAAATGCCTATGTAAAAGATTTGAAAATAGTCGAAGTAGACACTGGACATTGGGTGATGGAAGAGAAGCCGAACGAAGTTAATCGGGAGATTCATCAGTGGATCAAAACAGTTATGTCAAATAACTCTCCTACTATCACTTTTCTTTGGAAGTCCTACCTTTATTTATTTATTCTGTTTCTTTTTCTGACCATATAAATAAATTTTCTGCAACATACAGCTAATCATACACACAGTGTTGACACTGTCTTCTCTCCGTACATCACTATCGATCGATACATCGATCATCCTTTTACTTACACCCGTAATTGCGCTCACTCTTGTTTTTCTAATAGGGTGTTAGGTTGCAAAATGACATTTTGTCATGCACAAAAACAAGAAATCTTCTATTCTCCAACGTGTACATCGATGTGTCAACTTTTTGAGTAAACATTGAGAACAATAGTACGTTTCGATTCCGCGCGAAACTAATATTTACATTCTCTTTTCGTTCAACAGTGTACACATATTCATTGATTTGTGGCTCTGTATGAAAATGTTCATTTGATTTTCAAAACAGATCAAGTATTTTGTGTAACAACCTATTAGTAAAACATATTATTACGAAATACTGAGTTACTTTGATGATGCAAACACATTTCCATCCACTATTTAAAAACAACTGAATCAAGTAATTCATGCCTAAGAGCGCATTGCTTGTATCAGATTTGCGGGAAATGTCTCTCGCTTTTATCTGGCTGTAATTGCTGGTTTATCATGTCGGAGGTATAGCCAAATAAAAAGGATAGCATTTCGTTTTTTATCTGTGCTAACAAGAAGGAGAATACGTGAGCATGTAGGCGTGAATGGCAGAAAATCAGTTTTCTGACTCACAAAAGTGTAAATGAAGGCAAAAATGGGCGAGATTTTTTTGTAATGCTATGTTATTTCCGATGTGACATTATTTTACTTTTTGTGAAAGAAATACGAAGGCGTTGGGAACACGACAGATGAAACGAAATTTTCAAGTACTTTCATTGTTTGTTCTGCGTTACACGCGAGTTGCATCACGCCCTTTTCTTTTCTTTTCTCTGATTGCCTCAAGGCTAAATGTTTCATAATCATACGCCTAACTGTAATTCTATCGAAATTTCTCGAACACATGAGTTTATATATAAAAAGGTAAAGAAAAACAATAGTACTCAATTTTATAAACACAAAGATTTCATCATCTTTGATCCACTTTCTGCATAGACAGAATGAAGCTGATTTGGTATCTTGTCATCGGGGTATTTTGTGTCGTTCATAACGTGATCGACAGCGCTCATTTTCGTGGTGGTATCATTTCCTGGTACGTACAATCACTTTGATTATGTGTTTTTCTATTTTCTTTGATCATAGGCGTCCATTAAATAGTACACCATCAGGCAGCACTGCACAAATTCTCATACATCAAAGATATTTCTGGAATCGAGTATGGGGTAGTTTCACCCCGCCGTATTGTACGGAGGCAAATGTCGCCGCTCAGTCACCAATTCCAGTTGGCTCTTTTATGACTTGTTTAGTCAATTGCACAAGTTCTAATTATCCTGGTGGTGGACTTTCAACTATTATGACCACAACAGATTGCCAGACGAATCCAATTATTCAATCATGGGCTGGGGAACGATACGATTTATTGACTCTTACTTTGACAACTTCCATTACAATAGGTTTTCAGTCGAGTGCATGGATGGGCGCCCTATTCTGGGGCGGCGGAGGTGCATGGTCCATTGTCAATCGATTGAACTTAGGTTTAAGACCTGATGGTTATATTAACACTAGTCCTGTTACAAATACATTACCCGTTGTATTTTATCAAAAAAGTGTACCGGTTGTTCACGTTGTGCAAATGGCTGATAATGATGGTACTGATATATTACAATGTCGTTGGTCCAATTCAAATTCGGGAACAAATTACAATCGAGTCGATGAGTGTGGAGGCGTTTGCAGTGGACTACCTGCAGGAACCATATTGACAGCCTCCAATTGCACACTATCTTTTACTTTACCAACTGCTAATCTCTACTATGCTTGTGCTCTACAAATCGAAGATTATTATAATAGTGTTGCTACAAATCCGATGAGTTCTATTCCTATACAATTCTTATTCTATGCGTATGTAGCTTCCAGTGGTGCATGTCCACAACGTCCTCAGATTATCGGTGCTCGTCCAAACAGAGGTGAGAGCATATATATTTTATTTATTGAAAATAAGCACACATGTTTTATTTGATTCATTTCAGCTTGTATCGGAGTTCCCATCGGTAAGTACATCTGACATTTAGTTGTTTTTTCTTTGTTTCTAATCTACATTTTAGGTGTTCAACTGAATGAAACTATCATCGTACAAACATATTGTCCTGGCCAAACTATTGTTGATTTTGTTACGAGTTCACCGTACGGAATGACACATAGTGCTATCAGCAATCCAACTGCCAGTAAGTCTTCCGTTTTCTTCGGTAAAAGATCGTATTTCAACTAAAATATTATAGACACATGGACCATGACATTGACGTGGACACCTGTCTCAGCACAATCTGGTCCTCAAGGCTTTTGCGCCGGTGCATTGGACAATAGCAGTCTCCAATCAGATCCATGGTGTATCACATACTTAGTTGATTACACATCACCAAATCTCATTCGTCCTGCAGTTGTACAAGGAACGGCAAGTCCAGTCGGCACTGTCTTTCAAAATCAGTCCATGTTTCTCATACAAGGTACGTATTCCTGAAAAATATCACATATCATCTCGACTCTCAACGTTATCTTTGTTTTAATTACATAGCAACGAGCTTGGTAGGTCGTCCAAGTCGCAATTCTACCTACATTTGTTTTAATGATGAAGCCACAAATGTGTCGGTGCTGTGTTACGATGCTGGATATGCAGCCAATATCATCTATACAGGATACACAATTGTCATTACTACAAACTATACATGGACACCGGGTAAATTCTATTATGTTACAATGGATAGTGGATTTGCTAGTGGAAGTGTTTTCTGCCGTAAGTTTTGTTTCTATTCATTTCTATATAATTCATCTGACTTTGAAGATGCTGAATCGGCACCGGTTACTGATCCTACATTTTGGCGTTTCAACATCTGGAATCCAGCTGTTTCGAGTACGACTACAACAACCACCACACCTTTCACAACTGCAACAGTTACAACAAAACCAACATCGACAACAAGTATCAACACTCTCGTAAGTACATTAATGTTCTGTTCATATAGAAAATATTCTTGCACTGATCTATAGTTGACAACAACTGGTATTGTCATAACAACAACTACTCCAATTACAACCAATGCAACAACAGCATCTACTTCACCTCCAACTACAGCTGGTTTGTAAGAACTTTTTACAATCATCTACCTATTGTGTTTCTCTTTCAGCTCCAACAACAGCAGGCCCAACTGCTTCAGCATCGACAACTCAATCAACAGTTGCTGTCATGTATCCAAAAGATTTCGTAAGCTATCTTTTGTAGCAAATAATGATGATTAATTTAGGTACATTTTCTATTTCTATATCATAGGAATTGGCATGTGTGCAAACTATAGCATTGATGACACCGATTACGTATGTGATACTCGCACCTGCTTATGCTATGCTATTGTATGCTGGACTTACCAAACTCTCGCATCTGTTCAATCCGGTGAACATCAATGCAAAACGAAGACACAAACTCCGATTGCAACGCATTCTTGGAAATTAAAGGAACTTGGTAGCTTTCTCGTAAATTTTAACTTATACTTTCATATCCCTTTGCGTTAATTAGAACTATTTGCACTGTAAAATCTTTTTATCTGTTCCATGTCAATATATTTGCAGTTGTGCTAAGAATACTAATATCTTACATTATTTTGTTGGGAGGTTCGAAAGTTTCCGCTTTTCTCACTACCAAATATTCTTCTAATGCTGTATTTTTTTTCTTAAAAGCAGTTTTAGAAACATAATAAACCATTGCATGTTCTTTTATTCCTAACGCAGTTATTACACTGAAAACTATCTCGCAAAACGCACGAGTTTATTTTATCAATTATAATTTGTGTTTAATGTAAAGAAAAAAGAAATGAGATTCTCACCGAATTGTTTCCGATCTGTTGAATCACAGCTAGAAGTATATATATCAAACAACCCACAAGATATTATGAATAGAAATAAAACTTCTTCTCGACATATTTGAATATTCACATATATACAAAACTTCGCATTTCAAATAACATGTCCCTGGTATCCACTTCTCAGCAAATCATCGTTTACAGCGGAATAGTTCTTTTTCTTGTTGGAATAACTGGTAACACAATGAATATAATCATATTTTCCAATGTTCCTGCGTATCGTCGAGCACCAGCCGCATTCTATTTTCTTATCGAATCAATATTCAAATGTATTTTCTTATTGGTCAATCTTCCGCCACGTATAATTGCTTTCAGTTTTGGATATGATTTTGCTAACATGTCAGTCATCTGGTGTAAAACAAGACAATATCTCCTGATGATGTCGAGCGCAACAGCAATTAGTTGCATATGTCTATCTACGATTGATCAATATTTCGTTACATCCTCAAATCCATCGCTACGTCGTATGAGTCAAATAAAATGGTCACGTCGAATAGTAATAATCGTGATTATTACTTGGTGTCTTCACGCCATTCCCTTTTGCTTATATTTCAATATTTCACCAATTACGAAAACATGTATCAGCACGAATCGAACTCTATCATTCTATATTCCCATATATTTTCTTCTTGTTGTTTGTACGACTCCAGTTTTAATTATAAGTATTTTTACTGGCTTAGCTTACCGAAATATTCGCCGGACGGCAGTTCCCGCTCGACAACGGGCTGATCGGCAGTTAATACAAATGACTTTAATGCAAGTCATTCTTGTTCTACTCTGCATTACTCAACTTGGCGGTTGGTATGTGTATACTGTGATCACTTCGGGAACTGTTAAAAATCAAGACCAAATGCTGAAAGAGTACCTTATCTACGCAATAATCAGTACTGAAACAACATTATACTACTCTGTATGTTCTGAATTTTCTGCAAAGACGTTTGGTTTTTCTTATTATTTATTTAGGGAAGTTTCTATGTATTTGTTTGCACATCAAGCCGTTTTCGTCAAACGATAAAGGAATTTTTCTTCGCACGACGAAGAAGCAATACAGTACATCCACCTCAGCAAACGTGATATCAATCAATCGATCATCTTTCATGCAACGCATGATTGTAATGCCGTGCGAATTTTTCGGATGGATTTGTCGAATTCTTTCATGTAAAGCTTTGATGGCATAATAAATATAATAAAAGTCAGTAGAGGAGGAATGAATGAAATGAAATGGCCGATCAGAGGTAACCAAACATCATGAGATGAAGCCATACAATTGAAGATGAATGAAAGGATTAAACGTGGTAGGGCCAAGAGAACTAAAACGATCGGTGCGATGAGAAGATGAAGATGTTCTTGGAATTGTTCTTGTAAAATTCGTCGATATGTAACTCGATGCTGCATTTTTCTTCGTTTTAAACTCGTGCAAATGATGATGACAAAAGCTGAGCTTGAGTTAAGAATAAACGGAACGAAAAAATGAACCAAATTTATAACTGAATTAAATATTCGAACGTTTTTCGAATAACTCACGATACACCAAATGCGGTTTTCAACATCGTCATCATAACTATTATCATACAACAAATGTCGATGAATAGGATCGTGAATAGTTGTGATGGCTGTCCAAAATAGAAGACAGAGGATGATATATTTCGCTAGGCGTTGACTCTTTTTCTTATTAAAATGTACACCTCGATATGCTATAACTGCTCGTTCAGTGGCCACACATCCGTTTAAATATTGATCCATCGACAGACTGATTCGAAGGAGAAAATCTAATGTGTAACATTGAAATTTCAGAAAGCTTTCGTTTGTCATGTAAGTCATTTGTGCATTCAATAGAATACTAAATTTCAGTAGAAATACAACCATGATGGATAGGCTTGTGATCGACGATCCCAGAAGATAAAATCCACAGGCAGTTTTTCTCAATTCCTCATTTTTAAAGGTCAAAAGCGATAAGATACCGTTGAGAATACCGAGAACTACCAGTAGAATCGTTAATGCTAAACTCAATTGAACAACGAATGGTTGACTTGTTAGTTTCACTTGTGATTGAATATGATAGCCGAGAGTCGCATCGAGTGAAATACCGAATAATTGTGAACTAAACTGACATCGTGTTCCATGGAAGCATTCTTGACAAAGACACATTGATCTCTCCGGACAATGGAATTTGTCTTGGATACATTCGGCGCCATTTTCACAATCGCTCAGTTCGTAACAGTTTCGACGCACTTTACTCTGAAAATTGAAACAATTACTCAATCGTTTCTGATTGAAATCGTAGCATAAACAAAAGTAATCATCATCATAGAAGCAACGAAGTTCCGGAGAATATTTTTCGCACGGAAGTTGATAGTATTTCAGTCGGCGTAATTGATGATAAGCAAGAATTGTTTGATTGAATAATTCACTAATATGTTTACAACGATATGACGGATAAATCGTCTGATTATGCGATGTGACGATGTTATTCGATCGATGAAGAACGCGAGCTAAATAATACTTCGTTAACAATTGAACAAATACAATATCAAACTTGTTCGTTGTCGGATAGACGATGATGTCTCTTTGATAAAGAGAAATTCGTTGGACAATTGAATGAACAGCCACCAAATGACTATTCCAATTATTCGCATCAATGAAATGAGTGATTATTGATTGCGGTAATATTATATCTCGCTGAAATGATAGTTTGAAATATGGATCCGTTTCTTCGCACCGATCACCATGAAATCCTTTGCGACAAACACAAAAATAAGTTCGACTTGGTTGAAATTGTTGATCAATCGATACACATTGACCTCCATTTAAACATAAGTCATTATTTTTCAGTTGGCATACATTACTCTGAAGCAGACATCTAGCACCCCATCTATTCACCGGACAGATGCAAACCGATTGATTGTTCGCAGTTACTCCAGCACAAATCGAATCAGATGCACATTGACAACTGTAACGAATTGAACAAGATTCTCCAGTCCATCCTAGATCGCATCGACAAAACGTTCGACCGTTGACATAATACCTACATTTACCGTTTTGACAAGCATGTTGTGCACATGCTTTGATTAGAAATTTGCTGGGTGGAATGATTAGTCGAGTGGCGATACGATTCACCGGCAAGAAAAGGTGCCTGATCGGAATGGAAAAACTTCCACGGTAAGTCAAGGAAGTCTTTTCATAAACATCGATGTGTATTGAATAATTCTTTGGTATCACAGGATGCAACAGATAAGTATTGTATTTCATAGTACAATCGTGCGGATAAAAATATGTGTATTGTTCGTAAGAATAAATAGTTCGTTCGTGATCGATTAATGAAATGAGAAATGTAAATAGTGTTCGTCGAGAATCGGAATGAGCTTGAAATTGTAGAGTTAAACTAACACGTTGTCGATCGTATTGACAAGTGTCACCATAGTAACTCGGCGGACAAAGACAGGCTGGAATTGATGACCGAACTTTTATAGGAAGTCCGCGGTGACAACGTTGATCATAAACAGGAACAATTGGAAAGATAGGAAAATGTTGTTCTCGTTTTGGAAACTGCAAATCGTGAGGTTTAAAGGCTTGCAATTGTGTGTTCAGCCCATCGATGTACCGTTGGCAAAAGAATTCATGAACATCTGTACGATTGTTGGAATATTCTATATCGCACATACTGTTTGTTTGAAATGATGAACAGAGCTTTTCGTCTACATGATTTGCACAGCGATTGCCCTGTGAGCATAACCGATGAGATTCTATGCAAGTAGAATTCGTTTGATTTGCACAGAGGAAGTTCTTTGTGGGTACTGGTTGAGATAATCGACAGAATTTCGGTTCATCAGTGGCGCCAACACAATCAATTTGTCCGTCGTTGGCTTGTGCGAGTGGTAAACACATCAGTTGATATGTTTCAAGTGAGACACACTGATGATGATTCGACGGACAAATCGAGTTCGAATTACAATTGATCTCATCAGCACCGTTCCAGCAATTCCATCGTTGATTGCAGCGAGTGTAAGTGTTATTACATTGCCAATAATCGCAATCAGTTTCGTCGGTTTCAGTCCGATTATTAATAAGGAGAGGTTTTACTTGTGTATAACCATCGCAAATGAAACTAAACAGAAGAAAATCCTTTTCCGCATCGAAAACATACTCTTCATGTTCGCATGTAAATAAATTCGACAGTCCACAATCACAATTACCATTGTTGAGTAAATCAATCGAAATACATTTTTTGGTCGACAAGCATTTGAATTGTCCTTTCCAACAAGTACTATTAACCACTGAATATTGTTCATCATCATGATAATTACAGTCAACAATACCATCGTCTAGTTGATCTTGATAAATACATTTCGATGAATTACGACATGTGTACATGATCGATTGATGGCAAACAGCAGTGTCGTTATAAAAAATTGTATTACATCGGTAGAGTTGCTTGTATATTTCTGAAATATGGTAATCAATATCCTGTTTCTTATCTTCGTCAGCGAACGATAGAGGAAAATCTTCTGGTTTTCGGCATGTCAAATTATTGAATGAAATCAACGTCCGATTCGGTAAGAATTCATCGCAATATTGCTGATCGTAGCAAATATAAGGAGGTGTCACCGTATAATTTGATTCGAAAATCTGGTCTTTTAAATAAAGAAAGTAAATGTGCCGAAATGCGATTGGTGTTGCTGGTATGACAAATTGCTCTGGACACGTCATGTTAATCACATTAAGAAATGATTTATTTAAACGATCAATCATACATGCTGAACCCAATCGATTAGGGAGATTATAATGACATTTAAATGCCAACCAACAATTATTGGACACGAATTTTGGTGTTTCCATGAATATATCCGCTTTTAACAGCTTAATATGCGACAACACAGACGAAGACATTCCATCTCCATATGAACGAGAATCTTTATAACGAATGAATTGTATGTCTTCGTTGAAAAATGTTGGTTCATAACTATCAAAAAAGAATTGAATGAATCCGCTTTGATAAGATTGATCGGATTCATCAAGACATTCGACAGTATGAACATGATCTTGAAAGAACTCTTGGGAAATGCACTGTCCGTTTTTGCACCGATATTCATTCTCTTGACATACATCCAATTTCATTTGCCAACAATACTTTTCATCGATTTCATCGTTGAAACAATCGACAATTCCATCGCAGATTTCATACCAACCGAGACATATCGACGTAGAACCGCGATTACATTCCAAATGTATATAACATGTTCGACTTGTTGGTGCATATGGCATTCGATAAAACTCACGAACTAAGTCAGTTAATGATTGGTGATAAGGTTGATAAGTTTCCAATGAATATTGACATTGTGAACCAAAATTGGGCATAGTGCAGTTATAAAAGATTGAATATGAGCTCACAATCTCTTGGAAATTTGTCGATCGTTGATCACGATAGTTTTGATAATCTTCTATGAGTTTGATCGAACCTGACCAAAGATATAATTGTTCACTAGTAATATCTCGTTCGTAGAGTTCAGCGAAAGTGAAATTTTGACCGTGAACATTGCCCGAAACATTCCATTTTGATGGCCATTGTGTTAGACAGTATGAAATGGTCTGATAGGATTTAATGCCCTTTTCTGCAATAGCTGGTACATAGAGGCAATCATGTTGCAATGTTTCAGAGATTTCATCTTCATTTGTCCAATCGGTATGATGAAGATTGAAATGAGGCGTTGCGAGAATTCGATAGAGCTGAATTAAATACAACAGAGAAACGATTGCCATCGTTGATCTCGTGTTCTCCGCGCTTTTAACTGAAAATAAATGGAATTGTGATATTTTAACTATGACAGACGGTTTCTGTTAGTATTTCCTTTTTCATGATGAATTGATTATGAGAACTAGAGTGAGAGTGTTGTTTATCCTAATTCTAGTCTTAATTGATTTTCATCGAATACAGAAATTATCGTCGTTGAGAAAAGAGATGATTTCGGATAGACGATGCGTTCGTGTAAAATTTCAATCTTTTTCATACGATGAGATAGTTGGATTGTTCGCCTACGTGATTACATCTGTCCAAAAGCAACGTTGAAAGTATGCTTAACCCATTTCCTTTTTTTTTTTTTAGATATCAAACTGTGCATATAAAATAGAAGATAGGTAATGAAATCTGTGACAAATCTAGGTGAAATGCGAAGAATAACGATAAGCTGGGAGATGTTTATCTGAGAACTTATGTTGATGCTTCCAATCGGTGATATGCGGATCTCGGTAATAACAGCAATATATGTTCGAAACATGAAACTTTTCAATTTCAATTCTGAAATCTGTACGATAGAAAAGTAAGGTTTGCTGACGAGGAGCATATTGATAAATAGAGAGACAACGACTTATCGACATCAAGATGATGTTATGTCGAACATTACCTGCTGAAACAAAATAAAGAAACTCTTTGTTGTCAGCTAGAGTTGTTCAACTAGAACATCGGAATTTGTGACCGTATCTTCAAAATACGTGCGAATTCTATAAGAACAGCTTTCAGTAATGAATAGGAAAGAAAAGAAGTTTATTTATGATACGAAAAAAGAAAAATACAAGACACGTGAGATTCATTATCAAATTTTGGCTAATTAATATTCATTTGCGAAGAAAAAATAAGCAAAGTATGACGCTAATCAATCCGAGCATAAAACTTGTCGTTTTTGTCGAAGCGCCATTACAATAATCAGTTGAACAACAATAAACAGTGGAGCCATCTTGAATACTACCTGATGTAACGGCTGCTACACTTATCGTTCCTGCCGAGCATGCCGAATTGCTTGTCCCGTCTCGGCTAATCGCATTCGTATTACTCGCATAGACTTGTTTCTGGGAAAACGAACAAGGTTTCTTTATTGATAGTACCTAATTAATACATACCACACAATATCCGTACGAGGATGAAGTGAGTTGGATAACGCCAGCGCCTTTGGCATTGAATGATGAACCACAGCCTTCTCTACCGAATTCGCAATGGTAGCACGTGAGACCGGATGCATTGTATTGAATGGCTGAGAACAATAATAGATTCGAAATAGAACGGAGAAATGAAAAGACATACAACTTACCCATTATAATGGCAGCGATAAGAATAAAATTGGCGCTTGTCATCATGTTGCTTGTAAGATCTTTTATGTGTTGCGGATTTTGAATAAAGAATATGACTGCAATCGATTTCTTTATATATAGGACCCGTTGCCATAGTGCCTTTCACAGTTATTTAGTCACTAGAGAAGAGAAAAGAATAATATTTCTTCTTCAAGTATGTTCTAACAGTATTTGTGGGCAACTTTTTCAAAAATAACCATGTTAGTGTTTTGACAAAGTAGTATGAGATTCTTTTTTTGCCGTTTCTACACCCCTTTCATTGACGTCATTATGTATCATAACACTTTACATCCAGAACAAAAAAGAAACTCATAAAATGATTTAAAGTAATTACATTCTGTTTCAGTTTGAAACATTTCTTTATCGATTTAGTCTATTGACACGATGGTGGCCAAACACGTGAGACGCTGCCATGTAACAGAAAATGGAACAGAACAAAAAATTACTTTTAGTACAAAAAAGTACGTACTGAAACGTTCTAGTATGTCAAAGTACGAATTAGAATGCTTGAATGGCTAAGAATGACATCGAATCACACATTCTGCATGTTAATAAGCATGTAAAGAATAAAGTATGATGTCCCCACTTCTTTCCACGAAAGTACGCTTTATGTAAAATAATTTTAACAAAGTTTTGTCTTTTTATTCAAATTCCATATAGCCTAAAGATATTCATCAATTATTTCCATAAAGTATGCACAACGGCCATACGAAGAGTGACAACATCGAATTAATTTTTTCATTGCGAGACATGTTATTCTTAGTAATTATAGTCGTTGATGTTGTTGCGGCCGTGGTGTTGGTGGTGGTGGAGACGCTGCTGCTGCTCTTGGAAGTTCTTTTCAAAGATGTAGTAGTTGTTTTCATGGCTCTAGTTAGTGCATTGATGTATGTAGAATTCTTTTGCAATGATGACATATCGTGATAGTTTTCAAGAATATCATGAAATTTGCGAATGTTTTCGTCGTTGTTGCACTTGGTATAATTACATCTGAACACAATCCATCGATCACTCATGTTATTAATGGTGTCGATCTGCGCAGTAATTTCTAAGCGATGTGGCAGATTGGCTTGAGCAGCACAGAACTGATTCGAACAGTCTTCTTTGCTGTGATACGAATAGACGCATGTGTTAGTACGACACCTCGTTGCAGTTTTGTTAACATCGTAGCATTGTACTGAAATAGATTTAATGCAAAAGTCTTGACACAAGATGTTTGTTCGTTTCTTCAGCATATGAATGTGACGGAGAAAGATCAAAAGTGGTCAATATGAAGCAGAATTTTATGTTTTTTCTAATGTGTTGAGAATACTTGTCTGACTTCGGATTAATTGTCGCCTATATTGTATGCAACACGTTTCAAATCTCTTACACATTAAGACAGTAAGTCAGACATGCCTGGAAACAGCACAGTATTTGGTTTTTTAATACTGACCACTTTTTATCCTCACTAGTCGTGTTGATATGCTCGAAAAAACGAACGATCATCTTGCGACAAATCTTACCGGATCATGAGACTCACACAATCTTATTCTGATTTAAGTAACGATTGTAGAAAGTAGTTCTACGCTTACCTTTATAAGTACGCTCTTTCTTAAACAAGCGACGAATGTCATCTTGCGTATTCAATGTGTATTCTTTCATGAACCATTCAATATGATTGTATATGAGTTGTTTTTCACAACCATTTGATTTTGAACAGGCAGACGACATGGTATTCTCGATGAAGAGCTTTTTCTTTGTATTGATACGAAAGTGTGTTTCGAAACGTATCTGCCCATCAGCGAGAGGTAAGGAAACCAATAAACCGTTAAAGCTCATAACCAAAGGCGACGCATCAGATTTTTTGTGTATTTGTACTAAGCAAAGACCATTTTCACCTACTTTACTGGTTCTCAAGCCATCTAATTGTTTTTTCACAGCATTAGTATGGGTATCACTGTTTTCGATAGTAACTGTATTGTTGGATGTTATGCAAGAAAGACTGTCAGTTGTCGATAGAGAAAAAACGTAGATTAAGAATATAGACAGAATTTGCATGACTATATGGGAAAAATATCTCCTAAGTATTTTGACCGTTTTGGGATGTGAAGATATTTTCCAAATAAAAGATCCCAATGCTTATCAATTGAGAAATATTTACTATGTTTTTATTTCTATGACAGATTTTCATTTTACAATGTGATTGACAATATTACTAAATCGATCTCGTTGACAGCATTTGTTTCATGCAATAAGTGCTAAGCACACGCCTTCAATGTGATGATAGAGAGCCCTGCACACGAGACGTTTGATAAACAATATGAGATTATTTCCTATGATTTATTAACTAAAACGAATGTTAACTACGCATTCTCGGTATATATTATACAAACACAGATATTATGTACACTGACGTGCACGATGGTTGTTGTCTTTATCAACTGTATGTATCAGATTTCTCGACCGTCACAATGAATTCAATGAAAGATTACGAGAACAATCTCGTCAACATTATCATTTGGCAACTTCTCAATGTTGTTTCCATTGATTGGACATTTCAGGTCATTTGTTTCACCGTCAAAGAAGTTATGAGCAAACAATGAAGTTTATTTTCTTAACATTCACCTGTGTTATAAAAGATCTCAACTGTGTCATTATCCCAATTGAAAGTGACCAGATCTTTGTAACGATCGCTATTGAAATCTGCTACAGCACCATAGTAATAGCCTTGTGCATGTGGAATATCATCGAGAGAAATTTGTTTCCTTTGAAAATTTCCGTGGCTATCACCAAATAAAATATTGACGGAGTGTATACGTCTATTGTGCGCAATAAAATCCAAAGAATTATCTTGATTGAAGTCGTCCACAATGATGTAGGAGCGTGCACTAGTCTCGAAAACAAAAGGATGTATAACAGTACCAACACCAATGGAAAATTCGACATTTTTATTCACGTTATGATTGTCGAATCCAAACATCAATGTAACAAATGTTTTTCCATGATAAGAAACGAGAAAGTCTAAGCGATCATCGTTGTTAAAATCACCCACATGTAGCGATATAGGAAGAAAGGATGCATGTGTTGTGTACAATACCTTTTTCTCGTGAAACACTCCATTTCCATAGCCGAACCATATGACTATTTGAAATGTGCTCTTGCCAAGAGAGATAATATCCAAATTCGCGTCTTTATTGAAATCAATAGCGATCACTGATTCTGGTTGCAGCATGCCGCCTTCATACACGATACTGTTCTGTGTTTGAATGAAACTTCCATTCCCACATCCGAATAGTATCATAATTCTGTGTCCTGATATTGCCAATCCGGCAATGTCTGAGTAACCATCACGATCAAAATCGCCGATAGTTAACGATTCTAGTCGATTGTGGGTATTCGTCAAAGTTTTAATTGGAAGTTGAGATGCGCTTTTGTTCCATTCGAGCCAAACATTCACTCCCGAATAATCATTCGCGAACGCCACATCAGCGTGCTGATCGTTGTTGAAATCACCAATGGCGACGTCGAAATAATGAGCTTGTTGTGGAAATACGGTCTGTGCCGTAAAAGTGCCATCGCCATTTGCAATGAGTATAACATCAGCTTCGAGTAATGCACAACGAATGAGGATGTCAGCTTGGCGATCATTGTTGAAATCGGTGACGATGAATCTAGGTTGACTCATCTGACGAGTTGTTAGTTGATAAATTGATTTCACGTTAAATTGCAATTGACAAGCTAAAGCAAACAGTATAGGATCTTGAATTATTATGACAATTTACTTGTCAACTCACTTTTAACAGAATTCTTTATTGTTGTCTGGTTTACTGTGACTGTAGGCGTACTTAATGAAATAGCTAGCAAAATATTATTAGGATAAGTTAATTTAAGTGAGAAGTGTCTTACATGTTCGTGTTGTTGCGAGTTGATGTCGTCGATGTTGAATAAAAACAATGGAAAATATAGCAAGAGCTATGATTACAAAACTCATTGCAAAAATCCATCTCAGGATAGCTATGCACAAGTCGTGACTTGTTGAAGGAAGAGTAGGGTTCGAGTTTCGATTGAGTTCAACGACAGGTACTGGTTGAATTATATTTCCTTGTTTCTTTCGATAGTAGTATATCTTGAGTGTAATTTGAACAAGTTTAGGAGTGATCCATTTGAGAACAATCGACAAGCCACCTTGAAGACCCATCAGAAGTGTCAATGTATACCATGAAAAAAGCTTTTGTGTATATGTGTACGAGCAGATTGCAGGTGCACATTGGTGATAATAAGATGAATAAGTAATGCTTTGATTCCATTCTTCAACGAAGGACTTCCGCATAAGTTCATTGACGGTCGCATTCAAGTAGACTTGGATTCGATTTTTAAGCGGAGAGATTGAATAGTTCATGTATCCTCCAATGAGTTTAGTACATGATAAATCATAGAAACATTCGAGGGTCGAAGCAAGAAAAGATTCACTCGGCGCACAGCCTATTTTCAAACCTTTGATTGAAACGGTTTTCGAAGTATTGTTTTGTATAAATCTTGCTTCACTTGTACAATTATAATACACTCCACAGTCGCATTGATTGTCATGAATGACACCACGAGACGATATAGCTTGTGGTAAACCATGTGCATCTTCGGCCGCGGGAAAGTATTGATAGTTAGTACCATATGTTGTCATAATACCATTGCCATGATTCATAGTTCGAATTAAAAATAATAGTTGAATTATCTTACCGGGAGCATTTGTTTTTCCATGTTCAATAGATGAGTCAAGGAGGATTTGAAGATCGTTTTCAGATAGAAGATGTGGAGTGATTAGATATAAGTCGAGAAACCGACTGATATATGCTCTCACCGATGTTACGGAAAGTTCACATAATCCTTGAAGAAACTGTAAATGAGCTGAAAGAAAACGACGATAATCTTTGAAATCGTAAACAGACAGGTCAGCAACAAGATTTTTCGTTAGATTCATTCGCCATTGTTCAGAAATAAATTTACTTGAACAAATCTATGAGAAACGAAATACACAAAAGTATCCTTCTCATGGAACTTACTGAATGAAATATCGGTTTAATGATGACGTATTGTTTGTATGCTGAAGCAATAGATGAGCACGTGCATTCGAGTTTCTTACCGTGCATATTTTTCAGATGCTTGTATGTCTCAAATAATGGCTTATCAAATGTTTTTACCAGAGTACGAGGCTTGACAGCGCTGTATGCCGCAAAGATAGCAAGTCCAAAGATGAGTAGGCAAATATAGACCCGAGTAGTCCATCGGCCGAGCTGTGTAGCCGTACTTCGATCAATCTGACTGGCAAAGTCTCTCGAGGAAAAGATGTTCAATTCGTCAAGATGTTTAAACAGCATTTTGAATATGGTTTTAACTTTATCGGAAAGTTTCAAACGAGTCACTGTTTGACGTTGTCTTTGTTTGCAAATCTTCCAACGCTTCAAAAAGAAGACTGACTTCACAAGCAGAGGAGTGAGAAGATACAGTGTAGAAGTGATTCCGCTGATCGTATATATCAATAAGGTTAATATTTTCGTGATGGTCATTGTACGGATTGTAATCATATATGTACAATAAATTGGAGCGCATTTTTCGTAGAAATTCTCGTAGAATACCGTTGGATTCCATTTTTCAATCATCATCTCTTTCATTACAAACGAAATAGGCATCTTCGGAGGAAAACGACTCGATTCTTCCCGATAAACAAGTGGTTGAATATCAATCCATGCTGGATTCAGCGCATTTTGCTCATATTTTTCTCTGATGTATTTCATCAGAAGCGGAAAACAACTTGAACTCATATAGAAACACTCAAGTGTCGATAAAAATACCGATTCAATAACAAAACAAGCTTTTACCATGCCTGGTAGTGTGTATATATTTGTATAATTATATTCATTCGCATTGATATACTTGACGTCATAAAGAGCAAAGGAAGTATGACAGTGTTTGTTCATAGCACAAATACATTTGACCGAGTCTGTATCGTCATCGATCACTCGCGCCAGCATGAATTGAATCTACATAGAATGTGAGAGTTATACCGTTGAAAATTGCTCTATGTACCTCAAAAGAAAGTCGGCCAGTTATTTGATTTGTAATAGTGGTTACATTTAAATCCAGTGGAAAAGCTTCCAAGTCACCGCTGCCTAGTTTAGCAAATGGTTGATCGGTCTGTATAAGTAAACGCACTGTTTCAATAAGTTCGGAGAATGACACTACCGTTGAGTGAAAAAACTCGGCTAGTGTGACATTCAGTTGTTTCGCTAAATCGTATTCACTCAGAACATATGAGGCGATGAACGATTGCATTTTGAAATGACTCATTGTGTCAGCAATTGTTTTATTAGCTAATTTACACGAGTCTGATAGCAATTGGAATTCCGAACTGGCATAATTACGCCAGTCCATAGGAGCTTGTGGGATCACGGCAAGTTTTAATATTGATATCCAAAAGTCACTGATATAATCACTTGAACAAATTGGATGTAAATTTGCGGATAGTTCAATCATAGTACCATAGGGCACAAGGATCGTTGAACATGGACATTTTAATGAACTTGAATATGAGTTTTGCAAATGTTTATATTCTTTTAGTGTTGGGCTAGGTACGGTCTTTACGATCATTTCCGTACTCAAAGATGTGAATAGAATGATAATAAGGAGCGAGCCTATGAAAAAGACGCAAAGTCATCGTTAATATTCAAGGTCAAATGTTGATACCGTACCTGCGAGTAAGAGTAAGTAAACGCGAGTGTTGACGATCTCTTGTTGTGTACTATTCTTCTGAAACAAATTCAATTGTTTCAACCATCGAACCGAATGATGTGTTTGTCTGATAATAGACGCTAAAGACAAACGATTAACTTTCAATTATATAAGGAAAAATATTCCGTACCAAAATTGATACGACGACGACTGAACGGTTGCTTTCTGAGCTTTACTGCGATAGTAATTAAATATGGTGCTGAGGTTCGACATATAATAGTGAGGCCACCATAAAGACTAATTAAAAGAGTCAGAGCACTGAAAAAATTAGTTTCTCGTGGTATTGTGTATGTGCAAAAGGAAGGAGCACATGTTTTGAAATAATCCAAATAATGAATATTAGTTGACCATTTTTCAACGAAAAGATTTAGTAAATGATCATGAACAGAGCTATTTTGCTCCTGTTTAGGTAGAATGTATTTTGTCAAGTTCAGACGTATCTAATACATGCAAAGAACATGGACACCAGTTAGAAGATACCATCTCATACGTACTTCTTCGGGAACTGGGAAACTAGTGGCCAGTGATTCGAGACAATCAATGTCATAGAAACAATCGAGCGTATTTTTAAGAAATGCCTCGAATGTCAAGCACCCTCGAACGAATCCTTTAATTGGACCAATCTACCAATGAGAGTGTACGAAAAGTTTTTCAATCATTTCGTATAGAAATAGGAAAATAAACACTAACCGGTTTGAAAGGGTTTTGGTAAGAAAATAATCTATCACAGGTGAATCCGTTGATGTAGGCACAACTAAAGTGACTTTTCGAACTTAACAACTGATCAGATGGACGAAATAATCTCCACGATCCATAGATAATGGAATCATTTTGTTCTATAGACGGTATGGAAAGCGTCGCCCTTAAATTTGTACGTAAGGCTGAGATAAAATGATTCGCATGAGTTATTATCCGAAGAAAATCTATGATAGAAATTATTTGAGTTATTGTACTGTTTTTAAAATGTTCAATCGTAGTGTTGATTTTGGATTCGAGTTGATCTTCGGTATGAAGTTCGATAGTAATCAGCTCCCGATTGTCAAAATCTCTCTGACTTTGTAACACTACCTCTCTCGATAAGATACACAGACTTGCCAGCAATCTCAGCTAAAGGAAAAATATATATCGGACAATAAATAGCAAAATTGTCTTTACCTGAGAGTATGCTGCGGTGTCAAAATTTTCATCGTGATCATGATAAACAACGAGAACGTAAAATGCTCGAATCCATCGTTCGGTGACGAAAATACTGGAACAAATTGGATGGAAATTGATCTCGTTGGATATGAAAGTGCTATAATGTATGGTCGAATTCGAACAACGACACGAAAGAGTTTCTGGTTGTTGTACGCGAAGCTTTCTGAACGAAGAAGGACTTATATCAACAATGGTGATCATTTGAGGATTGGATTGTAGCAAAGCAATGTAGAAAATAACATAGAGGGACACTATTGAAACATAGAAAATAAGCGGGAATCGCCGACGATGTTTCATCACTCACCAAGAACGAGAAGAACGTACAGCCATGTTGCATACTTTTCACGTTCAATCTTAGCGGCTGATATTTCCGGTTCACTATTTCCATCTGTTTCAGATGCAAAAAGATTATATTCACATATCTGATCATATATCCACTTGCATAAAAACTTCATTTCAATGTCAAAAAGCTTCAAAGTGTCACTGACTTTAAAACTATAGGCACGATCATCTATAGAAGTGGCGTTTACAGCTGAGGTATTTACATAGCGTAAAAGCACGGATATAAAATATTATGACATCCACTCAATCAATCTACAAACCACTCATTAGCATATCCAGCTCTTATTTATTTCAATAATGTACATGCGTAGAAACCAACATCAGATTCAAATCACGTAACTAAAACTTCTTCCATATTACACAGGATAGAGTTTAGAAAAGTCTTTATTCATGATTACATACAATTCTTTTGCATAACAATAACTAGAAACTGTCTCGAAAAGTTAGTCCTTGAAAACAAATGTTTGGTGATAAACAATTGAAGAGTTGCATCACCCATGAAATTAATTGATCAGCTGGTCGGTAAGTGCCTGAACTATTATTGATTACAAAATTTCCCTGTTCATCATGCCAAATCTCACCCGCATACCGAACAGATGGTGCTCGACTCGAGATAGTAATGTGTTTACATCGTAGACGAAAATTTCGATCGGTAAAATGAGGAACACGAATGAATATGAGATGATTGTCTGTGATAACAAAATTGTAACGTACCATTGGATCTTTCTCTTTCGATAACTTCTGTAGAAAGTGCCTCAATGATACTGTGAAAGGTATTCCATCAATATAATCATCGAATAGCGTTCGTGTCACCATAGAATTTTCTTCCGCATAGAAATAAAGACGATTGATGTGGTTCTCATATGTATTAGCTGAAAATCCATCTAGTTTTTTCGGAAGATAGTGATCGATCACTTCAACAGGAACGAAAACCTTGTACACTGGACATTCATAATAAACATTCCAATATGATTGATCTGCATGAGCGATGAGAAATGTGTAAGCTGCGTTGCCCATCGTGTCTGTGGAAGTCACTCAAATGTCGAACAACATGTTGTCAATCTATGAGACAGAATTCATTGAAGTTAATTGATGTCCTTTGTCGCTATTCATCGTTCAATGGCGTCTCAAATTATATTTATGACATGCGTATTACAAATTCCTCGAAGTTCAGTTTACGTTGACTCGTTTTCATTACGAATACTTAATTGAAATGATCTCTTGTAGTGAATAATAACCATGTCAAACTTACAATATTTACTACTAACACTTTTCTCTATTTTTATGAATAACAGAAGCGTAGAACGACGTTGAGAGGAAAGGAAAAAACCCATACGCCAACGCACTTGAAGGAAGGAAAGAAAAAATGGCGTATGAAAAAAGAAATAGAATGATGACTCACCCTGTGAACATGGTTTTTATGGTGAAATATCGTCAATATTGTCAAAAAATTCTCTCATTATTCTCCATTAAAACAATTCATTAAGAATCATAAATTTCTTTAGGAAAAAACATGATTATAAAAATATAGATCGTAACTGCGAAAATGTGTTGCATCACTGTAATGTAAATTATTCAAAGACGACGAAGCGAAAGAACGCAATTTCCATATGAGATTTCGTCATTCTTGGAAAATAGCCATATGCGTAATACTCTCAACATATTTTAAATCCCCATATTTTCTACATTCAACGATATACATTTTACTGGTTCGTTGAAAACGTTTTGTTATTTTATCATAGTTATCATACACGTGGTTATATTCGTGTTTACAAACGTTAATCTACTTCGTTATAATCATTTCAGAAGTAAACACAGCTGAGAAAATGACGAAATCTACTATTGTTGTCGATAGCGCTCGAGGATGGTGGATCGTTTTTGCATCGTTTATGGTTCATTTCATTATGGATGGGTAAGTAATGTGAACTCTATACCGAATTTTGTTATCTATGTAATAACGTTGAATAGAATAACATATTCGATGGCACAAGTGTTCTTAGAACCAATGAGAAAGAATCTATCTCTTTCACGAGCTGCGGTATCGAGTATTTTCAGTATTTTACCCGCAATCACTCTCGGAGCAGGTTAGTTTGGTTTCTAACATAGTCAAAAAGATGTAATTCATATTTTCTTTAAGGACCGATTGCCAGTGTTCTGATTAATATGTTTGGATGTCGAGCAGTGGCTATCATAGGTACTTGCATTGCTTCATTCGGTTTCTTTTTGAGTTATTGGTGGGCAAATATCTGGTTTTATTATGTGACCATTGGCATTGTCGGAGGTATGTAAGGTTTTCTGAAACATCTGTTTGTGCAACTTTGATATTCTGTAGGTCTTGGATTTGCGTTGATGTATTTGGCAGCGATTGTTTCCGTTAATAAACAGTTCAAACTAAAACTCTCAACTGCGATGGGGATTGCTGTGTGTGGTTCTGGTGTTGGAACGTTTGTTCTTTCTTATATCATGGATGGTATCGTCAACATACGTGCTTGGGTCACTTATCCTTACGGTTTACTCATCGAAGCGGGTATTATTACATTTGGTGTGGTGTGTGGACTCTTGTTGGTAAGTAGCTTTGAGATGATAAGAGTAAGGATTGATGTTTTTTTACTTAGATTCCTAAAGAACATGAGATAAGAGAAGAAAATGTTTCAAATACTTTAATGCAATCGAACGGAGAAGCAAATCCTGTCGTGGAGAATGATCAGGTGGACACTAAATCAACGTCAAAATCGTTTTTTAAACAAATCCGTGATGAAATTGATCTCAACCTGTTTCGAGATGTAGCATTTAATCTTTTCGTCTTCTCGAATTTCCTTACAAGTCTTGGATTTAATGTCATCTACAACTTTGCAGATGATCTTGCTAGTGACGCAAAAGTCGTCAAAGATCTCAGAACGTACATTGTCATGTCTATTGGTTTATCGAACATTGTCGGTCGTATAGTAATCGGATTTCTAGACGATCGAAAATTGGTCAATCGTCTTCTGTTATTTATTTTAACGTTACTCCTTTCGGGTATTGCTACCATAGTAGCTCCATTGTGCGGCTCCTCGGTTATCTCTCACATTGGTTACGCATCCGTCTTCGGCTTCTTTTCGGGCGGCTATGTTACTTTGACAACCATTGTTCTTGGTGATATTATTGGAGTCGAGAAAATATCGGATGGATCTGGTATTCTTTTCTTTTTCGTCGGTGTTGCAACGGCGATCGGAACACCCATCGTTGGTAAGAACTTTGTCGATGATCGAGATTCTTTCTCTATCGAAATGACTTTTCTTTTAGGAGCAATGCGAGATGCATTTTCACATTTTGCTCGTCCCTTTTTCTGGCCATACGTCATCTTCGGCGTTTGTACCGTTGTCAGTGGAATTTTATTGTTCGCCATTCCTCTTCTACAGAAAAACAAGCGTTCAACGAAGAAAACGCCAACGGTGGAAGACAGTGAAAATACTAGTAATCAAGTGAAATCGTGAATAGAATTCAGTACTGCTCTTGTATCATTCTAATATTCTGATTAAAGAAAAAGAAAAAGCGTCATTCGAATGAAATATTTATATTTTTTGTAGAATCTAAGGTAATTATATTAAAAGGATGGCATCTCCCTTCAAAAATGGCACACCTCCGATATTACTTATGTCGATTTGAGGTTGATCACGTTTGAGATGAATTGCTTCGAAGCAATTCTTTCATAGGGATTATAGGAGAAAGAAAATCTATGACGTGCAGTGCATTTCTCGGAAAAAATTTCAATCGACACCTGATGCAATATGTTCGTCGATATACTTGCTTGATTGTCATACACATCTGGACGTGACTGATAGCTTCTCATCTGAGCACATTGTCATAAACAGCTATTCAGTGTCCATAGAATACTTTGTACTTGCTGAAAATCGCATAATACTTCTGAAGTTTTCTCTTTAATTAAATTTAATATCCATTCTGTAAGGCATTATAATTGTCTCTTTGCCGCTCTTCCCTAAAAATCAAAGACATTACATTTCATCATACAGAAATTCATTACAATGTCGGCAGCCTATTACTATATCTTATCGTTAGCGTCAGCGAATACAAACATCTACAAAATCGGTGGACCTATTCTCATTACTATAGGCACTCTCAGTTGTGTCATAAGTCTGAGAGTGTTCACTCGAAAAACTCTACGTCGAAATCCCTGCTCTATCTATCTGATCGCATCGTATCTTTCAAATTTTCTGATGATTTACACATCAATATTGATTTCAACATTAGGCACTGGTTATAACATCAATCCGAGTGCGTACGATCTTGTCTTTTGTCGTTTTCGTTACTATATCACATTTATTTGTGATGTTTTGAGTCCATCTTATCTTATTTTTGCTGCTATCGATCGCGTCTTTGTTACCTCACGTGATGCTTTGGTACGACAACGAAGTACTCCTCGTCTTGCATATCGATGCATTATTGCCATCACTTTGTTTTGGTTAATTTTTCATATTCATGCATTGTTCTTTACAATCATCATCATTGGGAGTGCATCGAGTATTGGCGTTTGTTATTTTCAACCTGGCATGTATCTGACATTAATCAGTTATTATTCAATGATTATCAAAGCAATTCTCATACCACTGTTGATGATTTTTTTGGGTTTATGGACTGTGAACAATGTGCGAGCTTTGAGTAAGGTAGCAGCTATTACTACGCACTCATCGTTAAGCGGTATTGGTGCGGCAATGGGCGGTATTCGTTCTGCCCGTTCGAAGGATCGGCAATTGATCAAGATTATTCTTGTCGATACTTCGATTTATATTCTATTCAATACGATGATATCTGTTCTTCTTGTTTATCAACAAGTAATGCAAAACCAAGTTCAGCCTTATGTCCAGTTGTATCTACAAGGGTTTTTGATGAGTGTGAGTGTGTTTAGTGCCTATATTCCGTTTTGTATTGGGTGTTATACTAATTTATTTGTATCGAAAACGTTCCGACACGAAGTACAAAAACTTCTAACATGTCAACAGCAGTAGTGGAAGACATTTGTCGATTATCTAAAGCTTACCCATCGACAAATGACAGAGCCATTTGTACAATTGTTTTCGCAATAAACAGCAATCATTCCTTACAATAGCGAGTCTTTTGTTTGATTTATTGTTATTCAAAGAGAAATGAATATGACGAAAAGCAGGTTACGGAAAGAAACAGACTGTTAATTTGTTCTATACTCGATGTTTTCTACAAATTTGACAGAACGATTCATTGAAAGTCTTCCGATACGAATTCGACGGTACGACAAATACAACAAAGATCAGTATTGATGGTACAAACGAAATAAAATAGCCACAGAGATATACCCATGTATGGTGAGACACATCCATGCATCCCGATACCAAAGATATGATCAAACGTGGTGTTGATAGAAGAAGCAGAATCATAGGACTGATAACAAGTTGTTTGTGTTCGTCCCATTGTTCACGAAGATGTTGTCGATAAGATTGTCGTTTCTGAGCTTCTGCTCGTCGTCGAGCACTTTCGATAATAATGAATAATGCAGAGAACAGATTTGCCAGAAATGGACCAAGAAGATGAATGAATAGAATGGCTGTGTTATAATCTTGAACTGACTGAGGATAAGTAGTTAAACACCAGAAATGCGTATCTACCATGATCTTATCATCGCCATTCGTTTCTTTTTCGATCGGGCTTTGTCTCTTTATTTGATATCGGAATACATGACCATAGAGTGGTTCATGAATAATCGTGCCCACAATCACAATCGGTAAGATGAAGATGATCCATCGAGCATAACGTTTACTCTTTTTCTTATCAAAACTCACTCCCTTATAAACACTCATTCCTCGTTCAACTGACACGCATGCATTGAGCCAAGTATCCCAGTAGAAGAATAGTTTCAGAACAGTCTCAATCGACTTACAACCGCGTTCAAGAACAGATGGACGAATAGACATATCCATTTGTGTGATAACAACAAACCAAAACTTGATTGTGAACATGGTGATTGACAGGAGAGAAGTGACTGACGATGCAAGAAGATAAAGACCACATCCCACTTGTCGTGAACTTGCATTTTGGAAAGTCAAAATGGAACAAGCACTGCTGATGAGACCGACGACGAACATAATGACTGAGAGAGCAGCAGTGATTTTGATGAGAAGTGATTGATGATGCATTGGGCGATGTCGTTTGACTTCGAAGCGTAAGATATCGTCGAGCGTAAGACCGATACTTTTGACTTGAGTATTACAAGGACCACCAACATAACAATAAGTGGAGCTGTCAACTAAACGAATGGTTATAAGAAATATTTTATAACGCTGAATTATATGTTTAAAAAAAGGATAATTTTTATGTGTTAAGTAGGAGCATTATCTTTGTAGAATGCAATATTCGATGTATTCGGTATTGAAAACATATGAAATGTTATCGATACTTACCAATGCGCTGAAAACTAATATTCCTTGAACTGTAAGCTTCGATTGAAAAAGATGTTTGTGCCAATGAATGTAAAGTTGTCGCAAGCAATACATACGTAACACGAGACTGAAGATAAACTGCATATGTCATTTTATCAATCTGTGAGCATTGCTCTTTTTCTTTTAAAATTGAATTTCGATATGGATTTAGTGGATCAAAGTCATTTGCGTAGATATACATTTCTGTACCATACTTTTTACGAATTATGAAAGTATAGTAGGCATCAATAAGTACAGTTAATCGTATGATTTCATAGTAATAATATTCACGAATACATTTCTTGTCATACTTTTGATTGTATGTTGTTAATTCAGATGAATAGTTCGAGAAAATAGGTAATGAAGCATCTATTCAAAGAAAAATATCAGCTTTTGATTTACCGAAACAATTCACATAAGAGATCTTGTACAGTTTGCACTTCTTTACTACTCACTTATCAGTTGAAAACTAATGCTGCTTCTGCCAAACACTTCGATCGAAAAACCTCCGAGGATATTCGATAAACATGTTGTCGCGACCAGTACATATTGTATGTCTGGTCGAAGTTCAACCGTAAGGTGGGACGGATCATGAGTGTTGCAATAATGCTTCTGCTCATATAAATTTTCTAATGGCATAAGTGCATAGAAATCACCTTGATAGATGTATACCGACATGTCGTGGTTCAAACTGAAATTGCCCACAATAGTATAAAAACCACGTTCACTTACATTTATTTTGATTGCCTCATAATAGACATGAGACACTAGAGCGCAAGAAACAGGCGAGTATTTTTCATGATCGTATGTTAATGTAGACGTGTAGATTGATTTGACGGATTGCTCAATATCTATTTAGAACAAATAATAGTGGAAAGATGCATCTACGATTGATGTATTCAACTAATTTTATGTTTCGAATATGCTGAAAATATTTGAAGTTTATAAACTGACAAAGAAGAAAAGAAAACATTTTAGTTAAATTTGTTCTGCGAATTTGATAGAAAATGTTAGTCTTGATCGATCGTTAAATCTGTCGCTTTTTCATGTTGCTGTGCATTAAAGTTAATTAAATGTGAAACAATTATCAGAATACGCTGTGTATTTATATTGAATATACGCTTTCGCCTACTCACTCGCGCGCTCAAGATGAACGCCATTGGAGCCGAAAACGGCGATCGAGAATGGTCCTGTCACATTCGCATTGTATGTTGTTATGACTAAAATATATCTTGTGTCGACCGAAAGATCAAGCGTGAATTTGAATTGGTCTTTGTTGCAACATTCGCCATGCCATGCAATCAGGTTGTTTGTCGGATTAAGACGATCAAAATGATGTTTGTAGAGATGACCATAGAGATTGACACTGCTGTTAGCAGTTAGGATGTAAAAGCCGTTCGTACTAACATTTACTTCAATGGCTTCAAAGTAATAATATGGACGATAAGATAAAGTACGTGAGTATGTTGTATGATTTGCTGTTAAAGTGGATGTGTACATTGTTCGAACTGTTGATGGAACTTTCTCTAAATGATGAAAGAAACTAAATGAATGATCAATCGAGAAAAGTTTGTTCGTAAAATATTTCATACTTACGACAAGAATTTTTCTGTAGGTTGATTTTCTGAACTCGATTATTGTCCTGGTCATAGATGAAAATATTTCCAAATACATCGAATCTCAGTTTTTCCGGCATTTCTAATTGATGAGATTCTCTACCACCTCCGTCACACCCAAATAAACATCGAAATCCATTCGGTCCCGACGCGACAATGCGATCGTTTTCACTGTCCGCAATGAAAAGATATTTGTCGGCATCTAATGAAATTGAACGTGGACAAGAGAGCATTATTGTAATATCTGATGAACTTTGTCCTGCTACCGTTTTCCCATTTTTATCGTCGAGCAAAAATCGTTGAATTCGATCGTTACCAGAGTCAGCCACATACAGATCAAAATTTGTATCGACAAAGATTCCCGCGGGATCATGTAACTCATTGACAGCTGAACCGTGTTGGCCAGTACCAGCCACAACGACCACCTGCTCATCGCTGTCTATCTGTCTTTTCTTCACTATACTCTCCATAGCTATTGAACAATATAAAAAATTATCAATGTCGATAAACATAGCAAAACAATGCGCATTGACATCCATAATAGCAGTAGATCTGTTCGCACTTAACTCCCATTTTATAATTTCAGTATCACAACAGCTTATGTAAATGTCACCAACATTGGAAACAAAGAGAGATGTAATCATCCACCGTTCTGATTCATCAATTATCATGGGTTGAGTGCTATCTCTGGGCCAAACTAGAATTTGATTTCGTGCTGAGGTAGAAATATAAATAGTATTACTAATGTCAATAAATATATCAGCACCGCCTGTATCAAGCACCTGTGCATTAGCAAAAGTAGTTGCAACTCGATTCCATTTCGCTGTTGGGCAGAATTTGGGTTGATTGAACGAAAGAGCTACGCAATGACAAGAAGAAATGTAGTGATGAATTCTTCTGCACAGAAATTGTTACCTGTTAATTCATTGATAAAAGCTAGCAGGAAAACAACAACAACAACAACAACCATATTTAATGAAATGAGTGTGTTCATGCTTTCTTCTATATTTATATTAGTCTTTATTTTCATAAACGATAAATCATATACGTATAAACTTTGATGGATGAGAGATGATTGTTTTGAGTAAATATTCTAGCTGATGCCGACTAACATCGAGTGCGTGCTTGCCTATTTTTGCACCTCAGGCAAACTCCTGATTAATACCAATCGGATACCCTCACCCTCAAGATTGAATGTGAACGCAGATATATTTCATTCGAATGGAAAGACATGAAAATCGTGAGTATATTCAAACGAAAGAATTAACTAAACGAGGCAATTTTTCCTTTTATATGAATATAACTAAGTCAGTATTTTCTAAAAGCTTTTGCCACTTATGACATTACGATTATTCATCTTCTTTACCTGAAATTAATATTGTGGTGATTAGAGAAAATAAGACAAATTAACATTATTGAAGATCGATTATAGAAAGAGCTCATTCTTCGCTATATAATGGAATATATAACGTGTTGTATTCGTCGAAAAGATCGATGGCTGCCGATAATATTACTATGTGAATTCCATTCTATAGTGAACCTCCGTGTAACTTGATGATGTCGAAAGCGTTTGAAAACGAACTTTAAAATATTCCTTTACGTATAGGTAAATCTTTCATCATCACAATGTCGGATATAACGAAGTTTTCAAAACAAAAAAAATATGTGCCTATTGGAATTATTAGAGCAACAGAAATCCATTAGTTGTCGATGATTTCATTTTTCTTTTCCTTTGTGCAATTATTTTTCTGTTGCCAACAGCTTTAACATCCACATGGTTCGTTTGTTTTACTATTTGAAAAAAAAGTACGATTCTGCACACATTGAATATTTTACCGACGACACAGACACTCAACAGATCATGTCTCGTTTGATGTATTCAGGTATATTTTCTACTCGTTCGTTTTCTTTTTTTCAATAAATAAAATTAGCTTTGTTATGCATATTGATTGGCATCTGTGCATTCAACATCACAAATGTTCGAGAAAATACTTTTGAAAATACCAAATTCGGCTTACGAATGTTAATCAATGGTTTGACGAATCTTGAAAAGGTGTATTTTGAAGATGAACCCATTACAAACAAACATCCAAAAGAGAACAATGCAACAGCTGTAATGAATAAAACTACAAAAAACAGCGAATATAAATGTATTGATCATCGATATAAGATTCGCATCATTCAACGTACACCATTAATTGTGTACATCGAAAAGTTTCTTCTTCCATATGAAATTCGTCACCTGATTGAATTAGCTAAGCCATTATTCAGTCAATCAACGATCTATGAAAATGGTGAATTCGTTCGAAATCCCCACCGAACATCATGGACAGCTGATATCGAACGTCATGAAACACCCGTGGTCAAATGTATCGAAGAACGATTTGCTCATTTCCAAGGAAATCTTGATCTCGAACATGTTGAACCGTTACAAGTCGTCAAATATACTTCTGATCAAGAGGTTCAGTGATAGTTTCTGTTCGACTCATCGCATGTTGATCTGCTGTTTATTCTTTAGTACAAGCCGCATTATGATTGGTTTCCTGAAGGTGATCTACATAAGTTTGGCAGTCAACGAGTGGCAACATTTTTTACCTATCTCTATGCGAATTGTTCACAAGGTGAAACTGAGTTTCTGAAGATTCGATTTGAGAAATCTATACACACGAAGTTCTGCGATATCTTGGTTTGTGATGAAAAGGTTTCACAATTGGGCCTTCGGTTTCGTCCACTAGTTGGAAATAGTATATTTTGGTATAACGTGAATGAACAAGGAAGAGGTGACCCATTGACATTTCATGCTGGAAGAGCACCAACGAAAGATGGATTAAAAATTGGGTTGAACACTTGGATACGTTCGAAGAAAGTGACTGTGAAAAGTAGAAAAGATGTGAATTATTCTACGATTAAAAACACGAAATAGACTAAATATTTTCTTTGTATAATTCAATATCTTCAATGCGCACGCTGACGTCCTGTTTTTGTTGACTTTTCTTGTTCTTACGATTTCTTCTACCGTAAAATAAAAATCATTGACGAATGATTTTTGGTGTTTGTGACTTTTTTTCAACATTTTGCGTTAATGTGTGGAGTTTGTTGATGTTTATATCTGTCATTTTTATGCAGAATCACTTGTTTTGATGTTGTTAAAAATACTCTTTTCGCAAAAGAATTTCTTCCTCACAAGTCAATAATCCCATGTCGTCATTTTCTAATTCACTGAAAGTAAAAAAAAGAAGGTAAACACAGTAAAAGTCACAGACTCAGCCTTTTAAAGTAAGATTCCACATTTTTATTCCTTTTAAAATCGCACTATTCGACACAACAGAGTTGATTGATGATGGAAGGATCTATTCAAGGTTTCAACGATTTGTCATCAGCTCCACCAGTATCGATGCCGGAAAACGGTCGAAACCATGGGAATACAAATGCAAATGCACGATTAGCAAGGCATCATTCTCACAGGTAGATCGAACATATATATCCTTAATCGACAAAACCGTGCCTTCTTTTTGTTAACAATAACAGCAACAACAAGAACAAAACATCTATCTTGGAAGCGAAATGGTTTAAACCTGTGCTCATTGGCGCATTCATTTTCCTAGTAGTCGCTGTTATAGCTTTGATAATTGCCTTCTCAGTAGCTGGACGATCCAAAGAAAGTACTGTAGAAACAACAATAGTCACAACGACAAGTATGACATCTTTCTTTCCAATGAAGTTGCCGATAGACATAATGATCTACTCATTCCAGAGCTCCAAAGATGAATAATCAGTCTTGTACTCTAGGTTTGGCGACTACTAGCAACGAGAATTTGACTGATATACAATCGACAACAACGACTAGCACAAGTACAACTATTTTACAATTAACAAGTACTATCAACACGAATACACCTACTATTCAATCAACGACAAATCCCAGTACAAGTGTGACTAGTGTTCGATCGACAACAGTGCCGACATTCATAGGTAGAGAATGTAACGTAGATAATATTCATTACAGCATGTCTTATCGGTGTCTTTATAAATTTAGCCCGTCTGAATATGACAAATATTAGTAATACTACGACGAGATGTAAGTATTTAACAAACCAATTATTGCTTACTATGATTCTATGTCAACTGTTAATCAGTCTCATAATAAAGCTCATGACGATGCCATAAAAATATATGTAGATAACAGAGACTCAATCGCTCATACTCTTCGATGTTGTACATATTGATTTATTTTTCTTGAAGTCTCGAATCTAGGTGACAATGATTTCCAACGGACACTTGTTACAATCTACGTAGTTCAAAATTGTAACTACATTTATTGAAAGATATAGGATGACTGATTGTTTTATGCACAATTGCTCAAAAACCATGTTTTGCAAGTGACAGAATAAATTCGAAGTATCATGTTTTATGTCTTATAAAACCCTATAAAAAAGATTGAAACCAACTGTGTCGCTACATCTCATCTTTCTTCTTCGTCTCCATATCAAACCATCAGGAAAGAAAGCATACAAATGAAAAGAAAGTCATACACCTACTAAAACTATGTGTCCGCACTAATGTAGCAGCGAATCATTTTCATGTTATAAGCACTGCTGTGCTGAATAAGTATAAATTAAGAACGTTTCCCGAATATGTTACAACACATGCTACAATGAACTTACCAGAATACAAAATAATAGATTAGATAGAAAGATTTACATATATTCGACGATTAATGTTCTAAAACAAAAAAAATACAGCATCAACGAAAGTCTTTCACGAAGTCCATCGATGTCAGTGTTTCAATCAATTAACCACTTCTATTCTTTTCATTTTTATATATCTACCTGTTGTTATCACTACAATAGGAACGACGAGAGCTGCCAATACCAGCGGACCCAAAAGCCTCAGCTATTGAATACATATATAGCAATTTTCAACAGATTCATGCATAACTGACTCCGATCCAGATCTGGATGGTATCGATCGAACATAACAGTCTTGACAAATAACGTGCAGATGTTGAGAAGGATAATGGAAATCAGTTTGTACAAAATTGGTATGATATATTCAAAGATATGAGTTGTTCCTGGAATAGAATCGAAGTTTTCTTTTGTACGAGAAGACGCGACGGAAAGGAAAAGAAAGACGATATACCAGAATGCACTTGAGTGGGCTAGAATTTGACAATGCAAGCATGTCAAAACACAGGAGGCAGAATAAGGTCGTTGGTTAAAAACACAATATCGTGCTGTATTTATCACATTACAGATAAAGAAATTGATATCAGACGTGTCATCATGCCTAAGTACACTTTTCTTCGATTTTGATTTATTCCTTTGTGTGAAATCATTAGGAAAAATATATACACATGGAAAAAAATAGTAAATGATGCATCTATTAAAACCATTAGTCCATTCAGCTCATTTTTGTTGCGTTCATTCAAAAGATAGTGACATTGTTTGCGATGCTGCATTGCATGACGCCGAGGCGATACCACCCCAATATCCATTAATCCAAGGACATGGTCTTATTGTATAGTAACCTGTTGTACAGCTACACGCAGATCCCGATGAAGTGATTTCATAACCACTGCTGCATGGCCATATACGCCAGGCTATTCCATTATAAGTCAGGGCCATTGCAGTATTATAGCGTAAGGCAACTGCTAGAGCAGTGACAGTATTTGGATCAGTAACTGTGATGCCAACTGGATCGTTCGAACCATAGATTCGCATTTTTGAATAGCTCGTACAAGTCAAACTTGCAGCGAACTGCTGCCATGCTGTACATTGAGCTGCTTGAGTTGTAAAGGCAGTAAAACTCTGAGAATATGTTACAGCGCAGGCTACAACGATTTATCAGAACACAAAGAAATAGATCAGCTAGGAAGACTTACGTGATGTTGACGATTGATTCTCTACAACAAAAAAATAACGATGTTCGTTCAAATTCTCATAAGAATCAAGTATAGCATATCACTATCGGAATCTTTCAGTGAACGAATTAAGTATATCCCTTCTCGTTCGTCCGTGCTTACCTAATATTAATACTACAATGGGAATAATGATAGCTGTCAGCACCAACAGGCCCAACAGAACCAATAACTGAATGCACAAACATCGTGATACGCTGCATCTATTTAATCATATCATACACATTAATTTGCAATAGATTCATGTATAAAAACTGACTTCGAGCCGGATTTAGATGAAGTCGATGGGATATTCTTGAAGTTGTCTTGATGGTCAACTTGCGTGTGATGAGGAAGAGGGTGTGAACCAGTTTGTGAAGATGCTGGATCAATTTTGTTATTATTTACTCGCGTGGATTTTTTTAACATCTTCATTGAGATCTTACAAGTCTCTTATAATGAAAAAAAAGTAAAATATATATGTACGGATATTTTTAGTCATTGCATAGTCTCAACTGATTCGTATATTTCATCATCAGAACAAAACTTCGAACATTTTTTGTACCTATATAGAAAAAGAACTCATGTAGCAACTTCTACAATTGAAGTTTTTCGACAAAGTATTTTGTTTGGTCTCTGTTTATTTTTAAGTCTTGAGCATGATCCGTTTTTTTAAGTAATGGTGGTTATACATTGTCGACTACTTATTTTACTTTCCCTCTTGTTTAGTTTATCATAAAAAAGGAATATAATCATGTAGAAATTGTTTCTTCTTTTTGTTTGATTTATATTGATGGAAGGAGCTGAATGTTTTCCCTTGTAGAGAATGCCATTAGCAAACGATGAAACAATGTTTTTGCACTCAGAAAAAATCTTTTCGTGTTATTGTTCTTAATGGTAAAAAAGGATGCCAACGCACATTTCTTTGCTTCTGTCCAAAGTTTGCTCAAGATTAAACGTCTTTTCAGCACATTTTTTTTTCGAGATGGCAAATGTACGCACAGATCTTTTTTCTTATTTACGGATAGATACTATGTATTTCACATAATCAAATAGGATGGAAAAGACGTCAGTTATGATTGATAATCTATACTAAGTAGATATGTTACTCTTATTGCACACGAATTCGGCTCATTCGCTAATGTAGAACGACAGTCTATGGTATAGAAGTCACTTGTTCTTATGATTGAGTTGGCTTTCTTATTCATTTGATCCATCTCAAAATAGTATCATACGGTTGTGCTTTACGACGAAATAGACGATTTGTTCTGCATTGTGAAATACGTACTTGCGTCAATATTTTTATTCAAACAATCATCGAAAGCATACATCAATAGCAAATGGACAACAAGCTTTGACTATACGATTTGACAACAAGAAATTCTATGCTCGGTCACGGCCTTCGACTGACGGTCCCTTCTCCACTCTATTTCGTCTTTTCAAACAGAATAATTTCGCGTAAACTTCCGGCAATGACATGAGACAAACGAAAGGCAATAGTAACGATGTAAAATAGAATAAATAAAGAAAAATCTCTTCTTGTACTTCGCTTTCATGTCCATCAGTCCGTTCGCCACTCAACACATGCAGCAGTTCGCCTACACCTGGGGGTAAAGTGCCAAGAAAATATAAAATTGATATGCAAAGAAATTGAACAGTCATTTTCCGTTGTTGTTGCCAGCGAACACGTTGATGTCGTCGTAGTTTCCTGATTATAATCCGAGCCACTAGAGCAAAACTGAAGACAAAAATCAACATCGAAGATAGAATCCGATGCGTTGTTAATTCAAAGACGGAAAGTGTTACATTTTGATGAACATAACATGCTTTCCCACAAAACATGACATCAGATCGAAAATGTGCTGCATTGGAACAACCCGAATAGAAAAATATGACCACAATATAGAAACTAAATGTATATATGAAAATAATAACTAAAGGAGTGTAATGAAGAAGAATTCGTTTGAGTTGAGTGTTATGAAATTGACGATCATGAAATATGATAATGTGTCGTTCGATTGAAGCCCATAGCATAAGAAACGAAGAAGAATTCGAAAGAAATGAATCGAGAAGATTCCATGTTTGACAAACCTGCACAGTCTTTTCCCGAATGTAACCAATATAAAGAAAATCAAGTACTATGGATAGATCAATGGTGACCAGTAAAAAGTTGAGAATGAGTAAGACTAAAATGACATGATTGCGAAGAGCGACGCGTAATAAACGATCATGAATGAGATGGTAAATAAGAAAAAGATGACAAATAATCGATGGAATTTGAAATGAAAGAAATAAACCGAATTTGATCTTTTTCAGTAAAATTTCTTCATCACTTTCCATGATTTCCGGTGTAGAGTTGATAAAATTGGTGAGGAGAAGAGTTGCCATCGTCAGATTCTAATCGCGATTGTGCAAAAGAAAAACTTTTATCTTATTATATATGTACGAAGCTTACTGTCATATTTTACTGGAAGTGACATCTAACGGAAAGGAAAAGTTTTTAAACATGTACGACTTCGTGATGTATAGATGAACTTTAGACTGTCACATCCACAGAGAACTTTCTCTTTTTCTAAGAATAGTACAAAGTTCAGCGGCCTTAAGATAAAAATAAGAATTGTATAACTCCAGTAGGTTTTTTCTGTTATTTTCATGGTCATGCAAAGGAGAGTTTTCAGTAAACATATTTCTACATACGTTAAAATAATCCTTCGGCATTGTATAAGTAAGAAAGAGATTTTAAAGCTTATTTTCTATTTTTATTCGTATATATTATTACATTGAAATTCTCTTCACTGTCGTATGGAAACTTCAATACGATCACGGATACTTTTATCATATTCAACAACGATTTGAATTCGACATGCCACGCCAGCATGTTCATGAATATGTCGAGCAGCATCTGCTGAATCGGGAAGTAACAATCAATGCCTCTTCAAGTAGTTGAGATGTTGGTACGTAACGAACTGTAACCGAGAACCGTACCATAAATAATGAAAGAAAGATTATGAAGCGAGATCTTGAGGGTTAACAAGTGCTTTTTCTCCTCTGTGGTGCTCTATTGTATACCAGAGTCTTCTGATTCATTGTTTTATCACATTTTTCCCTAATAGATGATCCATCATCCATTGGTGAGTATTCGAAGTTAATCGTACTGAGAGTTTATCGAAATCATGGAATCAACCAATCAAAACATTTTCCTTGTCGATACGAAAAATATGAATTAGGCAGCAACGACATCTTTTATTCGAATAAAATTAAGGAAACATTATTAGGACATGTGATGGAAGCTCTATTAAACCGTATAATTTGTTCACGACTCATATCAGCAATATGCAAATTATCAACTCTATCCAACACCATTTGTTCAGCCTGAATTGACCTTTCTATTTCATCGTCGACAGTGTGATAGTATGGCAAAACTTCCGATTGAAATTCACCGTTTGTTGTCAATAAACTGATTATAGTAAATTCATTTATTAGTAAATAGTCAGTTTTGTCCTGCGTCATCATTCCAGGCTTAAATTGAAATCCAGTGTCAGAAGTGTCTTTTCTATTGATTTACAGTATCCGATATACGATGGTCTAATACATAAATTGTATTTATAACTTCATTGACTGAAAATCATAAAATAGACATTGGAGCATAAAGAAAACGATTTTCACCGTCTGTTACGAAGGCAGTGAAGCTATTTACTAACCGTTCGATTATAGTAATTTAAATCATCAAGAGTATGACTTCAAGAGAATTGACGTACAATTTATAGCACCCATTTCCTATCCAATTTCGACGTTTGATCTGTTCGGTATGCCTCCCTCAGTTAGTGCTGAAGATGTAAAATTCCAATGGAAAGATTACTATTAGGCGCGTTAGTGCAACTGATGGTTCAGATTTTGATGTTCGTAGGAGTAACTTCTAAATTCTATGCAGTCAAAAGACAGTAGTATTCATTGGTTTTAACATTCGAAAACGCCGATAAGGATCGTGCTCTAGTATGCCTGTGTAAGGGAATGTTATCTTTGATTAAATATAGTAATAATGATTTGCATGCAATCGAACTAGAGTGAATGTTCATAGATTTATTTGCAGAAAAACTGTTAGTGCTAAAAATCAATAGTAAACGCGTACAGATGGTTCAATCAAATGTGGAAGTCTTGGTCCAATATAGCCAGGACCAGATCGTGGGTTATAGTATATGCGATAAGGTCTTTCTGTATGCATTTGTGTTCGTAGAGGACGTTGAACAGTAGCGGTTACATGTCGTGGTCGAGAAATTCTTATTGTTGTTTGCTGCGGTTGCACCCTTGATGTTGAGTGTCGATTGCGTGATGCAGGGTTGCTACTAGTTGCTCCCATAAACAATCATATGAATTAATTTTTTATTCGTAGGCTATATGCATGGCTTTTTATTTATATATTTCAATTGGTTTGATTACGAAATATAATTTTCGTCACATTGAATAAAACGGAACAAATGTGTGAAACGAACTTGTCGTTTGTTTATCGTTAACTTCCTTTATCATACTTTTTAATGTGATGTTTTTCTTCATTGGTATGACAGACAAAAAATATATTTCTTTATCTTCGCTCTTCCACACAGCTGTCACGTCTTTTTTTCTTTCTGTTCTTTCTGAGTCAAAAAGCGGTAGTAGTATATTGTCATACAAGAACATAATCTATTCGGTAAATAGACAAATATGTGACATGATCTTAACAATACTAATAGTGAAAAGAAGAGGAAGTGAGATCACGTCGCAAAATAAAAGCAAGCAGAATAACAATAGTTCTCTATTCAATTCTCAAAATCATGTCGTTAGCATTGGTTGTACGTGAAAATAGAAAACTCGTTGTCGAGGAACTCGATGTAAGTAATCTGTTGGATACATATTTAGAGATATTCTTATTGTCAATATAGATACCTAAATATGGACCAAAGGATCTGTTAATCAAAGTAACTCATGTTGCACAGAATCCTACCGACTGGAAACACGTTCACTTTGATTTGGCCAAGCCTGGTTCTATTGTCGGTTGTGATTTTGCTGGGGAAGTTGTTGCTGTTGGTGATGCAGCCGTTGGTGAGTATTCAATTTTACACGTAGTGGCGATCTAATTGTATTGCTCACCTTCAGGAAATTATATACGAGGCGAACGTGTAGCCGGTTGTGTTCATGGTGGCCTTGATCCTAAATTTGGCATTCGAGGGTCATTTTGCGAATATATTGTTCAAGAGGCATCACTCGTCTTTCGTTATCCATCAATGATGAGCCCTGAAGCTGCTACGACACTTCCACTTGCGTGTATTACAGCAGCCTTAGGTCTCTTTCACAAACTAGGCCTGCCTCTACCACCTGCGACTTGTGGAGCATCTGTTTTGGTTTGGGGAGGAAGTACAAGCGTCGGTCAATACGCTATTCAACTAGCCAAAGCAGCAGGCTGTTTTGTGGTAGCGACAGCGTCGTCAGCTCGTCATGAGTACTTGAAAGGACTCGGCTGTAATGCTTGTTTCGATTACAAAGATCCAAATGTAATTTCACAAATCAAACAAGTCACAAACGGCACTTTGGCATACGCTATCGATTGCGTTTCAGAAGCCGAGTCAATTCGACGAGTGTGTGCAACACTGACCGGTAAAAATCCGCAGGTAGCCACTGTCTTACCTGGCTTACAGAACGAAATTCCGTCTCACATCAAAGAGCACGGTATTTTGATGTACACAATCTTCGGACGTCAAATGAACGTCTTTGGTCTAGACTTCGATGCGGTTCCTGAAGACAAAGCATTTGCCGAGAAATTCTACCGACTTCTTAGCAATGTCTTATTACCTCGAGGTCTAGTAAAACCGAACAAAGCAACTAAACTGCCCGGTGGACTCAATGGAATCGAAGAAGGATTCAAGAAAATGATGGAGAATAGAGTAGCAGCTGAAAAACTCGTCTACGCCATTGCTGAAACAACGAAACCATAAACTAAAATACCAGTTTTTTTTCACTTTTGTAACATGCATGTTGCATACAAGTAGTCCAATCAAGAAATAAATTTGAAATTTTCTGTTTATTACAACCATAAGTTTAAATCATGCATTAGAAATGAACAAATGAGTAAAAACATATGAAAACTAACGGAACAATCCATGTCATTTGTCCTCCTAAACGAACACTACTATCCGTTAACCATGGATCATCAACGATAGTTGTTGCATTCCACAATTCACCTGGTTTTCGCGTCCATGTTTTTTGATCTAGGACCATTTTCTTGGTGATGTTTGCATATAAATGAGGATAGACCGTTGTATTACTTCTCGACCATTCCCATTTCACCTCATATCCATTTTTTCTCATCCAGTAGAAATCTAATCGGAGAGCCCATATTTGAACTGTATAATTATAATTTTTCATTACAAGTGGAAGCATGTTAATTGCACGAATGAGATGGACAAAACCATCTGCTGCATCACGATCAGACATAGGAAGAACATTAGGAAGAGGCGATGGCGGCGCGTCTGTTAAAACTTGATAGAGATACGATGGAAGAGGATCTGGCGGTGTACCTGGTATGGCACTATTGACCACTAAAAAATAGAATCTAATTTCTAGAAAGTTTCCCGATGTATGTCACTTACATAGGATATTGGCAGACAACAATATGAATGAAATCAATACGTACATAATTCTTTGATAATCGAAGCAACGAAGTAAAAATTGAGTAGATGTGTGTATGTATATATAGAGCAAAAGAAATTAGCTGTCGGAAGTATATGATTTTGAGAAGTAAATACGATTATCATTTTGTCATAAACGTTGATAAGTAGGCTGATATGATAAAATCATGGTCGCCAAGCTATATGATTCTATGTATGATTGTTTGCTATGTAACACATTGACTAACAGAATGCGACAAAGATTAGAACAACAAAAGAATTTAAAATTTCCAACGATATCGTGTTACCTATGTAACTCTGAAATGCAGGGTAAACGCGTCTAAAATGAGAAAAATTTCCATTTAGAAATCAGTAAGAATCCATTTTCAATAATACTTTCTTTTTTATTCAATCGAAAAAATCTAAGTTTTATCCTTAGAGAAATATTACAAGTACGAATTATTAATTAATATTCAGATATAGCTACGATTTTTTTTCTTATAAAAGAAGTCTAACTTACTCATAGATAAGGCAGTGTAGTGCAACGGTCTAAGAAGGTAGACTTGTAATTGAATAGATGTCCTATTCGAAGCGTGATGGGAGAGATGACCATCAGAAGAGAATAATGATGAGGTAGATCAAAGTTGTGGAAATAGGACGCTTTTTTGGGGAAAAATTTTACATAGATACGCACAACAACCTACAATCTGTTGACGTGTTTTAAGGTATAAACCGCACATTCCTTTCTCAAACGAAACAATGAGGATTATGGTTTGAAATTCGAGAGTTTATTTAACAAAAAATATAAAAATAAAAAAAAGGAGTATTTTGTCATGATGTAATAATATTAGGCTGCATCAGGAAAAAATTTTGAATAGTCTTTCAAATGGTTCACTGATGTGCCAGATATCGTTGGTCCAGATGCGACACGTGGCGTCGACGATCTGACTTGAAGTGGTTCATGAAATTCGTTGTAATCTTCTCGAATAATATCAGCTAATCTTTCTGCCAAGGCAAAGATCGTCGCCGTTGGATTAGCATCGATCTGTTCGCCGAATGCTGACGCATCACAAACTCGTACTTGACTGATGTTGAACACTCGTAATCTTGTATCACTGCACAATCCCATTTGACATGTGGAGATCGGATGTAATGCACTTTCTAAATGGCCGTNAGGAGTGTAATGAACAAGAATTCGTTTGAGTTGAGTGTTATGAAATTGACGATCATGGAATATGATAATGTGTCGTTCAATCGAAGCCCATACCATAAGAAACGAAGAAGAATTCGAAAGAAATGAATCGAGAAGATTCCATGTTTGACAAACCTGCACAGTCTTTTCCCGAATGTAACCAATATAAAGAAAATCAAGTACTATGGATAGATCAATGGTGATCAGTAAAAAGTTGAGAATGAGTAAGACTAAAATAACATGATTGCGAAGAGCGACGCGTAATAAACGATCATGAATGAGATGGTAAATAAGAAATAGATGACAAATAATCGATGGAATTTGAAATGAAAGAAATAAACCGAATTTGATCCTTTTCAGTAAAATTTCTTCATCACTTTCCGCGATTTCCGGTGTAGAGTTGAGAAAATTTGTGAGGAGAAGAGTTGCCATCGTCAGGATTCTAATCGCGACTGTGCAAAGGAAAAACTTTCATCTTCTTATATATGTACGAAGCTTACTGTCATATTTTACTGGAAGTGACATCTAACGGAAAGGAAAAGTTTTTAAACATGTACGACTTCGTGATGTATCGATGAACTTTCGACTGTCATTTCCATAGAGAGCTTTCTTTCTTTCTATGAATAGTACAAAGTTCAGCGGTCTTAAGATAAAAATAAAAATTGTATAACTCCAGCAGGTTTTTTTCTGTTCTTTTCATGGTGATGCAAAGGAGAGTTTTCAGTAAACATATCTCTACATACGTTAAAATGATCCTTCGGCATTGTATCAGAAAGAAAGAGATTTTAAAGCTTATTTTCTATTTTTATTCGTATACATTATTACATTGAAATTCTCTTCACTGTCGTATGGAAACCTCAATACGATCGCGGATACTTTTATTATATTCGAAAGTTGATTCGTAGAAGTTCGATGTGTGCCGTGGATTATTGTAAATGTAGTTGAAGTAATCAGGCGCACTGGAAAAGAGAATATTGTCAGCGACAATCATTGCGCTCTTCTTGATTAAACCAACGGTCTCGAAGAGTTTCAAATATGGTAAATAAGCGTCCTTGTGATGATTAATGAAGATGAAATCGAAGGAATCAATATGAAATTGTTGACTTAAACGAGGAAAAGCTTGATCAGTTGAGTCGACAACGATTTAAATTCCACCTACCATGCCAGCATGTTCATGAATATGCCGAGCAGCATCTGCTGAATTGGGAAGTAACAATCAATGCCTCTTAAAGTAATTGAGATGTTGTACGTAACGAACTATAACTGAGAACCGTAGCATAAATAATGAAAGAAAGATTATGAAGCGAGATTGTAAAGCTGCATCCAGAATCTTCCCTACTAGAGTCTTCTGATTCATTGTTTTGTCACGTTCTCCACCAATAAATCAACCATGATCCATTGGTGAGTATTTAAAGTTAAGCATACTGAAAGTTTAACGAAATCATGAAATCAACCACAATCGAAACATTTTCCTTGTCGATACGAAAAATATGAATTACGCAGCAACGACATCTTCTATTCAAATATAAATTAAGAAACATTATTAGGACATGTAATGGAAGTTCTATTAAACCTAGAATTTGTTTACGCCTCATATCAGCAATGTGCAAATTATCAACTATATACAACACCGTTTGTCCATAGCCTGAATTGACCTTCCTATTTCATCATTGACAGTGCGATAGTATGGCAAAACTTCCGATTGAAATTCACTTATTAGCCAGTTTTGTCCTGTGTCATCATTCCAGGATTAAATTCATATCGAGTATAAGAAGTGTCTTTTTCATTGATTCACAGTATCTGATATATGATGGTCTAGTACATAAATTGTATTTAGAACTTCATCGACTAAAAATAATAAAATAGACATTGAAGCATAAAGAAAACGATTTCCATCGTCTGCTACGAAGGCAGTGAAGCTACGTATTTACTAACCATTTGTTTATAGAAATTCAAATCGTCAAGAGTACGACTTCAAGAGAATTCACGTATAATTCATAGCACCCATTTCCTACCCAATTTCGACGTTTGATCATGCTCGGTATGTCTCCCTCAGTTAGTGTTGGAGATGTAAAATTCCAATGCAAAGATTACTATTAGACACAATAAAACAGAAAGTAAGAATAAAGAATGAACATAATAAAAGCTTGGTCATTAGCGCGTTAGTGCGACTAATGGTTCTGATTTTGATGTTCGTTGGAGTAACTTCGAAATTCTATGCAGTCAAAAGATAGTAGTATTCATTGGTTTTAACATTCGAAAGCGCCAATAAGGATCGGGCTCTAGTATGCCTGTGTACAGAAAATGTTATCTTTGATTAAGTGTAGTAATAATGATTTGCGTATAATCGAACTATAGTGAATGTTCATAGATTTATTTGCAGAAAAACTATTAGTGCTAAAAATCAATAGTAAACGCGTACAGATGGTTCGATCAAATGTGGAAGTCGTGGTCCGATATAGCCAGGACCAGATCGTGGATTATAGTATATGCGATAAGGTCTTTCTGTATGCATCTGTGTTCGTAGAGGACGTTGAACAGTAGCGGTGACATGTCGTGGTCGAGAAATTCTTATTGTTGTTTGCTGCGGTTGCACTCTTGGTGTTGAGTGTTGATTGCGTGATGCAGGGTTGCTACTAGTTGCTCCCATAAAGAATCATATGAATTGCTTTTTTATTCGTAAGCTATGCATGGGTTTTTTAGTTATATATTTCAATTAGTTTAATTAGGAAATATAATTTTCGTCACATTGAATAAAACGGAACAAATGGGTGAAACGAACTTGTCGTTTGTTTATCGTCAACTTCTTTTATCATACTTTTTAATGTGATGTTTTTCTTGATTGGTATGACAGACAAAAAATATATTTCTTTATCTTCCCTCTTCTACAGAGCTGTCACGTCTTTTTTTTCTTTTTTTTCTTTCTGAGTCAAAAAGCGGTAGTGGTATATTGTCATACAAGAACATAATCTATTCGGTAAATAGACAAATACGTGATATGATCTTAACAATGCTAACAGTCAAAAGAAGAGGAAGTGAGATCATGTCGTAAAATAAAAGCAAGCAGAATAACAATAGTTCTCTATTCAATTCTCAAGATCATGTCGTTAGCGTTGGTCGTACGTGAAAATAAAAAACTCGTTGTCGAGACACTCGATGTAAGTAATCTGTTGGATATATATTTAGAGATATTCTTATTGTCAATATAGATACCTAAATATGGGCCAAAGGATCTGTTAATCAAAGTCACTCATGTTGCACAGAATCCTACCGACTGGAAACACGTTCACTTTGATTTGGCTAAACCTGGTTCTATTGTCGGTTGTGATTTTGCTGGGGAAGTTGTTGCTGTTGGTGATGCAGCTGTAGGTTAGTATTCAAATTTACACGTAGTGACGATCTGATTGCATTGTTCTCCTTCAGGAAATTATATACAAGGCGAACGTGTAGCCGGTTGTGTTCATGGTGGTCTCGATCCTAAATTTGGCATTCGCGGGTCATTTTGCGAATATATTGTTCAAGAGGCATCGCTCGTCTTTCGTTATCCATCAATGATGAGTCCTGAAGCTGCTACAACACTTTCACTTGCGTGTATTACAGCAGCCTTAGGTCTCTTTCACAAACTAGGCCTACCTCTACCACCTGCGACGTGCGGAGCATCTGTTTTAGTTTGGGGAGGAAGTACAAGCGTCGGTCAATACGCTATTCAACTAGCCAAAGCAGCAGGTTGCTTTGTGGTAGCGACAGCATCGTCAGCTCGTCATGAGTACTTGAAAGGACTCGGCTGTAATGCTTGTTTCGATTACAAAGATCCAAATGTAGTATCACAAATCAAACAAGTCACAAACGGTACTTTGGCATACGCTATCGATTGTGTTTCGGAAGCCGAATCAATTCGACGAGTGTGTGCAACACTGACCGGTAAAAATCCGCAGGTAGCCACTGTCCTACCTGGCTTACAGAACGAAATTCCATCTCACATCAAAGAGCACGGTATTTTGATGTACACAATCTTCGGACGTCCAATGAACGTCTTTGGTCTAGACTTCGATGCGGTTCCTGAAGACAAAGCATTTGCCGAGAAATTCTACCGACTTCTTACCAATGTCTTATTACCTCGAGGTCTAGTAAAACCGAACAAAGCAACTAAACTGCCCGGTGGACTCAGTGGAATCGAAGAAGGATTCAAAAAAATGATGGAGAATAGAGTAGCAGCTGAAAAGCTCGTCTACGCCATTGCTGAAACAACGAAACCATAAACTAAAATATAAGTTTTTTTTTCACTTTTGTAACATGCATGTTGCATACAAGTAGTCCAATCAAGAAATAAATTTGAAATTTTCTGCTTATTACAACCATAAGTTTAAATCGTGCATTAGAAATGAACAAATGAGTAAAAACATATGAAAACTAACGGAACAATCCATGTCATTTGTCCTCCTAAACGAACACTACTATCTGTTAACCATGGATCATCAACGATAGTTGTTGCATTCCACAATTCACCTGGTTTTCGCGTCCATGTTTTTTGATCTAGGACCATTTTCTTGGTGATGTTTGCATATAAATGAGGATAGACCGTTGTATTACTTCGCGACCATTCCCATTTCACCTCATATCCATTTTTTCTCATCCAGTAGAAATCTAATCGGAGAGCCCATATTTGAACTGTATAGTTATAATTTTTCATTACAAGTGGAAGCATGTTAATTGCACGAATGAGATGGACAAAACCATCTGCTGCATCACGATCAGACATAGGAAGAACATCAGGAAGAGGCGATGGTGGCGCGTCTGTTAAAACTTGATAGAGATACGATGGAAGAGGATCTGGCGGTGTGCCTGGTATGGCACCATTTGCCACTAAAAAGTAGAATCGAATTCCTAGAAAGTCTGTCGATGTATGCTACTTACGTAGGATATTGGTAGACAACAATATGAATGAAATCAATACGTACATAGTTCTTTGATAATCGAAGCAATGAAGTAAAAATTGAGTAGAAATGTGTATGTATATATAGAGCAAAAGAAATTAACTTTCGGAAGTATATGATTTTGAGAAGTAAATACGATTATCATTTTGTCATAAACGTTGATAAGTAGGCTGATATGATAAAATCATGGTTGCCAAGCTATATGATTGTATGTATGATTGTTTGCTATGTAACACATTGACTAACAGAATGAGAGAAAGATTAGAACAACAAAAGAATTTAAAATTTCCAACGATATCGTGTTACCTATGTAACTTTGAAATGCAGGGTAAACGCGTCTAAAATGAGAAAATTTTCCATTTAGGAATCAGTAAGAATCCATTTTCAATAATGCTTTCTTTTTTATTCAATCGAAAAAATCTAAGTTTTATCCTTAGAGAAACATTACAAGTACGAATTATTAATTAATATTCAGATATAGTTACGATTTTTTTTTCTTATAAAAGAAGTCTAACTTACTCACAGATAAGGCAGTGTAGTGCAACGGTCTAAGAAGGTAGACTTGTAATTGAATAGATGTCTTATTCGAAGCGTGATGGGAGAGATGACCATCAGAAGAGAATAATGATGACGCAGGTCAAAGCTGTGGGAATTGGATGCTTTTTTGGGAAAAAAGAATTCACATAGGTACGCACAATAATTTACAATCTGTTGACATGTTTTAAGATATAAGCCGCACATTCCTTTCTCAAGCGAAACAATGATGATTATGGTTTGAAATTCGAGAGTTTATTTGGCAAAAAATATAAAAATAAAAAATGGAGTATTTTGTCAATATGCATAGCAATATTAGGCTGCATCAGGAAAAAATTTTGAATAGTCTTTCAAATGGTTCATTGATGTGACAGATATCGTTGGGCCAGTTGCGACATGTGGCGTCAACGATCTGACTTGAAGTGGTTCATGAAATTCGTTGTAATCTTCTCGAATAATATCAGCTAATCTTTCTGCCAAGGCAAAGATCGTCGCCGTTGGATTAGCATCGATCTGTTCCCCGAATGCTGACGCATCACAAACTCGTACTTGACTGATGTTGAACACTCGTAATCTTGTATCACTGCACAATCCCATTTGACATGTGGAGATCGGATGTAATGCACTTTCTAAATGGCCGTCGATGAAAGTTTTGATTGGCGTATCTAAACCGGGATAGATTTCTTCGGCAAAGAGATTGCCCCATTCAGTATTGTTAATTAAATTGCGAAGTCTTTGTATGGTAATGTTGAATACACCATATTCATAATCGTTGATCGAGTCCCAGTTGAAGTTTATAATCGGTTTGTCACGAATGTTGTCAGATATTACAGTGACATTCCCTAAGAATGATGGATCTTGCAAAATCATACGGAGGGTTACTTCCGCTTGTTTTTCACGGTGTCCATTCGAACCGTACCGGCATTGACGAGGCTCAGGATTGGTGAACAGATCAGGCGAATGATAATTTGTATTGGAAAAATAGATTTGCAAATCAGTGATGTTATCTCCTCGTAGTCCAGTGTTCAAAGCAATGATCCATGATTTACTTCCATTTGGTATAGATCTCACATATGCAGTGACGTTTTTACCAACATTTGGAAATGTTGAAGACGTTTCTTTCACTCGTAAGATCATCGGGACAGCGACATGATCACGAAGATTTTTTCCTACATGAACATTTTCCGCGACTAATGGAATCCGAGCATTGGCAAGTGTTGACCGATCGCCCACTCCACTGACTTGAAGTAGCTGTGGCGTTGCGAATGCACCACCAGCCAGAATAACTTCTTTGTTGATTTTAATTGTGAATGTACCGGTCGAATTCTGAATTATCACTCCAGTGGCTTTAGGCGGTGAACTCTTATCGAACAAGATTTTTGTGACCATTGTTGCTGATCGAATACGAAGATTGGCACGATTAATCACCGATGGCTGAAGATAGCCTTGAAATGATGTGCCAAGGAAATAATCGGATTGCTCATCGGTTCGATTTCCTTTGCGATTGAAATAACGTTGAAACAAGGAACAACCGAGATATCGTTCACCATTAATATCTGCGTTATAACCACCCCACAATTGACTCGTATCATTACAGAGAGATTCGAAGTGTTTCGATACATTAGCGAATTCGGGTACATAAGTTGGATTGACCTGGAGCGGACCATGTTGACCATGATACTTTCGACAATTTGCATCAGAAATACCAGTTACTTTTTCATCGTAATAATAACAGTAATGATCTTCAATTTTTTTGAAATAGGGTAATAAATCATCATACGTCCAATTCGATGGCCATCGACGCATGATCGCTGGTGATGGACGAACGTTGATACCACCGTACAATCGAGCTGTACCACCGAGACCATTGAAACGAGGTATATACATGATTTTATTATTACCAGCTCGCAACGGTAAGCTGGTAATTACTGGGTCATGTGGAGAGACAAAACTGTACACTGGAAGTAAATCGTTCGGGTCGATATCGGTTGAGCTCAGTTCTTCATGTGGACCACCGTCGACAGCTAGTACAGTCCATCTTGATACTTCTGACAATCGAGATGCGATAACCGAACCACCAGCACCCAATCCAACGACGATGAAATCGAATTCTTCGATAAAGCTTGCCTTTTCTTTCTGAATGGAAACAAATTTAGCCGTCATTACAGCTCCCCAAATACAAGCAGCTAATACCAATGCCATTGGAACACAAAAGAAAGCGACCAGCATCTTCTTGCTTAATCGACGATCGTTCGATGATGAGTTGGATTCTTTGGGTACACTTGTTGTAAATACCATTTTTGTACGTCTAGAGAAGTGAGAAATGAATGAGGCAGATGTTGAGCGATGTCCGTTTATATACATACAAGGCAAGGAGAGAAAACGTCATGTGTATGATATTTACTGAAAGGAAGTGAACTCTATCTTCTTCTCATTTCTTGGAAAAGAAGATGATAACGTAAAGTGAGTCATTCTTTCATTTCTTCTCAGGTAAATATCATATCAAATTCACTATACATAGGTTTTACTCAATGCAGTAAAACAACGATATCAGATTATGACATATATCAGTTCCTTTTTCGTACTTTTTTATTTCAAGCACAACTTCTTTTGTTAAATTTCAAACGTCACTGATGATGAAAATATTAGAGGGTATTAGGCAACATTCGTAAAGTTCACGGAGCTTTTGGTTGATTTTTATGTGAACTACTTCCTTTGTCTCGTCATGTAGGTAAATGATTTTGCTCTTCTCGACAATAAACACGTCAGAACGACAACAAGTCTTCGTGCAAAAAATACCATCTATACGAGTCGCCTATACTACATATATATTCGCATTTTAATATCATCGAAGTACAGAAAAACACTAAGACAAAATTGAAAGTTGAGTTATTCCAATGACAGTTCAAACTTCAATCGAAATTGTTGAGTTAAACAACAAAAACGAACCCACAAAAGAAGAACTAAAATCTTTGGAACATGTTTCCGATAAAATACCTGTCAACGTCTGGTTAATCATCCTATGCGAATTCGCATATGGATTCGCATATTACGGTTTAAATGGTCAATTTCAGAACTANTTTCACGGTGTCCATTTGAACCGTACCGGCATTGACGAGGTTCAGGATTGGTGAACAGATCAGGCGAATGATAATTTGTATTGGAAAAATAGATTTGCAAATCAGTGATGTTATCTCCTCGTAGTCCAGTGTTCAAAGCAATGATCCATGATTTACTTCCATTTGGTATAGATCTCACATATGCAGTGACGTTTTTACCAACATTTGGAAATGTTGAAGACATTTGTTTAACTCGTAAGATCATCGGGACAGCGACATGATCACGAAGATTTTTTCCTACATGAAAATTTTCCGCGACTAATGGAATCCGAGCTTTGGCAAGTGTTGACTGATCGCCCACTCCGCTGACTTGAAGCAGCTGTGGAGTTGCGAATGCACCGCCAGCCAGAATAACTTCTTTGTTGACTTTAATCGTGAAAGTACCAGTTGAATTCTGAATTATCACTCCGGTGGCTTTAGGCGGTGAACTCTTGTCGAACAAGATTTTTGTGACCATTGTTGCTGATCGAATACGAAGATTGGCACGATTAATCACCGATGGCTGAAGATAACCTTGAAAAGATGTACCAAGGAAATAATCAGATTGCTCATCGGTTCGATTTCCTTTTCGATTGAAATAACGTTGAAACAAGGAACAACCGAGATATCGTTCACCATTAATATCTGCATTATAACCACCCCACAATTGACTCGTATCATTACAGAGAGATTCGAAGTGTTTCGATACATTAGCGAATTCGGGTACATAAGTCGGATTGACCTGAAGCGGACCATGTTGACCATGATACTTTCGACAATTTGCATCAGAAATACCAGTTACTTTTTCATCGTAATAATAACAGTAATGGTCTTCAATTTTTTTGAAATAGGGTAATAAATCATCATAAGTCCAATTCGATGGCCATCGACGCATGATCGCTGGTGATGGACGAACGTTGATACCACCGTATAATCGAGCTGTACCACCGAGACCGTTGAAACGAGGTAAATACATGATTTTATTATTACCAGCTCGCAATGGTAAGCTGGTAATTACTGGGTCATGTGGAGAGACAAAACTGTACACTGGAAGTAAATCGTTCGGGTCGATATCGGTTGAGCTCAGTTCTTCACGTGGACCACCGTCGACAGCTAGTACAGTCCATCTTGATACTTCTGACAATCGAGATGCAATAACCGAACCACCAGCACCCAATCCAACGACGATGAAATCGAATTCTTCGATAAAGCTTGCCTTCTCTTTCTGAATGGAAACAAATTTAGCCGTCATTACAGCTCCCCAAATACAAGCAGCTAATACCAATGCCATTGGAACACAAAAGAAAGCGACCAGCATCTTCTTGCTTAATCGACGATCGTTCGATGATGAGTTGGATTCTTTGGGTATACTCGTTGTAAATACCATTTTTGTACGCCTACAGAAGTGAGAAATGAATGAGGCAGATGTTGAGCGATGTCCGTTTTTATACATACAAGGCAAGGAGAGAAAACGTCATGTCTATGATATTTACTGAAAGGAAGTGAGGTCTATCTTCTTCTCATCTCTTGAAAAAGAAGATAATAACGTAAAGTGAGTCATTGTTTCGTTTCTTCTCAGGTAAATATCATATCACATTCACTATACATAGGTTTTACTCAATACAGTAAAAGAACGATATCAGGTTATGGCATATATCAGTTCCTTTTTCGTGCTTTTTTATTTCCAACATAACTTCTTTTGTTAAATTTCAAACGTCACTGACGATGAAAATATTAGAGGGTATTAGGCAACATTCGTAAAGTTCACGGAGCTTTTGGTGGATTTTTATGTGAACTACTTCCTTTGTCTCGTCATGTAGGTAAATGATTTTGCTCTTCTCGACAATAAACACGTCAGAACGACAACAAATCTTCATGCAAAAAATACCAACTATGCAAGTTGTCTATACTACATATATATTCGCATTTTACTATCATCGAAGTACAGTAAAACACTAAGACAAAATTGAAAGTTGAGTTATTCCAATGACAGTTCAAACTTCAATCGAAATTGTTGAGTTAAACAACAAAAACGAACCCACAAAAAAAGAACTAAAATCTTTGGAACATGTTTCCGATAAAATACCTGTCAACGTCTGGTTAATCATCCTATGCGAATTCGCATATGGATTCGCATATTACGGTTTAAATGGTCAATTTCAGAACTATATTCAATTTCCTGCTCCCGATTATAACAGTGCCGAACATCAACCTGGCGCTCTTAACAAAGGTCAAAAAGTAGCGACAAGTCTAACAACATTTTTTCGCNAAGAACTAAAATCTTTGGAACATGTTTCCGATAAAATACCTGTCAACGTCTGGTTAATCATCCTATGCGAATTCGCATATGGATTCGCATATTACGGTTTAAATGGTCAATTTCAGAACTATATTCAATTTCCTGCTCCCGATTATAACAGTGCCGAACATCAACCTGGCGCTCTTAACAAAGGTCAAAAAGTAGCGACAAGTCTAACAACATTTTTTCGCTTCTACTCAGCATTGACCTCTATGATCGGTGCTATTATTGCCGACCAGTACTTAGGTAAATACAAAACCATGCTTATATCTTGTTTCATATATATGACTGGTTTATTGGTCATTTTGGTCACTTCAATTCCTCAATCGATATCTGTCGGACTCGGCTTACCTGGATTGATCATTGCTATGCTTCTGTTAGGACTGGGAACAGGTGGAATCAAATCAAATATATCGTCGCTCATGGCAGAACAATATACATGCAAAAAACCATTTACGAAAGAAACGAAAAGAAAAGGCTTGGTCATTGTTAGTCCATCAGTTACCATTGAATCGATGTTTCATTATTTTTATTTGGTAGTGAGTGTTGGTTCATTAGCATCAATTCTGACAACAATCATTGAAAAATATCATTCATTCTGGCTGTCCTATCTTATTCCATTGGTCATATTCGTCATTGCCATTATCGTACTACTTGCCGGCCGTAATAAATATGTGAAAGTTCCACCAACTGGCTCACTTCTGGTCAAGTCTTTCAAAGCCATCCGAACAGCTTTTGTTCTTCGTCGGAAATATAACAAAGAATTTCTGACGGTATCATCAGTATTAGATTACAGTAAATCATCGACATACAAGTCAGCAAAAGAAGTTTTTGATTGGGATGACACATTCATCGATAATCTTAAACAAGCATTTTACGCAAGTAAAATCTTTATATTTTTTCCGCTGTACTCCCTATGTACAAATCAAATTCATAGCAATTTAATCTCACAAGCAGCACAAATGAATACAGGTCCATTACCGAATGATGTTATTAACAACATTGATCCACTTATTACTATTCTACTAGTGCCGATATTCAACAAAGTGTTCTATCCTTTATTAAGAAAACTAAAAATTAATTTCCATAGTATTTCACGCATTACAGTTGGCTTCTACATGGTTTCCTTCGGAATGGCATNTACAAATCAAATTCATAGCAATTTAATCTCACAAGCAGCACAAATGAATACAGGTCCATTACCGAATGATGTTATTAACAACATTGATCCACTTATTACTATTCTACTAGTGCCGATATTCAACAAACTGTTCTATCCGTTATTAAGAAAACTAAAAATTAATTTCCACAGTATTTCACGCATTACAGTTGGCTTCTACATGGTTTCCTTCGGAATGGCATGGACAGCTTTTGTACAAGCAAAAATCTATCAAACGAATCCCAACTTTGATTTTTCCATTCAATCAAACAATCTAAGTGCTGCCTGGCAAATTCCATCATATTGTTTCTCTGCTCTATCCCACATATTCGCTTCAATATCAGCTCTCGAATATGCTTATGTGAATGCGCCATCGAATATGAAATCAGTTGTGACATCAGTCTATTTCATTACACATGCCATCAGTTCCGCGTTGGGATTTGTTCTCCTACCAGTAACTGTCGATCCGAAATTGACGTGGATGTATACAGCACTCGCCTGTGTAGCGTTCATTGCTGGAACTTTGTTTTTCTTATGCTTCCGTCGAAGATGTGTCTCTGTTCACGTAGAAACTGTTGACGTTCCCGATTCCATCGAAGAGCAAACTGAACAACGGATCGCCTGTGCTCGTTCGATCAGTATAGTAGAAGATTAAATGTCTGTGAATCCAATCAGCGACAACTGATCTATTATGGAAAAGATATAATTTCTTGCTTATAAATCACATAGTGACTCTCATTATTGAAGAAAAATATTTTTATAATGCTTTTCGATTCATCTGTATTTTAATAAACTGAGAAACATGACAGAATAAAAGGAATCTTCAATTTGTCTCGAAATCAAATTCACGCTTCGTTATAAGTTCCGTTGAAAGTATATTATTTTGTTTATGTATTTAATTGCAAAGTTGCATCGACAGGAATTGACCATTCTCCATAAGTTTTGAGTGAGTTCGTCTCGTACGAGTGGAACAATCAGACATAATTGTTTAAGATACTCAATACATGTATGATTAGTTTGAAAAATAAGCTTCACAAGTGATGTCAGGTCGATACCATCTGTACAATTCATTGTTAAATATTCTACAAATGGACAAAGACAAAGAACAAATTGAACTTGTTGCATATCAGATATAGAATGTAAATTAACTTGTGTAATACTGTGATTTTTCTGTGACAAGCGTACTATGCGATGTTTTTTGTTCAACCAATTTTCTGCTTCACACGATGGTAAACATAATACTGTTAAATTTGTTAGATATGATAATTTTTGTATCAATTTGGCCAACATTAATATAGGAATATTACTACAATCAACATTGAGACGAGCAATTTTAAATACAGTTAAAAATGGATCAAGTTTTCTAATGAGGCTTTTATTCAATGATTCAACTAAATGCTTTGTCCATCGAAGTTGAAGTTTTGAATCAAAAATTTCATTTGTGTATGGCTGAATTGAATAGATAATTTCGAAATTATCAATACTTATCTCAAATTTCCACTGTTTTTCGATCCAAAATTGATTCGTAAACTGATTGGCCAAGTGATGTACGGGAGTCACTTTATAATCATCATCAAAATATTCATGATATTCGAAGTAAAACTTTCGTAATTGCAACATATTCGTAGAAATGAGTTGTTGCCATCGATTTGCATCAAGGTAGGATGAATCATTGAATGTAACAACCTTCATTATTTGTAGGGTTGAAGAGATTTTGCGAATAAAGGTTTCGAATTCATCGAAGTCCATCTGACAATCTTTCAGTGATAAAAATATCAGTTTATCAGTGGCGATCAACGGAAAAGAGGTAAACAAACATGTTAAAGACTTCTTACAGGTCAAATGACTGAGATTAGGCGTAAACGACAGAATAGTCATGATGTCATTGACTGTGCAAGGGTGGTCAATGATCAGATATTTAATCAGATTTGCTGATTTGAGTGATTGATATGGCCAAAAGAATGACAGTCCATTTTCTAATGATGAAATTTTGAGATAATTTAATACTCGTAAGCGGAATATCGATGAGTAGATGGTGTAAAGATCAATTTGATCATCTGCAAGGCGGATAGTCAGTTGGTGAAGACGAGGGCAATAAAGTAAGTTTTGAAGAAGGCGAAGAGCTTGATCTGTTTGGATGAATTGAATACTGAGTGATTCTAGTTGAGTAAATGATGAGTCGATTGGATAGGAAGTTAAAAATTGATCCATGTGCAGATCATAAGATAAATGAAGTGAATAGATTTGGTATTTTTGCGGTAACAGAATCTCTCCGCAAAGTTTGACTCTCAGTTTAAGAGACGAACTTGTCAGCAATTGTCGGAAACGATAATTCAAATTTAAAAATGATTGTAATATATCATATCCATCAAGATAACGAAAGATCTCCACGAACATTTCGTCGGGCAAACATTCGATACTGGCGATAGTCATAATCATAAAAAATTTTTCAATTTCAAAAAGCTGCGATTCCATGAAAATTTATATAAACATAACTTCCAAAACGGAAACAATAATCTTTCCCGGTATTGTACTTTCGTCATTCTGTCATATTTCATCATACGCTTTCTTTCGTTTCATAAGTAGCATTACTGGTAATTATTCATGCCAGAATGACGCTGGGAAGTGAAAGAACGAAACGAAAGAAAGAAAAGAGGACATCTTGCGGAGGATCTCCTACAGCGCAAGCTTTTACAGAATAGACCAACATTTCGTCGAAATCTCATTTGTAGGATTTGTAAAAATAATTTCAGCATCGGTTAATAAAAACTGAAAAAACATAATGAACCAATGAAAAGTTTGGTCATCACTAGCACATCTAAGTTATCCGAAGTAATCATTAATATGAAGAATGAGCACATTTTATCCACAAATTTTCTATTACCAGTCACGATCTGAATTTCGCCGTTTAAAAATAACACCGTAGAGATTAATAATAACAGTATTTACTTTTAACTTCGTTTCGAAATTCTTTTTATTAGAGATCGAGAGTCATGCTTTGCTAAGTGGTGAACGGCTTAGACAGTATTGAGTTGGTATATAATGTTAAAATACAGAACGAAGCCATTGTTCAAATATTACATTCGCGTCTGTCTACGACTTCCGTGACTTTCTTCATATAATAAAAGTATTTGTTTTCCCATTCAATCTTCTTCTTCGAAGTCATTCTATTCAAAGATCATAAACCAATGTTGATCATATTATATTATTGCTTTGAATACACGAGAGAGAGAGAAAACTGTCGTCATTAAATGAAATATCTAGTGATGTCAATCATGAGAAGAAAGAGAAATGTAAATACTAAAGAAACTGTAAGTATGCGCATTTTATTGAATAAATGGTTGTTGTTCTTCTATTGATTTTCACCTATAAAGCATAAGGTCGATGAATCTACCGAAACTCTGCTCAACAGTTGAATGGAATCGAGTCGCAACCACTTTTGTCGACGCAAATAGGCTTGACATAGACGTTATCAATATATTCATTGATACAAACGACAAAGTTTATGGCATTAACTGTCATACCGATCAAATTCGACTTTGGTACGAGGATAATACCCGTTTTTGAGCAATTTATGTCTATAAATATTGTATGGCTACATCTATATTAATTGTTATGGTACAGATAATATCTTTAAATGTTCGCCGAACATGGACAGTTGTGCTTCTTCAATGTATATGTGAGCGGAATGTTCGAGTCTCGTTATCAATATTTATAACTATCTATATATTGCTCGGTTTCTACTAAGCATAAAAATTGTGAAAGGATGGTTGGAGTTGTGAGTGGCACAGGTAGGAGAGATTCAGCGCTGGATGAATTAGATCTACTCTCAGGAATCTTCGTGGATATGTGCAGCAGATTATGTCGACAAATGTCTCTTTATTTCGGACAGTGAGGATACAGCGTTTAAACTTAGAACGCCGTACTTCAAACAGAATTCGTACGGAAAGCTTGTTTTTTTTCTGGTCTTCTCTATAGATACTTCTTAGTTGAAACGTTCATGCTTGTCTCCTCTTGTAATCGTATGGTGAACGCTCCGGTGTTGGGATTGTGTAGAAAATCATTGGAAAAAATACGAGTAACACAGATCGAATCGCTTAAAAGGCAGGTACGCTATTATCTTTATGTATAACCTGTTTCGCATCTAAGATATAGAACAAATTGACGTTTTATCATGACAATTTTCCTTTCATGTATAATTCTCAAGGTTTTTTATTTTCAGAAAGAGAATATATCCGACTTGAAAGAACTATCTTGGCTGACCACATGTTCCCGTATTGCAAATAAAAACTACTGTCATATTTTCCATCTGTCAATAGTATTATTAATACGATAGTAGAATGAAATATTTGCCTTTCATTTTACGTCGGTATGAAAAATGGCACAAGAATCTTTCCTTCGTTTGAAACTACTAGTACTCGATTTAAATCTTTTCAAAAATTCGACTAGTAATGAGCACACTCTCATTAAAGAACGCTTTACTACACGCATTTTCCTCGTTTTGTTTCTCTGTTTATTTATCACGATTGGACTAACAGCATCATTGCTTTTTTATACGGTAAATAAATCAGAAAGTTCACCATCATTATCAAGATTTCAATATCTCGTAAACAAATATCCAAAGACAATGAACTGTCCATGTTCAAATGTTGGAATTACTTATCAAACATTCATTAGCATTCATGTGAAATTTCATCAAGTATGTTCCAGTCAATATATTACCAAATCATGGATTGAAAGTGTCTTTGCACAAAGAAATCTGTCATCTTTCAAATCTGATGACATTCATCAAACGTTAAGTTTCTTCTGGCAAATAATTGCAGATTTCTGTACAATTAGTAGTCAAGCATTTGACTCAGCGATTATCAATTTTGGCTCAGCATTTATACTCAGCCCGAAGGCCATCGCACCAAATATAATTGAAAATGAAATCTATTCTGAACTAAATAGTTATATCGCATCAATTCAAACAGCATTACTTCAAAATTTACTTGCAATTCAACGAACTATTTCCGGTAATCAATATGTTTCAGCTTTAACAAATAATTTCTATTTCATTGCTTTCAATGAACAAAATTCTATTCGAATGTCACCGAAAGAATTAAATAATTGTTCATGTATGAGAATCACTGGTTGTTCACATCCAGCTCTGATAAATGAAACCATCATTCCCGGACTGATTCTTGATTGTTATTTAATTGATGCAACATTAGCTTCGACTTTCGAATGCTATTACAATCAAACTTGTTTTTCTCTTCTACATGAAAACTTTTCCTCGTCAGTCAAATTACTTTCCAGCGAACAAAACAAACACGTTGCACTAAACTCGTCAATTCAATCGCTTCTAGAACGACTTATGATTGATGATTTAACTATTGAAATTCATTTCGATTTATTCTACGATCAATGTAAACCAACATTTTGTTCATATTCCTATTCTCATCGTTTTGATGTGATGTTTGTCATTGCAACGTTAATTAGTAGTTTTGGCGCGTTATCTTTAATCTTACCATACGTTGCTCAGTTGATAGCAATAATTATTTTATATTTTAAAGAAAAGAAAACCAAAAGAACAAATGAAAATGCTATAAAATCAGGTAATACATGTTCTGTTTTCACAACTGATTTGTTAAGAATAAAGATTTCTTTTCTATAGTAAAACAGACTCTCATTGGTGGAATTCAATTTATCTATGAAAATATGATTAATTTAAATCTATTTGAAAATAAACTGACAGATGCGAAATATTTATACGAACAACGATTTACTACTCGACTTTTCATTCTATTTTTCACGATACTTTTCATTATCATCAGTATTTTCGTAATCATATCGAAACAGAGTCAATTGATAATGATTTCTCAGCCATCAGAAGAAGATTATCAACAGCTAAATGATAAATATGGCTCACTAGTTACTTGCCCTTGTTCACAAATATCCGTACCGTATGGAACATTTCTTAATATTAATTTTGTTATTCATCAGATGTGTTCGAGTGATCTCGTTTCAGTAGAATGGATTAATTATTTGTCATCATTTAATCCAATGAATGTAACAGATTGGATTATACCCAGTGTGGCACAAGATTTTCGAATTTTTGGCGCGTCGTACTTCCAGTTACTGCAAGTGTTCTGCCAATTGGCAAATAAGACGATTGAAAACGCACAAAATGTTTTTCTAACAACTGAATTCATCAATAATAATCTTATATCTCCCGATATATTTTATCAAAAATCTACAGACCTAATGGAAATATTCATTCGTACTACTCAAAATACTTTCATTCAGTCGTACCAATGGCTTGAAGTCGTCAACATAATAAATCTTTTCATTACAGGCACGGAATCAAATTTTGATGGAAGTATCATAGATCAACAACTTATCTTGAGCGATAAACTTCTCCATCAAGCTGTCTTTATTAGATATGGTGTCCTAGCAGGAGTAGGCCCTTGTAAATGCTCGACACGGAGCAACAACTGTGCTGTTGGACTACTTCTCTTTAAAAATGCATCAGATATGTTGGATGATGCACAGTTTTTCTCAGAAATTCCTTATGGTTGTATTCCTTGGAAAGGATTTGTAGGTTCAACAATTGATTGGTGGTATGATGCATCTTATATCAATGATATTCGAAATACTTATATTGCAGCTATGCCGACTTCATTTTCACCATTTGTAATACCGCTCAATCGATTAACAAATGATTCGTTTAGTCAAATACAGGCTAAGTATTTAATTGAAAATATGTTTATTGAAACAATTGTGGAAAGTCCGGCAAATTTTTCGGCATTTTATCATCAATGTGCACCTCGATCTTGTTCATATACAATTGTTCGACGTCAAAATATGTTTGTACTTATTGTTCTTTTAGTATCAATAAGTAAAGGACTCAATGGTATTCTCCGTTTACTGATACCTTTACTTAGTAGAATTATTATACATTTTCTTCATAAATTTCTGCACCCATTTCGCAATCCGACTAAGAGTAACTTTTTATATTGTATTTAGTATAGGAGATTTTTTTTTTTTGTTTGTTTTAGCGAGAATTTCAATCTGATCGAAATGATGCAATCAGTTTACATTTACAATTAATCTGCACACGTGTTTATCTCATTATTTTCATCATTTGTTTAGTAATCTTAATATTCTGCGAGTCAGTTATTGAACATACTGCCACAATAATCACTTCGAATCCAAGTCTACAAGATTATACGAACAGCTTCTTCGTCTTTATCCGGATAATGTCAATTGTCCATGCACACAAATTGCCATTCCTTATTCGAAAATAGTTACTCAACTGAATGTTACATCATTTCATCAAGTATGCACAACTTCATTGTTGCTGAATATGTTAGAAATAGGTCGACCTTTGGGAAGTATAGGTACTTCGAACAGATCGTGCTTTGATGCTTGGAGATCTTTATTCCTCACCGGTCTTAATACTCTATGTGAATTAGCAATAAACAATGTCAATAATAGTATCGAAATGTTTCTTTCATCAACAATGTTAACATATCAAATGATTCCTCGGAATGTGTTTAATCAACAGATCGACACTACTCTCACTCGATTTCGAAATCAATTACCAATTGAATTTAATCGAACACTTGAACTTATTCGAGCAACTAGCCATGACAATGCTCTAATTGCATATTTTCCTTCGAATTGGAATCTTTTCGTTACAAATGATACGAACTCCTTTATCACCGAACCGATTGTCTACAATTCTGTAGATACGAACTCTTCATGCTCATGTGCCACTGAACGATCTTGTGCAATGCCAGTATTAATTTATGATTATGCAAATGAATCGTATTTTAATTTACCTGAGAATGTTTTCTATAGTTGTACACTAATTGAAACAATTCTTCATTCATCATTGTTTTGTTTCTATTCGGATGTATGTGTTCTACGATATCGCCGTTTAACATCTGCAGGACGACTTCAAGATCGATATTTTAATCAAATCACTGCGTGCATCTTTAACGCTTCATTAACACATTTCGATAGAAATGATACAATTAAAACGATGGCTTCTTCTATGTTTATAGAATCATGGCTCAGTAATACATCCTATGAAAATTTCTGTAAAACTTGTTTGCCAACAGAATGTATTAGTACCTATCGCTATCGGTTCGATATTTTCGAAATAATTACTACATTTCTAAGCATCTATGCCGGTATAGCAATAATATTACGATTTTCACTAAAATTCGAAACTATAAACGTGTCCGCCCGCACTACACACTTATTGACATTCATACATTGGCTTACACATCGTTTGTTCGTACTAGCTTCGCACTGATACTTTGATATATTGAGTAGTGTAGACATCGTTAATTCGACTCGAGTTTTAAAACTTTCGTTCGAATTCTAAATCTTTCGGTTTAGAATTCAAGCACTCGAGTTTTAAACTTCTAAATCTAGAATTCCAAGTTTCGAGTTTTCCGCTTATCGCCAACTAACGGAACGGATGCCGTTCACATTAGCTCGACTATGCCGTTGCAGGCTACACCCTACCAACCACCCACACCCTAGGTACCATTAGATACTAAAACGCTGAGCAGGTCCACAGATACTGGCAGCATCTGACGCTCCCCCTCTCCCTTGCTTGGTACAGCGTTTATTTGGTTTGATGTACATTGACTGGATCGTATAAGAAAAGTTCTTTTTATTCTAAAAACACTACAGTTCATGTTCGAGTTTGTTGTAGTACTTCATTTTCTCAATTTTCTCAAGTCCATAAGCAATTTTTTCAAACAGATCCTCTATTTTTGCATTTAATTCTTTGAATACATTTTGGTTTTGCTCAAGTTGAACAATTTCTTCTGCTGTCCAATAGAATCCCACAGAATGACCAATAACGTTGAAAGTTTCCAAACCAAATTTTGTAGCAAATAAAGTCTTTACTGTCTTTGATAAAATATTTGTTGGTGTTGTTGCGAATTCAACAGCGGTAACAGCAAGATCTAGTACGGATGTAAGTATATTATTTATATAATCGCTTCTTCTTGATAATAGTGACTCCATTTGTTGTTGAATCCCAGATAGAATAGTTACTACCGTTTGATTGGCTTTTTCACATTCAAATTGTGATTTCTCTAACTTAATCGTAATTTTTTCTAATTTTAATGGCTCTATATAGGCCTCATTTGTTATTTCTATTTTTTTCATTTCATCGATAGCCATTAAATAATTTTTCTCGGCTCCATCAATATATGCTTTACTATTATTTAACGCTAATTGTAAGTGAGTTGATTTACGATATTGTTCCGATTTTTGTATGAGGTCGTATGTTTCTTTAAGGTTTTTAATCATATTAGCTGTTCGGCAAGCTGCTTTAATAGTTTGTCCTTTTACCATATTCTGTACTTGACCTATCATTTTGTTGTTTAACTTCGATTCAATAATAGACAGTCCAACTTTCATATCGTTTACACCTTTTTTATTTGAGATACTTTCGATTAGATTGTATTTATTGAATGTCGGATCATTTTGAAAATATTCACCGAGTTTACTCCATGATTGTTGAGCATCGTCCAATAGATCCGTTGGTAGAATTACGTGTTCATGATTTCTGTCGGCTAAGTCGACTATTTTTCTCATATCTTTGATATTATTCATGATGTTTTCATATGTTTCGTAACAGCCTTTTTTTACATTCACATATGTAAAACCTTGAAATAACACATAGCCAATATCCAATATAGCTTCCTGTTTTCTAGAATCAGTTGGACGTAGTTGTGCAACCAAAAATAAAAGAGATAAACCCGAAATCAGCCTCATACCTTAAAATATAATAAACTCTAATAGAATCAGTTTCTGTAAAATGAAAGATTTGCCTTCGATCTAATTAGTTTGAATACTTAAGTATGTTTTTATACTAACAGTCATTGATCTTTATCAGTACCTATGGATCTTTCGAAATTTTCTTGCGTTCTGTCATTTCAAGCACATCATGATAATCGATAGACATAAAATTAAGTAAAAACTACTTGTTAAATAAAACAGGCACGTGTAATGATAAGAATGGATTCAAGAAAAAACAAACTTTTGTACAACAGGAAAAAGTAAATATGGAAGATAAGAAGTATATAAAAGATTACAGTTAACAGCACAGCATCAAGTTTACGTCGCATACCAAACGCCTCTCTGAAAATGGTTAGTTGCAATAGTAATGTCGATGTTAATCGGTTAAATGAACAGATACAAACATTATCGCGCCGTGTAGATCAACTTGAAAGACGGGCCATGAAGCAAATTGTCAAGAAATTGTTCATACCACCAGAATTACAAAAAATTCAGTTACATGAGCAGAAAATGCAGTATCATATTGATCTTTTGAACTACTTGCCACCGAATGAAGATGTCAAAGCAGTTCTTTTGGCAGTGAAAGTTGTGCATAGTAACCATCCCTTTGGGCATGCTTACTTAGGATTCAGTGCTCATCAACAACGTTGTCTGCCCGATCAGAAAACTGATTTTATTGAACAAACCTATAATTGTCACGGTACAATACATCAACAAGAACTCATCGTTCCGTGGAATAGTAGTGTGGCAAATTTATCAATGAATCTAGTGATTGATGTCACGTATTCATATAATACTGGGAGTTATCCAGAACAAGGAAACGTGAATCATTTTGAAATTAAAGTGACCGGTTACATTATTTGAGGGACGATTTCACGACTTAATGTTAGGACAAAGTCGAAGTATACTTTAATCACTTTTTAAGATCATGCTCCTTCGTTGTATCTGCCGAAAAAGAAACTTCTTTCGTTCGTGTAATTTGAGTATATCGCTTCTTCTTTTGTAAACATATTGCAAAGCCCTGTTTCCAAGTAAAGAGTCGTTGGAAAATATCAATACTCTTCAACGACCGCGGGAATCCTTCGCCCAAGTATCAGAGATGTGAAATCTAATCTCGATTACATGTCTTCAGTGCTTTAATTGTAGTTTAAATTAACATCAATGAATACAAAGACGATCTGGGTGAATTTCACCCCAATCTATCGGCTGATACTTTATCATCGCTCGCAGACAACTAAACCCGCAAAACCTAGTTTTCAACACTTCTTGTTTACACAGGTTATCGATAAGTCACACGGTTTTCTCTTTCTCTTCTTCTTCTTCCTACTGCCAAGCCATTTGTACAGAATCCACAATATGAGATCGCGTACTGAGTGATAGATATACTCATATTCCATCGAAATGTATAAAACAAATCAAGTTAATACATACAAAATATACAACATAGAAAGCAAAAGAAGCAAATTCAAACTCAAGAGTCGCAAGTATTCAGTAAAATAGTGACATTGTACTGTGACCTTTCAACGATAGCAAGATCCAATTTTCCATCACTATTAAAATCGCTCGAAGCCATGGCGGATGACATACTGTGAGTTACAGTCGAAAACGTTGTTCGCCCAAAAAACGTTCCATTTCCTCTTCCAAAAAGTACACCAACGTTAGGCATACCCGTATTTCCAAAAGCAATATCCAAACGACCATCGGTGTTATAATCGCCAGTCACTAACATGCCCGGACGAGCATATCGTCCAGTTGAGTATTCCATTTCTTCTTTCAATGTCCCATTGTCATTTCCGAGAAAAACTTTTATTGTGCTTCCTTCGGAATTTGCTATGACGACATCCAATTGACTATCGTTATTAAAATCATTGACAACGATTGGCACTTTAGAATTATAGAAGTTGGTCAGAAAACTAACCGACTCACCGAAATAACCAGTTCCATTACCAAACAAAACACACATATGACCTGTGTAGTGGTCGGTGACAATAAGATCTAGCTGTCCGTCATTATTGAAATCGCCCACAGCAATAAATGATGTTCCATCACAGATACTGGGGTTAGTGCCTGTTTGTGCTATGAATGTTCCATTCGCACTACCGCGAAGCAATCGTATTCTATCGTCTCCCCAATAATTGACAATGATTAAATCTAAATGGTTGTCATTGTCGAAATCTCCAACGGCAAGATTAGATGAATCACTTGTTTCAGTCTCATCTGAATAGGTCATCAATGATCCGAAACTACCATCATCATTGCCGAACAGAACACCTATGTTAAATCCTCTATAACTAGCAAAAGCAAGATCTAGGCGACCATCATTATTGAAGTCATCGGTGAGAAGTGAGTCAACTTGGCTGATAGTTTCAGTTGAACACATTGAGGGTTCTTGAAATGTTCCATCATCGTTACCAAATAAAATACCTATGCTACCAGTAAAGTAGTGAATGAATACGAGATCTGGATGATGATCGCGATTAAAGTCAGCAACAACAATTGCAATTGTTAGATCACCAGTTGAATAAGAAATCATTTTTTCAAAGGTGAAATTACATGTTACTAAGATACAAAAATAACTATGCTTATTATCGATGTCAAAACTAGAATTGTTGGCTGTGAATGGGGATATGTTCATGTCCTCAGAGTATAGATATACGGACAGCATACAAACCTGCAGAACTAGAGACTGTTGTTGTTGTTGTTGAAACGTTCATCCCTGATGTTGTGTACGCTGTCGAGCCCATCGGAATTTCTAAAATATGATAAATATTTGCATAATATTGAGTCAAATCCATGAAATGACTCCGTAGAAGAGAGTCTTACGTGACAGCTGTGCAGGATTCTTTCGTTGCCGATTGAGATAAACAGCTGGAACGACAGCAGTCGCAGATATAATTATTGATAAAATGATCCCAAATAAGAGAAAGGAAAACATGGTTGAACGCAATTTAGTCCTACGATAATCAGAAAAAAGATGATGATTAAAGCCGAAAGAATGATTATGTACCGTGATGGTGGAGTCGTGGATATCGATGTATGAATGGTCGTCATGCCAATGTTATCTATAGGCTGGATTGAACTGTTTTTATTCTTTCGACGCTTGTTCACTTTATATATAAGATAAATGATTTTTGGACAAATACGCTTGAGAATGAGTGTTAAACCACCATACAGACCAAGTAAAAGAGTAATTGTATACAATGAATTGAGTTTTTGTATGTACGTATATGAACACAATATGGGTGAACATTGGTCAAAGTATGTGGAATAGTTAATTACTGTTGACCAGTTCTCGATGAAGAGGACATTAACAAGATCGTGAACAGAGGTGTTCATTAAGAATCGACTATTATTTATGGAGAGTAGTGGTGGTGGTGGTGACGTGTTCGTGATATTGTTAGGATCAATATTGTTTATAACTTGTTGAAAAAGGTTAATACACAATGATTGATAAAAACATTCAAGAGTTGAACCAAGAAATGATTCGCTTGGTGTACAACCCATTTTCAGACCTTGAATAGAAATATTCTGAGATGAATCTGTCAGAATAAAAACAGCTGGAATGGTACAATTTCCATCTAAAGCACAAGAACAATTATCATCATAGATTGTTGCTTGAGTGATAAGAGGAGCGTTAAACATATCATACGTATAATAGGGAGCGATATACTGAAAATTAGTATTATAGGCCGAGATAATTGCATTGCCTTGATTTGTCTTTCGAAGTAAATCAAGAAAACGTTTCAATGCTATGGGTGCATCGGATTTACTCTGCTCAATAAGTAACTGAATGTTTGTGTCAAAAATTGGTTGTGACATTAGTTGAGCGGTAATAAAATTTGAAGAAAGAAATCGAACAATAGCATCATTCACTGACTGAATTGAAAGCTCACATAGTCCAATAAGAAGTTGCTGATGAGCTGATAGAAAACGTCGATAATCGAGGAGAGCGTATGTTGAAAGATCAGCATCAAGATTTGATATGACATCTGTTCGCCATTGATCCGAAGCAAATGAATTTGAACAAACCTACAGTTTGATCAAGACGGAAAGTGAAATTTTGTTTAGATTTTTTGAATATTTGATACCTACTTGATGAAATTCAGGCTTAATTTTGATAAATCGTTCGTAAGGTGAAGAGATTGTTGAGCAAGGACACGAGAGTGTATCAGGATGCTCAACTACAAGCTGATTATAATGACTCAAAGTTGGTTTAACAATAGTTTTTGTCAAAATCTGTGGTTGTACAATGGTGTAGAGACCAAGAATAGCGATACAAATCGCGAGTAGAATAATATAGAGACGAGTAGCAAATCGGCCCAGGTGTTTAGCTTGTATTCGATCAACACTACATCCGAAAGTTCGCGCAGGAAATAAGTTTAGACTAACAGATTTTACGTATAGAAACGCAATCGCCTTTCTTAATAAAATTCGAATGCGAGTGGAGAGTTTCGAATGAACTTAAAAGAGAAAAATAAGAAATTCTCAAAATGAACGACATGATTAGTAATTACCTTGCACTTGTCTTTTAACTTTCGGTTTCATCAAATGAATAACGAATTTGACCAAGACAGGTGTTAGTAGTCGTAGGACTACAGTAAGACCGCCAATCATTGATACTAATTTGATTATTATACCAATTAAACTGTAAGTATGTATTTTGTCAGTATAAGTACAATAACTCGGCGCACAAACATTGTAATAACTATCAAACGAGAACGATGAATTCCAATCTTCAACCATAATTTCTTTTACTATCATTGAAAGAGACGTGTTCCGAGTGAAACGGCTTGGCTGTTGATCATTGAGAGAATGAACCTCGACCCATTCTATTCCTGCGTCTACAAGATTTACCGATACATAGAGATAGTAACGATACACCGAGAGACAAGAGTCCAAATAGAAACATTCGAGTGTCGATAATAGAAGCGTATCGAAAACAAAGCAACCTTCAATGACACCTGGTACAAAATATGGTAGACTTTTTCGTATATCATCATTCCGTGTACCATTCCATCCATAGAGAGCAATTCCACTTTGACAATTAGGATTCGTCGCACAAATACATTCAACAGATGTAGAATTTGTATTGCTTACACCAGTGAAATCGAAGGTAAACTAAAAAGAAGAAATTTCAAGCTTTTTAAATATGGCATTGAAGACACAAATACCTGATCGCTCGTCAATGGTCTACCAACTAATTTTGCATTGTCTAAATTCGTAAAAGGTTGATCAACTTGAGTGAACAGATGTGTGGTGTTAATAAGCAATTCAAATTGAATGAGTAATGATTGAACAAATTGTTCGAAGGTCGTATTGACTTGAATATTAAATTCCGTTTCACTGAGAACGTTTGATGTGACAAACAATCGCCTAGTAAACCGATAAACAGAATCATCAATCGTTTGCTTTGCCAGTTTACAGAGAATCGCTAACAATTGAAAATGTCGACCGTCGAGGCCGCGCCAAATCCAATCGATATAAAGAAATCTAAATAGATCAGATTTAATTGAAGATGCGATGATAATCCACGAGTCTGTAACAAAATCGCTTGAACACACTTGATGTAAAGTCGGGGATAACGAGGTGAATGTGATGTAAGGCATTGACACATTTCTACAAGGGCATGAAAGTGATGTCGAATAGGATTCTTGTAAGTGTTTATATTGATGGATTGATGGGTTTTGTACGGAAATGGAAGAAAAACGAGTGTCCAACGATGTAAATAGAATGAGAATGACAAATGAACCTGAAATTTTTATAAAAAGATATAGATAATGAATCTGTGCTAAAAAATAATAAATCTGGATTTTACCTGTGAGTAAAATTAAATAGACGCGAGTGATAATACGTTGTTGTTCAATATCTTCATGTGTACGTTCATTTGCTAATTTAAACAGATTTAATTGCTTTATCCATGTAAGAAATTTTCGACGTTCGACTTTCAATGAAATATTGATTAAATAATTCGAAATTAAACGAAGGATAATGGTAAGACCACCGTAAAGACTAATTAGGAGAGTGATTGTATAAGCAACATTAGCTTGATTCGTTTCTGTATATGTACAAAATTTAGGAGAACATTTAAGGAAATATGTAAAATAATTGATCTCTGTTGACCATTCTTCTACGAATAAATCAGTTAAAAGAATATTCAAAGGTACCTTCTTTCGATTAGAAAACGCAAGTGGAACAGTCCAATTGAAGTTTGTCTAAATGGAATGACATTTTCGACGTGAAAAAGAACAATGGATTGGGCATACCTGATTAAGATCGGGAAAATAATTGGCAAAGACTTCAAGACATGTGGTATTGTAGAGACAATCGAATGTACTGGCAAGAATAGCATCTAATGGCGTACATCCTCCAAAAAATCCGTTAACCATTGAAGAAGCGACTGGTTCAAAAACAGGAGAATAATCAGGCCAATACTTATGATTATCTGCACTCTCATAAAATGACAACGATGAATAGAAACCGGCTGGAGCTACTAGGTTTATTAAACCACAAAGTGAAATTAAATATCTTCCATCAGGATCATTTGGATTATGATAAACTGTAGGTGTCGCACTTGCCAAAGGTGGTCGTCCGATCATCGCGCGAGCTATTAAATTTGTGTTGAGAGCAGAAATCAAAGAATTTGCTTGAGTTGTTATTTGAAGAAAACTCAAAGGCGAAGTGATTTGAGGAGACGCAGTAGAACGAAGAAGTTCAACATTGCCGANAAGTTTTTGATTGGGATGACACATTCATCGATAATCTTAAACAAGCATTTTACGCAAGTAAAATCTTTATATTTTTTCCGCTGTACTCCCTATGTACAAATCAAATTCATAGCAATTTAATCTCACAAGCAGCACAAATGAATACAGGTCCATTACCGAATGATGTTATTAACAACATTGATCCACTTATTACTATTCTACTAGTGCCGATATTCAACAAAGTGTTCTATCCTTTATTAAGAAAACTAAAAATTAATTTCCATAGTATTTCACGCATTACAGTTGGCTTCTACATGGTTTCCTTCGGAATGGCATGGACAGCTTTTGTACAAGCAAAAATCTATCAAACGAATCCCAATTTTGATTTTTCTATTCAATCAAACAATCTAAGTGCTGCCTGGCAAATTCCATCGTATTGTTTCTCTGCTCTATCCCACATATTCGCTTCAATATCAGCTCTCGAATATGCTTATGTGAATGCTCCATCGAATATGAAATCAGTTGTAACATCAGTCTATTTCATTACACATGCCATTAGTTCCGCGTTGGGATTTGTTCTCCTACCAGTAACCGTCGATCCAAAATTGACGTGGATGTATACAGCACTCGCCTGTGTAGCGTTCATTGCTGGAACTTTGTTTTTCTTATGCTTCCGTCGAAGATGTGTCTCTGTCCACGTGGAAAACATCGACGTTCCCGATTCCGTCGAAGAGCAAACTGAACAACGGATCGCCTGTGTTCGTTCGATCAGTACAGTAGAAGATTAAATGTCTGTGAACCCAATCAGCGACAACTGATCTACTGTGGAAAAGATACAATTTCTTGTTTATAAACCACATAGTGACTCTCATTATTGAAGAAAAATATTTTTTATAATGCTTTTCGATTCATCTGTATTTTTATAAACTGAGAAACATGATAGAATAAAAGGAATCTTCGATTTGCCTCGAAATGAAATTCACGCTTCGTTATAAGTTCCGTTGAAAGTAGATTATTTCGTTTATGTATTTAACTGCAAAGTTGCATCGACAGGAATTGGCCATTCTCCATAAGTTTTGAATGAGTTCGTCTCGTACGGGTGGAACAATCAGACATAATTGTTTAAGATATTCAATACATTTATGATTAGTTTGAAAAATAAGCTTCACAAGTGATGTCAGATCGATATCATCTGTACAATTCATTGTTAAATATTCTACAAATGGACAAAGACAAATAACAAATTCAATTTGTTGCATATCAGATATAGAATGCAAATTAACTTGTGTAATACTGTGATTTTTCTGTGACAAGCGTACTATTCGATGTTTTTTGTTCAACCAATTTTCTGCTTCACACGATGGTAAACATAATATTGTTAAATTTGTTAGATACGATAATTTTTGTATCAATTTGGTCAACATTAATATGGGAATGTTACTACAATCAACATTGAGATGAGTAATTTTAAATGCAGTTAAAAATGGATCAAGTTTTCTAATGAGGCTTTTATTCAATGACTCAGTTAAATGTTTCGTCAATCGAAGTCGAAGTTTTGAATCGAGAATTTCATTTGTGTATGGCTGAATTGAATAGATTATTTCGAAATTATCAATACTTATATCAAATTTCCACTGTTTTTCGATCAAAAATTGATTCGTAAACTGATTGGCTGATTGATGTACGGGAGTTACTTTATAATCATCATCAAAATATTCATGATATTCGAAGTAAAACTTTTGTAATTGCAACATATTCGTAGAAATGAGTTGTTGCCATCGATTTGCATCAAGGTAGGATGAATCATTGAATGTAACAACCTTCATTATTTGTAGGTTTGAAGAGATTCTGCGAAGAAAGATTTCGAATGTATCGAAGTCCATCTGACAATCTTTCAGTGATAAAAATATCAGTTTATCAGTGGCGATCAACGGAAAAGAGGTAAACAAACATGTTAAAGACTTCTTACAGGTCAAATGACAGAGATTAGGCGTAAACGACAGAATAGTCATGATGTCATTGACTGTGCAAGGGTGGTCAATAATCAGATATTTAATCAGATTTGCTGACTTGAGTGATTGATATGGCCAAAAGAATGACAGTCCGTTTCCTAATGATGAAATTTTGAGATAATTTAATACTCGTAAACGGAATATCGATGAGTAGATGGTGTAAAGATCAATTTGATTATCTACAAGGCGGATAGTCAATTGGTGAAGACGAGGGCAATAAAGTAAGTTTTGAAGAAGGCGAAGAACTTGATCTGTTCGGATGAATTGAATATTGAGTGATTCTAGATGATTAAATGATGAATCAATAGGACACGAAGTTAAAAATTGATCCATGTGCAGATCATAAGATAAATGAAGTGAATAGATTTGGTATTTTTGCGGTAACAGAATCTCTTCGCAAAGTTTGACTCTCATTTTCAGAGACGAACTTGTCAGCAATTGTCGGAAACGATGATTCAAATTTAAAAATGATTGTAATATATCATAACCATCAAGATAACGAAAGATTTCCACGAAAATTTCGTCGGGTAAACATTCGATACTGGCAATAGTCATAATCGTAATAAATTTTGCAATTTCAAAAAGCTGCAATTCCATGAACATTTATATAAACATAATTTCCAAAACGGAAACAATAATCTTTCCCGGTGTTGTACTTTCGTCATTCTGTCATATTTCATCATACGCTTGCTCTCGTTTCATAAGTAGCATTACTGGTAATTGATCATGTCAGAATGACGCTGGGAAGTGAGAGAACGAAAGAAAGAAAAGAGGAGATCTTGCGGAAGATCTCCTACAGCACAAGCTTATATAGAATAGACCAAAATTTCGTCCAAATCACGTTTATAGGGTTTGTAAAAATGATTTCAGCATCGGTTAATAAAAACTGAAAAAAACATAATGAACCAATGAAAAGTTTAGTCATCACTCTAGCACATCTAAGTTACCTTAAGTAATCATTAATATGAAGAATGAGCACATTTTGTCCACAAATTTTCTATTATCAGTCACGAGCTGAATTTCGCCGTTGAAAAATAACACCGTAGAGATTGATAATAACAGTATTTATTTTTAACTTCGTTTCGAAATTCTTTTTATTAGAGATTGAGATCAGTCATGCTGTGCTAAGTGGTGAACGGCTTAGACAGTATTGAGTTGGTATATAATGTTAAAATACAGAACGAAGCCATTGTTCAAATATTACATTTGCGTCTGTCTACGACTTCCGTGACTTTCTTCATATAATAAAAGTATTTGTTTTCCCATTCAATCTTCTTCTTCGAAGTCATTCTGTTCAAAGATCATAAACCAATGTTGTTCATATTATAGCTTTGAATACAAGAGAGAGAGAGAAAACTGTTGTCATTGAAGAAAATAGCTATTGATGTCGATCATGAGAAGAAAGAGAAATGTAAATATTAAAGAAGCTATAAGTACGCGCATTTTATTGAATAAATGGTTGTTGTTCTTTCTATTGATTTTCACCAATGAAGCATAAGGTCGGTGAATCTACCGAAACTCTGCTCAACAGTCGAATGGAATCGAGTTGCAACCACTTTTGTCGATGCAAATAGGCTTGACATAAATGTTATCGATATATTCATGTTCGAGTCTAGTTATCGACATTTATAACTATCTATATTGCTCGGTTTCTACTAAGCATAAAAATTGTGAAAGGATGGTTGGGGTTGTGAGTGGCACAGGTAGGAGAGATTCAGCACTGGATGAATTAGATCTACTCTCAGGAATCTTCGTGGATATTTGCGGCAGATTATGCCGACAAACGTCTCCTTATTTCGGACAGTGAGGATACAGCGTTTGAACTTAGAACGCTGTACTTCAAACAGAATTTCTACGGAAAACTGGTTTGTTTTCTGGTCTTCTCTATGAATACTTCTTAGTTGAAACGTTTATGCTTGTTTCCTCTTGTAATCCCATGGTGAACGCTCCAGTGTTGGGATTCTGCAGGAAATCATCGGAAAAAATACGGGTAACACAGATCGAATCGCTTAAAAGGCAGGTACGCTATTATCTTTATGTATAACCTGTTTCGCATCTAAAGTATAGAACAAGTTGACGTTTTATCATGACAATTTTCCTTTCATATATAATTCTCAAGGTTTTTTATTTTTAGAAACAGAATATATCCACCTTGAAAGAACTATCTTGGCTGACCAGATGTTTCCGTATTACAAATAACAACTACTGTCATATTTTCCATCTGCCAATAGTATTATTAATACGATAGTAGAATGAAATATTTGCCTTTCATTTTATGTCAATATGAAAAATGGTACGAGAATCTTTCCTTCGTTTGAAACTACTAGTACTCGATTTAAATCTTTTCAAAAATTCGACTAGTAATGAGCACACTCTCATCAAAGAACGCCTTACTACACGTATTTTCCTCGTTTTGTTTCTCTGTTTATTTATCATGATTGGAATAACAGCATCATTACTTCTTTATACGGTAAATAAATCCGAAAGTTCACCATCATTATCAACATTTCAATATCTTGTAAACAAATATCCAAAGACAATGAACTGTCCATGTTCAAATATTGGAATTACTTATCAAACATTCATTGATATTAATGTTAAATTTCATCAAGTATGTTCCAGTCAATATATAACCAAATCATGGATTGAAAGTGTCTTTGCACAAAGAAATCTGTCATCTTTCAAATCTGATGACATTCATCAAATGTTAAGTTTCTTCTGGCAAATAATTGCAGATTTCTGTACAATTAGTAGTCAAGCATTTCATTCAGCGATTATCAATTTTGGCTCATCATTTATACTCAGTCCGAAGGCTATCGCACCAAATATAATTGAAAATGAAATCTACTCTGAACTAAATGGTTATATCGCATCAATTCAAACAGGATTACTTGAAAATTTGATTGCAATTCAACGAACTATTTCCGGTAATCAATATGTTTCAGCTTTAACAAATAATTTCTATTTCATTGCTTTCAATGAACAAAATTCTATTCGAATGTCGCCGAAAGAATCAAATAATTGTTCATGTATGAGAATCACCGTTTGTTCACATCCAGTTCTGATAAATGAAACCATCATTCCCGGACTGATTCTTGATTGTTATTTAATTGATGCAACATTAGCTTCGACTTTTGAATGCTATTACAATCAAACTTGTTTTTCTCTTCTACATGAAAACTTTTCCTCATCAGTCAAATTACTTTCCAGTGAACAAAACAGACAAGTTGCACTCAACTCGACAATTCAATCGCTTCTTGAACGACTTATGATTGATGATTTAACTATTGAAATTCATTTCGATTTATTCTACGATCAATGTAAACCAACATTTTGTTCATATTCCTATTCTCATCGTTTTGATGTGATGTTTGTCATAACAACGTTAATTAGTAGTTTTGGCGCGTTATCTTTAATCTTACCATACGTTGCTCAATCGATAGCAATAATTATTTTATATTTTAAAGAAAAGAAAACCAAAAGAACAGATGAAAATGCTACAAAATCAGGTAATACATGTTCGGTTTTTAAAACAGGTTTGTTAAGAATAAAGATTTCTTTTCTATAGTAAAACAAATTCTCATGCTTGGAATTCGATTTATCTATGAAAATATCATTAATTTAAATCTATTTGAAAATGAACTGACAGATGCGAAATATATATACGAACAACGATTTACTACTCGACTTTTCATTCTATTTTTCACCATACATTTCATTATCATCAGTATTTTCGTAATTATACCAAAACAGAGTCAGTTGATAACGATTTCTCAGCCATCAGAAGAAGAATATCGACAATTAAATGATAAATATGACTCACTAGTTACTTGTCCTTGTTCACAAATATCCGTACCGTATGGAACATTTCTTAATGTTAATTTTGTTATTCATCAGATTTGTTCGAGTGATCTCGTTTCAGTAGAATGGATTAATTATTTATCATCATTTAATCCAATGAATGTAACAGATTGGATTATACCCGGTGTGGCACAAGATTTTCGAATTTTTGGTGCATCGTACTTCCAGTTACTTCAAGTGTTCTGCCAATTGGCAAATAAGACGATTGAAAATGCACAACATGTTTTTCTAACAACGGAATTCATCAATAATAATCTTATATCTCCTGATATATTTTATCAAAAATCTACACACCTAATGGAAATATTCATTCGTACTACTCAAAATACTTTCATTCAATCGTACCAATGGCTTGAAGTCGTCAACACAATAAATCTTTTCATTACAGGTACGAAATCAAATTTCGACGAAAGTATCATAGATCATCAACTTATATTCACCGATAAACCTCTCCATCAAGCTGTCTTTATTAGATATGGTATCTTAGCAGGAGCAGGCCCTTGTAAATGCTCGACACGGAGCAACAACTGTGCTGTTGGACTACTTCTCTTTAAAAATGCATCAGATATGTTGGATGATGCACAGTTTTTCTCCGAAATTCCATATGGTTGTATTCCTTGGAAAGGATTTGTAGGTTCAACAATTGCTTGGTGGTATGATCCATCTTATATCGATGATATTCGAAATACTTATATTGCAGCTATGCCGACGTCATTTTCACCAATTGTAATACCACTCAAGCGATTAACAAATGATTCGTTTATTCAAAAACAGACGAAGTATTTGATTGAAAATATGTTTATTGAAACAATTGTGAAAAGTCCAGGAAATTTTTCGGCATTTTATCATCAATGTGCACCACGATCTTGTTCATATACAATTGTTCAACGTCAAAATATTTTTGTACTTATTGTTCTTTTAGTATCAATAAGTAAAGGACTCAATGGTATTCTCCGTTTACTGATACCTTTACTTAGTAGAATTATTATATATTTTCTTCATAAATTCCTGCATCCATTTCGGAATTTGACTAAGAGTAACTTTTTATATTGTATTTAGTATAGGAGATTTTATATTTTTGTTTGTTTTAGCGAGAATTTCAATTATCCAACAATTAAAACAGTTGTTCAAATCTATTCGATTGTTTAATTTATTTCAATCTGATCGAAATGATGCAATCAGTTTACATTTACAATTAATCTACACACGTGTTTATCTCATTATGTTCATCATTTGTTTAGTAATCTTAATATTCTACGAGTCAGTTATTGAACGTACTGCCACAATCATCACGTCGAATCCAAGTCTACAAGATTACGAACAACTTCTTCGTCTTTATCCGGATAATGTCAATTGTCCATGCACACAAATTGCCATTCCTTATTCGAAAATAGTTACTCAATTGAATGTTACATCATTTCATCAAGTATGCACAACTTCATTATTGTTGAATATGTTAGAAATAGGTCGACCGTTGGGAAGTATAGGTACTTCGAACGGATCGTACTTTGATTCTTGGAGATCTTTATTCCTCGGCGGTCTTAATATTCTATGTCAATTAGCGATAAGCAATGTCAATAATAGTATCGAAATGTTTCTTTCATCAACAATGTTAACATATCAAATGATTCCTCGGAATATCTTTAATCAACAGATTGATACTAGTCTAACTCGATTTCAAAAACAATTACCAATTGAATTTAATCGAACACTTGAACTTATTCGAGCCACTAGCCATGACAATGCTTTAATTGCATATTTTCCTTCGAATTGGAATATTTTCGTTACAAATGATACAAACTCCTTTATCACCGAACCAATTGTCTACACTTCTATAGATACGAACTCTTCATGCTCATGTGCCACTGAACGATCTTGTGCAATGCCAGTATTGATTTATGATTATGCAAATGAATCGTATTTTAATTTGCCGGAGAATGTTTTCTATAGTTGTACACTAATTGAAACAATTCTTCATTCATCATTGTTTTGTTTCTATTCGGATGTATGTGTTCTACGATATCGTCGTTTAACATCACCAGGACGGCTTCAAGATCGATATTTTAATCAAATCACTGCGTGTATCTTTAACGCTTCATTAACACATTTCGCGAGAAATGATACAATTGAAACGATGGCTTCTTCTATGTTTATAGAATCATGGCTGAGTAATACATCCTATGAAAATTTCTGTAAAACTTGTTCGCCAACAGAATGTATTAGTACCTACCGTTATCGGTTCGATATTTTCGAAATATTTACTGCATTTCTAAGCATCTATGCCGGTATAGCAATAATATTACGATTTTTAGTACCTCATTTAATTACGATTATTACTAAAATTCGAAACTATAAACGTGTCCGACCGCACTAAACACTTATTGACATTCATACATTGGCTTACACATCGTTTGTTCGTACTAGCTTCGCACTGATACTTTTATATATTATGAGAAACTAAACTTCTATGTTCAATAATTTTAAAGCACAGTATATAAACATTCAAAGTGTTCATATTGTATCAAGATGTTGTGTTGCTATACTTTTTGTTCTTATTTTAGTATGTTACATTTTCTTGGAACTTAATACGATATTTCTTACTTGATTAAAATGTTGTCGTTTTTTCCGATAGAAATAACAGATGTGTAAATCAATTAGTAATATGGTCCTTGATGTTTTTCCGACGGTATTTCTTGTGAAAATGGTTTGTCATATGGATGTGAAGCGGGCTTTTGTTGATCTTGAGGGTGAGACCGTGTTATTAGGTGCAGGAGAATGGTGCTATACATCATGAAAAGGAAATTGAATGACATGTAATCATCATTGGGCATTAGCTGTCTATGCTAAATGCAGTGGATCGTGTGCAGTGATCTGAGTATGAATTGTTCCATGAATTCGCAATGCTTGATTTGGCCTGACTCACAAATTCCTGTGTTTTCCTCGGTTATAATCTATGTCAACATACCAGATCATAGTAGTATAACATCTATTTCATGCTATTCTTTTTTCCTTATTCTCTCCTCCGCTGTTGGGAAGGTCATGTATGTTTAAAAACAAAAGACAAATACTGAAAATCGCAAGGAGGAAGTACGAGCACGTGGGTATTCAAAAATGATAGTAGGTGCCATTATAGGTACTGAGATGCTGAGCAGGTCCGCAGATACTGGCAACATCTGACGCGCACCCTCTCCCTTGCTTGGTATAGCGTTTATTTGGTTTGATGTACATTGACTAAATCGTATAAGAAAAGTTCTTTTTATTCTAAAAATACTACGGTTCATGTTCGGGTTTGTTGTAGTACTTCATTTTCTCAATTTTCTCGAGTCCATAAGCAATTTTTTCAAACAGATCCTCTATTTTTGCATTTAATTCTTTGAATACATTTTGGTTTTGCTCAAGTTGAACAATTTCTTCTGCTGTCCAATAGAATCCCACAGAATGACCAATAACGTTGAAAGTTTCCAAACCAAATTTTGTAGCAAATAAAGTCTTTACTGTCTTTGATAAAATATTTGTTGGTGTTGTTGCGAATTCAACAGCGGTAACAGCAAGATCTAGTACGGATGTAAGTATATTATTTATATAATCGCTTCTTCTTGATAATAGTGACTCCATTTGTTGTTGAATCCCAGATAGAATAGTTACTACCGTTTGATTGGCTTTTTCACATTCAAATTGTGATTTCTCTAACTTAATCGTAATTTTTTCTAATTTTAATGGCTCTATATAGGCCTCATTTGTTATTTCTATTTTTTTCATTTCATCGATAGCCATTAAATAGTTTTCCTCGGCTTTATCAATATATGCTTTGCTGTTATTTAATGCTAATTGTAAGTGAATTGATTTACGATATTGTTCCGATTTTTGTATGACGTCGTATGTTTCTTTAAGGTTTTTTATCATATTATATGTTCGGTAAGCTGCTTTCATAGTTTGTCCTTTTACCATATTCTGTACTTGAGCTATCATTTTGTTGTTTAACTTCGATTCAATAATAGATAGTCCAACTTTCATATCGTTTACACCTTTTTTATTTGAGATACTTTCGATTAGATTGTATTTATTGAATGTCGGATCATTTTGAAAATATTCACCAAGTTTACTCCATGATTGTTGAATATCGTCCAATAGATCCGTTGGTAGAATTCCATGTTCATGATTTCTGTCGGCTAAGTCGACTATTTTTCTTATATCCTTGATATTATTCATGATGTTTTCATGTTTCGTAACAGCCTTTTTTTACATTCACATATGTAAAACCTTGAAATAACACATAACCAATATCCAATATAGCTTCGTGTTTGCTAGAATCAGTTGAACGCAGCTGTACAACCAAAAATAAAAGAGGTATACCCGAAATCAGCCTCATAACTTAAAATTTAATAAACTATAATAGAATCAATTTCTGTAAAATGAAAGATTTGCCTTCGATCTAATTAGTTTGAATATTTAAGTAAGTTTTTATACTAACAGTCATTGGTTTTTACCAATACGTATGGATATTTCCCTTTTGACAATACAGACTTGTTATGACATATGACACTATTTTCATCCTTTGGGTTTCGAAATTTTCTTTCGTTCTGTCATTTCAAGCACATCATGATAATCGATAGACATAAACTCAAGTAAAAACTGAGTGTTAAATAAAATAGCCACGTGTAATGATAAGAATGGATTCGAAAAAACAAACTTTTGTAGAATAGGAAAAAGTAAATATGGAAGATAAGAAGTATATAAAAGATTACAGTTAACAGCACAGCATCAAGTTTACGTCGCATACCAAACGTCTCTCTGAAAATGGTTAGTTGCAATAGTAACATCGATGTTAATCGTTTAAATGAACAGATACAAACATTATCGCGCCGTGTAGATCAACTTGAAAGACGGGCCATGAAGCAAATTGTCAAGAAATTGTTAATACCACCAGAATTACAAAAAATTCAGTTACATGAGCAGAAAATGCAATATCATATTGATCTTTTGAACTACTTGCCACCGAACGAAGATGTCAAAGCAGTTCTTTTGGCAGTGAAAGTTGTGCATAGTAACCATCCCTATGGACATGCTTACTTAGGATTCAGTGCTCATCAACAACGTTGTCTACCTGATCAGAAAACTGATTTTATCGAACAAACCTATAATTGTCACGGTACAGTACATCAACAAGAACTCATCGTTCCGTGGAATAGTAGTATGACAAATTTATCAATGAATCTAGTGGTTGATGTCACGTATTCATATAATACTGGAAGTTATCCAGAACAAGGAAATGTGAATCATTTTGAAATTAAAGTGGCCGGTTACATTATTTGAGGGACGATTTCATGACTTAATGTCAGGACAAAGTCGAAGTATACTTCAATCACCTTTTAAGATCATGTTCCTTCGTTCGTGTAATTGAGTATATCGCTTCTTCTTTTGTAAATATATTGCAAAGCTCTGTTTCCAAGTAAAAAGAGTCGTTGGAAAACATCAATACTTTTTCAACGACCCGGGAATCCTTCGCCCAAGTATCAGAGATGTGAAATCTGATCTCGATTACATATCTTCAGTACTTCAATTATATTTAAATTAACATTAATGAATACAAAGACGATTTGAGTGAATTTCACCCAAATCTATCGGTTGATACTTTATCATCACCCGCAGACAGCTAAACCCACAAAACCTAGTTTTCAACACTTCTTGTTTACACAGGTTATCGATAAGTCATACGGTTTTCTTTTTCTCTCCTTCTTCCTGGCAAGTCATTTGTGTAGAATCCACAATATGAGATCGCGTACCGAGTGATAGATACGCTCATATTCCATCGAAATCTATAAAACAAATCAAGTTAATACATACAAAATAAACAACATAGAAAGCAAAAGACGCAAATTCAAACTCAAGAGTCACAGGTATTCAGTAAAATAGTGACATTGTGCTGTGACCCTTCAACAATAGCAAGATCCAATTTTCCATCACTATTAAAATCGCTCGAAGCCATGGCGGATGATATACTGCGAGTTACAGTCGAAAATGTTGTTCGCCCAAAAAACGTTCCATTTCCTCTTCCAAAAAGTACACCCACGTTAGGTATACCCGTATTTCCAAAAGCAATATCCAAACGACCATCGGTGTTGTAATCACCAGTCACTAACATGCCTGGACGAGCATATCGTCCAGTTGAGTATTCCATTTCTTCTTTCAATGTTCCATTGTCATTCCCGAGAAAAACTTTTATTGTGCTTCCTCCGGCATTTGCTACGACGACATCCAATTGACTATCGTTATTAAAATCATTGACAACGATTGGCACTTTAGAATTATAGAAGTCAGTCAGAAAACTAACTGACTCACCGAAATAACCAGTTCCATTACCAAACAAAACACACATATGACCTGTGTAGTGGTCGGTGACAATAAGATCTAGCTGTCCATCATTATTGAAATCGCCCACAGCAATAAATGATGTTCCTTCACAGATACTGGGGTTAGTGCCTGTTTGTGCTATGAATGTTCCATTCGCACTACCGCGAAGCAATCGTATCCTATCGTCTCCCCAATAATTGACAATGATTAAATCTAAATGGTTGTCATTGTCGAAATCTCCAACGGCAAGATTAGATGAATCACTTGTTTCAGTCTCATCTGAATACGTCATCAATGATCCGAAACTGCCATCGTCATTGCCGAACAGAACACCTATGTTAAATCCTCTATAACTGGCGAAAGCGAGATCTAGGCGACCATCATTATTAAAGTCATCGGTAAGAAGTGAGCCAACTTGGCTGATAGTTTCAGTTGAATACATGAAGGGTTCTTGAAATGTCCCATCATCGTTACCAAATAAAATACCTATGCTACCAGTAAAGTAGTGAAGGAATACGAGATCTGGATGATGATCGCGATTAAAGTCAGCAACAACAATTGCATTTGTTAGATCACCAGTTGAGTAAGAAATCAGTTTTTTAAAAGTGAAGTTACATGTGACTAAGAGATAAAAATAACAATGTTTATTAGCGATGTCGAAACTAGAATTGTTGGGTGCGAATGGGGGTATGTTCATGTCCTCAGAGTAGAGATTTACGGACAACATACAAACCTGCAGAACTAGAGACTGTTGTTGTTGAAACGTTCATTCCTGATGTTGTGTACGCTGTCGGGCCCATCGGGATTTCTAGAATATTACAAATATTTGCATAATATTGAGTCAAATCCATGAAATGACTCTGTAGAAGAGGGTCTTACGTGACAGCTGTACAGGATTCTTTCGTTGCCGATTAAGATAAACAGCTGGAACGACAGCAGTCGCAGAAATAATTATTGATAAAATGATCCCAAATAAGAGAAAGGAAAACATGGTTGAACGCAATTTAGTCCTACGATAATCAGAGGGAAAGATGATGATTAAAGCCGAAAGAATGATTATTTACCGTGATGGTGGAATCGTGGATATCGATGTGTGAATGGTTGTCATGCCAACGTTATCTATAGGCTGGATCGAACTGTTTTTATTCTTTCGACGCTTGTGCACTTTATATGTAAGATAAATGATTTTTGGACAAATACGCTTGAGAATGAGTGTTAAGCCACCGTACAGACCAAGTAAAAGAGTAATTGTATACAACGAATTGAGTTTTTGTATGTACGTATATGAACACAATATGGGTGAACATTGGTCAAAGTATGTGGAATAGTTAATTACTGTCGACCAGTTCTCGATGAAGAGATTATTAACAAGATCGTGAACAGAGGTGTTCATTAAGAATCGACTATTATCTACGGAGAGCAGTGGTGGTGACATGTTCGTGATATTGTTAGGAACAACGTTGTTTATAACTTGTTGAAAAAGGTTAATACACAATGATTGATAAAAACATTCAAGAGTTGAACCAAGAAATGATTCGCTTGGTGTACAACCCATTTTCAGACCTTGAATAGAAATATTTTGAGATGAATCTGTCAGAATAAAAACAGCTGGAATGGTACAATTTCCATCTAAAGCACAAGAACAATTATCATCATAGATTGTTGCTTGAGTTATAAGAGGAGCGTTAAACGTATCATACGTATAATAGGGAGCGATATACTGAAAATTAGTATTATAGGCCGAGATAATGGCATTGCCTTGATTCGCCTCTCGAAGTAAATCAAGAAAACGTTTCAATGCTATGGGTGCATCGGATTTACTCTGCTCAATAAGTAACTGAATGTTTGTGTCAAAAATTGATTGTGACATTAGTTGAGCCGTAATAAAATTTGAAGAAAGAAATCGAACAATAGCATCATTCACCGACTGAATTGAAAGTTCACATAGTCCAGTAAGAAGTTGCAGATGAGCTGATAGGAAACGTCGATAATCGAGGAGAGCGTATGTTGAAAGATCAGCATCAAGATTTGATAGGACATCTGTTCGCCATTGATCCAAAGCAAATGAATTTGAACAAATCTACAGTTTGATCAAGACGAAAAGTGAAATTTCGTTTAGATTTTTTTTGAATATTTGATACCTACTTGATGAAATTCAGGCTTAATTTTGATAAAGCGTTCGTAAGGTGAAGAGATTGTTGAGCAAGGACACGAGAGTGTATCAGGATGCTCAACTACAAGCTGATTATACTGATTTAAAGATGGTTTAACGAAAGTTTTTGTCAAAATCTGTGGTTGTACAATGGTGTAAAGACCAAGAATAGCGATGCAAATCACAAGTAGAATAATATAGAGACGAGTGGCAAATCGGCCCAGGTGTTTAGCTTGTATTCGATCAACACTACATCCAAAAGTTCGCACAGGAAATAGGTTTAGATTAACAGATTTTACGTATAGAAACGCAATCGCCTTTCTTAATAAAATTCGTATGCGAGTGGAGAGCTTCGAATGAACTTAAAAGAGACAAATAAGAAATTCTCAAAATGAACGACATGATTAGTAATTACCTTGCACTTGTCTTTTAACTTTCGGTTTTATCAAGTGAATGACGAATTTGACCAAGGCAGGTGTTAGTAGTCGTAGAACTACAGTAAGACCACCGATCATTGATACTAATTTGATTATTATACCAGTCAAACTGTAAGTATGTATTTTGTCAGTATAAGTACAATAACTCGGTGCACAAACATTGTAATAACTACCAAACGAGAACGATGAATTCCATTCTTCAACCATAATTTCTTTTACTATCATTGAAAGAGAAGTGTTCCGAGTGAACCGGCTTGGCTGTTGATCACTGAGAGGATGAACATCGACCCATTCTACTCCTGCCTCTACAAGATTTACCGATACATAGAGATAGTAACGATACACCGCGAGACAAGAGTCCAAATAGAAACATTCGAGAGTCGATAGTAGAAGTGTATCGAAAACAAAGCAACCTTCAATGACACCTGGTACAAAATACGGTAGACTTTTTCGTATATCATCATTCCGTGTACCATTCCATCCATAGAGAGCAATTCCACTTTGACAATTAGGATTCGTTGCACAAATACATTCAACAGATGTGGAATTTGTATTGCTTACACCAGTGAAATCGAAAGTAAACTAAAAAGAAGAAATTTCAAGCTTTTTAAATATGGCATTGAAGACACAAATACCTGATCGCTCGTCAATGGTTTACCAACTAATTTTGCATTGTCTAAATTCGTGAAAGGTTGATCAACTTGAGTGAACAGATGCGTAGTGTTAATAAGCAATTCAAATTGAATGAGTAATGATTGAACAAATTGTTCGAAGGTTGTATTGACTTGAATATTAAATTCCGTTTCACTGAGAACGTTTGATGTGACAAACAATCGCCTAGTAAACCGATAAACAGAATCATCAATCGTTTGCTTTGCCAGTTTACAGAGAATCGCTAACAATTGAAAATGTCGACCGTCGAGGCCGCGCCAAATCCAATCGATATAAAGAAATCTAAATAGATCAGATTTAATTGAAGATGCGACGATAATCCACGAGTCTGTAATAAAATCGCTTGAACACACTTGATGTAAAGTCGGGGATAACGAGGTGAATGTGATGTAAGGCATTGACACATTTCTACAAGGGCATGAAAGCGATGTCGAATAGGATTCTTGTAAGTGTTTATATTGACGGATTGATGGATTTTGTACGAAAATTGAAGAAAAATGAGTATCCAATGATGTAAATAGAATAAGAATGATAATTGAACCTGAAATTTTTATGAAAAAATCTAGATAATGAATCTGTGCTAAAAAATAATAAATCTCGATTTTACCTGTGAGTAAAATAAAGTAGACGCGGGTGATAATACGTTGTTGTTCAATATCTTCATCTGTTCGTTCATTTGCTAATTTAAACAGATTTAATTGCTTTATCCATGTCAGAAATTTCCGACGTTCGACTTTCAATGAAATGTTGATTAAATAATTCGAAATTAAACGAAGAATAATGGTAAGACCACCGTAAAGACTAATCAGGAGAGTGATTGTATAAGCAACATTAGCTTGATTCGTTTCTGTATATGTACAAAATTTAGAAGAACATTTAAGGAAATATGTGAAATAGTTGATCTCTGTTGACCATTCTTCTACGAATAAATCAGTTAAAAGAATATTCAAAGGTACCTTCTTTCGATTAGAAAATGCAAGTGGAACACTCCAATTGAAGTTTGTCTAAATGGAATGACATTTTCGACGTGATTATAAACAATGGATTGAACATACCTGATTAAGATCGGGAAAATAATTGGCAAAGACTTCAAGACATGTGGTATTGTAGAGACAATCGAATGTACTGGCAAGAATAGCATCTAAGGGCGTACATCCTCCAAAAAATCCGTTAACCATTGAAGAAGCGACTGGTTCAAAAGCAGGAGAATAATCAGGCCAATACTTATGATTATCTGCACTCTCATAAAATGACAACGATGAATAGAAACCAGCTGGAGCTACTGGGTTTATTAAACCACAAAGTGAAATTAAATATCTTCCATCAGGATCATTTGGATTATGATAAGCTGTAGGTGTCGCACTTGCCAAAGGTGGTCGTCCGAACGTCGCACGGGCTATTAAATTTGTGTTGAGAGCAGAAATCAAAGAATTTGCTTGAGTTGTTATTTGAAGAAAACTCAAAGGCGAAGTGATTTGAGGAGACGCAGTAGAACGAAGAAGTTCAACATTGCCGATGATTTGAGACCGAACGTTACTTTCTGAAAGAAGCTGAATGGTAATCAATTGAGTACTATCAAGTTCAGTCAAAGTTTGCGTGACAGTACGCGTTGAGAGAGAACAAAGAGCAGCAAGGAGCTTGAACTAAATGGGAAAAAAAAGTTTCTCATATCTTCATCATATCAATTCAATTACTTGAAAACTAGCGGTGGTTCGAAAATCCACGACGAGGAATGTACTTGAATAGGATAAATAGAGCGCTCTAATCCATCGTTCATCGACGAAAATACTCGAACAAATAGGATGATAGAAGACTGTATTAGTCACAAAGTCTTTGTACGGTATTATCGTTGTAGAACATGGACACGAGAGTGTTTCACCATGTTCAGCTTGAAGTTTGACAAAAATATCTGGCGTAATATGTTCGATGATCACCACACCAGTTTGCGGAAGTATTAATGCGATCAGAAAGAGAATGTAGAGAAATGCTAAATAACAGAGACAAGTATCGAATGTAATGGTTCATCTAATTCTGATTTGACGTGAATGTATCGATTGTCTTACCGGCGAGAAGGAAAACATATAAACGAGTTGTATATCTTTGATATTTGAGACTTATTTCGGGATCTGTAGGTTGAGAATTGTCATCGTATTCATCTTCGTCAGGTATGAACAGATTGTAATTGTGAATCCAATGATAAAACCATTCAAAGATATATTTTGCTTTCATTATGAAAGTGAATTTCTTTCTTCGGAATAACTTGAAGCTTATACTTACCCTCAGCTTCAAAATATTCTTCCTGAAAGAAAAACAGTGGTCTCCTTATTTTTTTAAAGAAAATGCGACGTTTTTTTAATGATTATATTCACTTACTTTAGAATGGATTTAGGTTTACAGAAATTACTTTGAGTGCAAAGCTGTGTGTCGGTGATAGATTTTTTTCAAACAAAACCAAGGTTTACTCAGTGCTTCATTCTTTTCACTGAATGCAAACATAATATAGAGCTAGAAATGCATTTTAATGAGTATTTAATGAAACGAGAAAAAGTAATTTAATAGATGTTTTAAGATTGTTTCATGATAATTTGAGAGATAATTACAGGAAAAAACATGGAGGCGAGAGAATGATCGAGTAACGAAATTAAAACAATAGTTAAGGCTCAATACCACGGAGAATGGGCGGTTCACTTATGTTGTCATAGGCGTATGTATATTTTTGATTTAATTAAATTGATTTGAAATCTTCTATACAGCAAATTATAGTCCGAAACGAAGCGCAGGCTTATATGAAAGCCTTGGCAGACCAATATAGGCTGTGTTTCTGGATTTATCTATATCAACCATAGTTAATATTTCTGTGTCGTTAGTGCCACTGGGAAATGTGCGCTGGTGACGTGAGTGTTATGATTAATAACAGAGCGAAACGTTCTGAGAGATCAACTTACTCAAGTGTAGTAAACTGGATACATAAAATATTAAAATTGATTCTTTGCCAAAGCTGCAGCCTCATTGACACTAAGATCTCCATCGTAAATACGAAAATCTTCTACTTTACCATTAAGATAAGAATCAGAGCCATCGCTCGAACGGTCAAGCCAGTTATTTGTTGTTGTTCTTAGATGAGAAGGTAAGAAACCAATAGCAGCGTTGCTTTCAACGACTGCACCCGTTAACATACGTATGTTGTAATAGTAAAATCTGCCGAAGAAAGAACTAAATCTCGAGGTAGTTCCACGTAACCATTGACTCCATTGAGCAGAGCAGCATTATCATTATTTCTACCGGCAACAAACATCGCGTTATTTCTGAGTATTCCAAAATAATCATTATCGCTGTTATCTTTTGCAATCACATCACCTGTTTCATTGAATTTAAGATGGATATATAATTTAGCGAATGACTCTGTTTCGGAATGGTTTGATTCCAATAATCCGACACCATAAGAAGAGTGTGAAGTTGATCGCCGCCTGATTCCCTTGTGACTGTAATAAACAACTTTGTCCAAAGCACCATTATGTTTGACTAAAAAGTTATGGTGAAGAGGATTGCAAAGTCTTCTGGTGTCCATCTTGAATATGTTCTCATAATTTCTGCGGCGTTATCAAGTTGATAACTATGGATGTCAGCAAGTAGAAATCGATCTGCATTACCAGAGAGCTGGTGAAGTATGGAAGACAAAACATTCATAATAGAAATTGATTCATTCGCAAAGGCTGGATCGCTAGTCACTTTTCAGCGTATCGCTAACTTAAGCAGCATCAACATTGGCATTAGAGTCTCCCCGAGTAGCTACTGTAGTTGAACGAGAATTGTGATTAAGTTGAGATCGTCAACCCACAGTGATTCATTTTTCCCAACTTTCGACTTCATACGAATGAAATCCTGATCAGTATGCAACAGACCGAGGTGATCAAAAGCGACACTTCCATTCCTCAAATTTCGTCTTGACGAAGGGGTCAGAGCACATGCTAGTGTGATCATTGTAACTGCTATAACGAAAGATGTACTTCCAGTAGTTTCACACATATATACGAGTAGCTCAAAATAATGGTTTCGCACGCTCTAGGTCAGAAACTTGGGCCATCCGACACCTTGCAATAGTTTTCTACGGCTAATTTTCTTACTCTATCCTCTTTGATAAAATTTGTAGTTGCATATTTTTTTTCTCAGGCTTCATACATTGATCAGTTCTACGTAGAGACCCGAGTAAAACGTATTTTCTTATCAATTAAAACAACCAAAAACATCCATAAAGGCATGGCTAACTGCTTTGACTTTAATAACTACACAGCGTTACAAATAACTAAAACACAAAATTTTGTGTAGAAAATGTATAAGTAGTCAATACATTCTTAACCCTACTTCGAAAAGCTTGATTTAAAAAGATATATTTTTTGGCAAAAGAACAGGATCGTATAGCATATCGGTGCACGATATTTGAGAAAGGAATGAGTTAAGAAATGCCTCTAAAGAATATTTTTAGACAAATAAATAATCTAATAATGATATATCACACTAACTCTATTGATTTTCATGCGCAAGAAACTTGACGCTCAAGAATATATAGCACGTGAAATACTTCTCACTTTAAGCATAATGCCTTTGCCGTAATTGATTTCTTCTACACTTGTCCTTTTATTTTTGTTCTCATGCGTTCGACCCAAGGATGCTGGGAATGTCAACATTGTTGACGAAACGTTCACAATAATAATTTGTTCAAGATCTCATTCTTTTCACGTAAACTTGTTTTTTAATCAAAAACATTTGAATGAAGTGTTTAGGGGGTTCGAAGAACAGATCATTCCACTTATATCGATGTTATTGAATAAAAGAAAATAATTATTTGTTTCAAACAGATGTTCATAAAAATGTGATGAGCATACATGTACCAAATGAATGTAATAAACCCATGAACAGCAACAAATTTCCACAATATGATCTCTGGATGAAACAGTTCTCCCTTATTTCTTGTCTATTATTGACCGTAATTAACAACTTTATTTAAGATAAATCATGCATCTCGCCAGATTAGACTGTACTATTGTTCACAAATTCATGCTCTGATGTTTTAAGACTTCCTATGACATATGCCAATAATTAAACCAATAGTTAATATTCCGAACACTTGACCATCCCACACATAACATAACCAGATATCTATATGAAGTATTCCATTGCCATCGAACTGATGTTTCACTTGTGCTGTCAGAGTAGCATGGATACGTTTGATTGACGTCAATTAATTTAAAGAAAAACATTTAGTTTTGGCGCGTACTATTTATTACCGTGAAAAAACTGAATGAAAGTCTCATTTTTTTGCACGAGAATAATTTTCAGTTGGGGACAATTTCATCCAAACATCTCTCTCAACTTTTCTGTAAACTTGTAGGGAAGAATTATAGACAGATAATGTGACACAGCAGGTAGGGAAACGCGTTTCTTCATACATAGATACTTACCGAATTCGATTCAGGACCATCCAATGCCTCAAATATAGTTTCGACTGTCGGTCCACTCGATATATTGTACGAAACAGTATAGAACTGTTAATCACATGAAAAGTAGCTCGTTGTGCATCTGTAAGCTGCTCCAGAACCAGTGCACGATCGACTTGAACATGTTTTTTGCACAAGTCGATAGCCCTTCACAAAACACATTGTGAATGGATAAGCTGATTCATCGTGCTTTGCTGGAATATAAAGTGCCCTTCCCGTTATGCCAATAAGTGCGAATATAGTTAATATTACCACTGAGGTGATTAAGCCAAAACAAAGACATACAGATTTCGTTTTCTGTGTCATCACTTTCTCCTGATTTTGTAAAAGAAAGAATGCATGCTATTATGAATCGTTCGACTGTTTTCATTGTTTTTAATATAGACACAAACACACATATGTCAACATCCATGATTTCTTCGTTCGATCACTCAACGGTAGCAAAGCGACATACTCAGTTTCTTCGTTATTGCGCTGTTGTCAGCAATACTTGTATTTACTTGAATACTACAGGTTTCGTAAGACTCGTCGACTAGATGAAAGTTGTGAAATGCTCGAAGTTATTTTACCGCCTGTCATACCTGTATTTCCCTATTAATAATGTACCTAGATAAAGTCTTTTCATTCTCTATGTATTAAAGTTAATGGCATCGGCATGTCACCTTAAAAATGAATCTGATTGTCTTTTTCTTCGATAAGATTTTGTGTACAGCTCTTCTAATCCAAGTGAAACCATAAATACGGATTTGTTTCTTTTCCAGTAGTCAGGACATACGTATATCAATGAGAGAGTATAGGTGAAAGCATCGGTCTTTTATTGCATGATAACGGCATATGCCTCAAGATCTTGTAGTAAACCAAACTGAACAGTTAATATATACGAAATAGTTGCATAGTTACAAAGAGTGTCGTACCGATTATTACGAATCAACCATGAGATTTCTATCAGTTGATATATCAGGGCGGTACAGAAAAAAAAATAATAAAAGCTAACTTATAGTTCTTATAAGGTTAAATGTGATGTTTGAATAAAAATACACATGACTTTTTTTCGCTTACACGCAGTGTTATTTTTCAGAATAGAAATAATTCTCTCGCACGTTCTGCTTCAATCTCATCAAAAATCGAGCAATTTCTATTCCAATCCGTAGGTAAAAAGCCCTGATCGGGTGTAAGGTGAAGATATTTCGGTGCCAATGGATCATAACTTGGCCATGTATGAAGTGGTCTGCCCGTCTGAGCAATACTGATCCAATGTGAAATGATATTGTTCGAAAAAAATCGCGTTTGATTATTCCACGTACAATGAAATTCCCGTTGCGAAGCGACGTCACTAACAGTTCCGAATACAAATGGAATTTCAGATGAATGGCGACATATACCTTCTTGCTGTACAATAGGACATAGAGGGTAACAGTTCAAATGATAAGAGAATAATTTATCCTGTTCATACTGTGCGCCATATTTTGCATAAAATGCATTGAATAATCGACGAATATCACAGTCAAATATAGAGTCCATTAATATTCGACGAACGATATCACAGCAACGAGTAGCATTCGCAGTAGGTCTCATTGAACAGTTATGCAAATGGTAATAGTCTGCGATCATTGGACTTCGTTCGGGAGAAAAGGTAGCAGCAATTTTTGTTAAAGCTTCACTCGAAGTCATCAATGGATGTTCGAAACAAATCGGTTGTTCATAGTCATTATTACCCATGATCAAACTCACATNAGAACGAAGAAGTTCAACATTGCCGATGATTTGAGAACGAACGTTACTTTCTGAAAGAAGCTGAATGGTAATCAATTGAGTACTATCAAGTTCAGTCAAAGTTTGCGTGACAGTACGCATTGCGAGAGAACAAAGAGCAGCAAGGAGCTTGAACTAAATGGGAAAAACAAGTTTCTCACATCTTCACCATATCAATTCAATTACTTGAAAACTAGCGGTGGTTCGAAAATCCACGACGAGGAATGTACTTGAATAGGATAAATAGAGCGCTCTAATCCATCGTTCATCAACGAAAATACTCGAACAAATGGGATGATAGAAGACTGTATTAGTCACAAAGTCTTTGTACGGTACAATCGTTGTGGAACATGGACATGAGAGTGTTTCACCATGTTCAGCTTGAAGTTTGCCAAAAATATCTGGAGTAACATGTTCGATGATCACAACACCAGTTTGCGGAAGTATTAATGCGATCAGAAAGAGAATGTAGAGAAATACTAAATAACAGAGACATATATCGAATGTAATGGTTCATCCAATTCTGATTTGACGTGAGTGTATTGATTGTCTTACCGGCGAGAAGAAAAACATATAAACGAGTTGTATATCTTTGATATTTGAGACTTATTTCGGGATCTGTCGGTTGAGAATTGTCATCGTATTCATCTTCGTCAGGTATGAACAGATTGTAATTGTGAATCCAATGATAAAACCATTCAAAGATATATTTTGCTTTCATTTTATGAAAGTGGGTTTCTTTATTCGGAATAACTTGAAGTTTATACTTACTCTCAGTTTCAAGATATTCTTTCTGAAAGAAACAATTGTCTCCTTATTTCTTTAAACTAAATGCGGCGTTTTTTAGGATTATATTCACTTACTTTAGAATGGATTTAGGTTTTCAGGAATTACTTTGAGTGCAAAGCTGTGTGTCGGTGATAGATTTTTTTTCCAAACAAAACCGAGGTTTACTCAGTGCTTCATTCTTTTCATTGAATGCAAACATAATATAGAGCTAGAAATGCATTTTAATGAGTATTTAATGAAACGAGAAAAAGTAATTTAATAGATGTTTTAAGATTGTTTCATGATAATTTGAGAGATAATTGCAGGAAAAAAAACATGAGGGCGAGAGAATGATCGAGTAACGAAATTAAAACAATAGTTAAGGCTCAATACCACGGAATGGGCGGTTCACTTGTGTTGTTGTCATAGCCGTATGTATATGTTTGATTTAATTAAATTAAGCGCAGGCTTATATGAAAGCTTCGACAGACCAACATAGGCTGTGTTTTTGGGTTTATCTATATCAACCATAGTTAATATTTCTGTGTCGTTAGTGCCACTGGGAAATGCGTGCTGGTGACGTGAGTGTTATGATTAATAACTGAGCGAAACGTTCTGAGAGATCAACTTACTCAAGTGTAGTAAACTGGATACATAAAATATTAAAATTGATTCTTTGCCAAAGCTGCAACCTCATTGACACTAAGAGCTCCATCATAAATACAAAAATCTTCTACTTTACCATTAAAATAAGAATCAGAACCATCGCTCGAACGGTCAAGCCAGTTATTTGTTGTTGTTCTTAGATGAGAAGGTAAGAAACCAATAGCAGCGTTGTTTCCAACGACTGCACTCGTTAACATACGTATGTTGTTATAGTAAAATCTACCGAAGGAAGAACCAAATCTCGAGGTAGTTCCACGTAACCATGGATTCCATTGAGCAGAGCAGTATTACCATCATTTCTACCGGCAACAAACATCGCGTTATTTCTGAGTATTCCAAAATAATCATGATCGCTGTTATCTTTTGCAATCACATCACCTGTTTCATTGAATTTGAGATGGATATATAATTTAGCGAATGACTCTGTTTCAGAATGGCTTGACTCCATGCCATTTTACAAGTTGATCACAATAATTCGACACCAAAAAGAGTGTGAGGTTGATCGCCACCTGATTTCCTTGTGACGGTAATAAACAACTTTATCCAAAGCACCATTATGTTTGACTAAAAAGTTATGGTGAAGAGGATTGCAAAGTCTTCTGGTGTCCATCTTGAATATGTTCTCATAATTTCTGCTGCGTTATCAAGTTGATAACCATGGATGCCAGCAAGTAGAAATCGATCTGCATTACCAGAGAGCTGGTGAAGTGTGGAAGACCAGACATTCATAATAGAGATTGATTCATTCGCAAAGGCTGGATTGCCAGTCACTTTCAAGCGTATCGCTAACTTAAGCAGCATGAACGTCAGAATAGAAAGCACCAACGTTGGCATTAGAATCTTCCCGAATAACTACTGTAGTTGAACGAGGATTGTGATTAAGTTGAGATCGTCAATCCACGATGATTCATTTTTCCCAATTTTCCGACTTCATGCGAATGAAATCCTGTTCAGTGTGCAACAGACCGGGGTGAATAAAAGCGGCACTTCCATTTCTCAAATTTCGTCCTGACGAAGGGGTCAGAGCACGTGCTAGTGTAATCATTGTAACTACTATAACGAAAAATGTGCATCCAGTAGTTTCACACACGAAATACGAGTAGCTCAAAATAATGTTTTTGCACGCTCTAGGTCGGAAACTTGGGCCATGTGGCACCTTTCAATAGTTTTCTACGGCTAATGTTCTTACTCTATCCTCCTTGATAAAATTTGTAGTTGCATATTTTTTTTCTCAGGCTTCATACATTGATCAGTTCTAAGTAGAGACCCGAGTAAAACGTATTTTCTTATCAATTAAATCAAGAACCAGAAACACCCATAAAGACATGGCTAACTGCTTTGACTTTAATAACTACACAGCGTTACAAATAGCTAAAACACAAAATTTGTGTAGAAAATGTATAGGTAGTCAATACATTCTTAATCAACTTCGAAAAGCTTGATTTAAAAAAATATATACTTTTAACAAAAGGACAGGATCGTATATAGCATATCGGTGCACGATATTTGAGAAAGGAATGAGTTAAGAAATGCCTCTAAAGAATATTTTTAGACAAATAAATAATCTAATAATGGTATATCACACTAACTCTATTGATTTTCATACGCAAGAAGTTTTAACCTCGAGAATATATAGCACGTGTAATACTTCTCATTTTAAGAACACTGCTTTTACCGTAATTGATTTCTTCTAATCTTGTCCTTTTATTTTTGTTCTCATGCTTTCGACCCAAGGATGCTAGGAATGTCAACATTGTTGACAAAACGTTCACAATAATAATTTGTTCAAGATTTCATTCTTTTTACTTAAACTTGTTTTCTAATCAAAGACATTTGAATGAAGTGTTTCGATGGTTCGAAGAACAGATCATTCCACTTATATCGATGTTATTGAATAAAAGAAAATAATTATTTATTTCAAACAGATGTTCATAAAAATGTGATGAGTATACATGTACCAAATGAATTTAATAAACCCATGAACAGCAACAAATTTTCACAATATGATCTCTGGATGAAACAGTTCTTCCTTATTTCTTGTCTATTATTGACCGTAATTAACAACTTTATTTAAGATAAATCCTGCATCTCGTCAGATTAGAGTGTACTATTGTTTACAAATTCACATTTTGATGTTTTAAGATTTCCTATAACATATGCCAATAATTAAACCAATAGTTAATATTCCGAACACCCCAACACCTGACCATCCCACACATAACATAACCAGATATCTATACGAAGTATTCCATTGCCATCGAACTGATGTTTCACTTGTGCTGTCATAGTAGCATGGATACGTTTGATTGACCTCAATTGATTTAAAGAAAAACATTCAGTTTTGGCGCGTGCTATTTATTACCGTGAAAAAACTGACTGAAAGTCTCATTTTTTTGTACGAGAATAATTTTCAGTTGGGTGAGATTTCATCCAAACATTCCTCTCAACTTTTCTGTAAACTTGTAGGGAAGAATTATAGATAGATAAGTGACACAGCAGGTAGGGAAACGCTTTTCTTCATATATAGATACTCACCGAATTCGATCCAGGACCATCCGATGCCTCAAATGTAGTTTCGACTGTCGTTCCACTCGATATATTGTATGAAACAGTATAGAACTGTTGATCACATGAAAAGTAGCTCGTTGTGCATCTATAAGTTGCTCCAGAGCCAGTGCATGATTGACTTGAACATGTTTTTTGCACAAGTCGATAGCCCTTAACAAAACACATTGTGAGTTGATAAGTTGATTCATCGCGCTTTGCTGGAACATATAGTGCTGTTCCCGTTATGCCAATAAGTGCGAATATAGTTAATATTACCACTGAGGTGATTAAGCCAAAACAAAGACATACAGATTTCGTTTTCTGTGACATTATTTTCTCCTGATTTTGTAAAAGAAAAAATGAATGCTATTGTGAATTGTTCGACTGTTTTCATTCCTACTTTATAAGAAGAAAAGACAATATAGACATAAACTCACATATGTCAACATCCATGATTTTTTCGTTCGATCACTCGACGGTAGCAAAGCAACATACTCAGCTTCTTCGTTACTGCGCTGCTGTCAGCAATACTTTTGTTTACTTAAACACTACAGGTTTCGTAAGACTCGTCGACTAGATGAAAGTTGTGAAATTCTCGAAGTTATTTTATCGTCTGTCATACCTGTATTTCCCTATTAATAACGTACACAGATAAAGTCTTTTCATTCTCTATGTATTGGTTACTGGCATCGGCATGTCACCTTAAAAATTTATCTGATTGTCTTTTTCTTCGATGTGATTGTGTGTCAAGCTCTTCTAATCCAAGTAAAACCGTAAATACGGATTTGTTTCGTTTCCAATAGTCAGGACATACGTATATCAATGAGAGAGTATAGGTGAAAGCATTGGTCTTCTATTGCATGATAACGGCATATGCCTCAAGATCTTGTAGTAAACTAAACTGAACAGTTAATATATACGAAATAGTTGCACAGCTACAAAGAGTGTCGTACCGATTATTACGAATAAACCATGAGATCTCTATCAGCTGACATATCAGGATGGTACAGAAAAAGATAATAAAAGCTAACTTATAGTTCTTATAAGGTTAAACGTGATGTTTGAATAAAGATTCAAATGGACCAAAAACTAGAAACAAATCTTACACAAATAAGATTTCGTTTTCCTTCTATTTCATCAATGATTTTAGTTATGTCTTCATGTACACTGAAATTAGCGGATAAGTACCAAAATAGTTCCGATACATTTATGATATGGTGACAATACATCTGTACAGAGAATGTTAAACAAAGTTGGAAGATAATTTCCTAATCGATATATCGCTCTATTTGACTTTCGTTGAATTCAGCTGTGATTACTTCTCTCGTAGTCTATCCTATGGTGAATAGTAGAATTGACTTCCGAACACAAACGAAATGTTATTGTAAAACGACTTTTTTCGCTTACACGCAGTGTTATTTTTCAGAATTGAAATAATTCTCTCGCACGTTCTGCCTCAATCTTATCAAAAATCGAGCAATTTCTATTCCAATCCGTAGGTAAAAAGCCTTGATCGGGTGTAACGTGAAAATATTTCGGTACCAATGGATCATAACTTGGCCATGTATGAAGTGGTCTGCCCGTCTGAGCGATACTGATCCAATGTGAAATGATATTGTTCGAAAAAAATCGCGTTTGATTATTCCACGTACAATGAAATTGCTCTTGCGAATCGACGTCACTAACAGTTCCGAATACAAATGGAATTTCAGATGAATGGCGGCATATACCTTCTTGCTGTACAATAGGACATAGAGGGTAACAGTTCAAATGATAAGAGAATAATTTATTCTGTTCATACTGTGCGCCATATTTTGCATAAAATGCATTGAATAATCGACGAATATCACAGTCAAATATAGAATCCATTAATATTCGACGAACGATATCACAGCAACGAGTAGCATTAGCAGTAGGTCTCATGGAACAGTTATGCAAATGGTAATAGTCTGCGATCATCGGACTTCGTTCGGGAGAAAAGGTAGCAGCAATTTTTGTTAAAGCTTCACTCGAAGTCATCAATGGATGTTCGAAACAAATCGGTTGTTCATAGTCATTATTACCCATGATCAAACTCACATTATTATATTGACCGCTACTAATTGCCAATAGTGGATACAACGGAAAGAAATAATTCTCAATAATAGGTCGTGTATATCGAGAATCATATGTGCGCAAAAGATCATCAAAGGAAGCATTGCGAATGCATGTAAGTAATCGTCGTCTACCTTCATAATCACAATGCAATCGTTGAACAACTGAATTCGAAGCATTGAGAGCGAAACTTATATTATAGTACGATGACGATGTTCCAGGTGAACCCAAGCCGGATTCACTTATTGCTGTTCGATAGAGACCAGAAGATCCTTTAACAGCACCTAGGTCAGTTACAGACAAACCTCCAGCACTTTGACCAAATATAGTCACACTGTTTGCATCTCCATCGTAATGCAGACAACATATCGAGATACATATAATTACCTGCTGTTGACCATTGTGGATCTTCTTCGACTAACTCATTTAGGAACATATCTGCTAATACACCCAAACGATAGTTTATGGTGACAACAATGACTGGTTGACCTGATGGTGAATAAGCGATAATATTCGTGCCGTTGAATATCAATGGAATGGCTTCTGATGAGCAACCATGATTATGAGCACCGCCGTGAATCCAAACAAGTACGGGCAACAAAGACGAATTCGATGGAATAATTGGTTTGTAAATATTTAGATACAGACATTCTTCATTTTGATTCGGAATATAATCAGGAGTTTTCGGCTGTAGACAGCATGGACCAAATGATACTGCATGGTATGAACCATTTGCAAACTTCTCTGAAGCAACATCGATGGGCGGTTTCCATCGAATTACTTTTGCGTATTGAATACTAAAGGAGGCATAGAGAATGAGTCATTACAAAAGGTAAACGAGTCGGTACCCGAGATATTCAATGGATGCTTCAGTTTGTCGACCATAGATAATTCCTTGTTGAGTACGAAGTCCAGTGTCAGAATTGGCAGCACGGATTGCTATTATAAACAACAAAATGTGACTTATCTCTTTCATATTTTTTCTCACCGCTGAGATGTATCTAATCTAAACGATACTGTGTTGCTTTTATATTGGTTGAAATGTCTTATCTTAGTTGTAACTGTTAGTGAAGTCGCTTGTAAACGACGATGGAAAGCTAGAGGTGAAGTTAAATGTCATCGCATCCTTCATCTTCTTCAGGGGGCGCGCACAAGACAAATATGGATTTTAATGTTTATTCATTTGAACTTGATCATTCGTCAAAAGTTTTGACGATCTCATTTTCATGCCCAAAATGAGTAACAGTAGCAAGAATTGATCGGCACGTTTTGTTTCACAACCGAAATTGAAATGGCTCCATGGAAAAAAGGTTAAAGAAATTCATCATAATTTTCAAGATCTTCAACCATCTCATTTGCACCATGTCGCTGAATTCGTCTTTCAAAAAATGAAAATATAACAATAAAATTAATTGTTCACGGTGGAAGAATCATTAAATCATATTGAAGTTGTAATTGTTTTTCTGATTCAACAATACCAGCCGGTCAAAGTCGAGATGTACCTCATAAAAACGTACCACATTATTCTTCTTTTTGTAGAAACAAGCAGCGAAGACGCAACATTACTCAATATCATCATAACTGAAATATGTTCGTCGGTCAGAATTCATCTCAATAGGCATAACATCTTATCGAACAGTTCGTCCAACTTTTTTAGATATTCTTTTATTTTTCGATCCCTATGGATCACATTATGAAGTCTTTATGCACTTTCAAATCCTATTTTGTGACTTTGATCGTTCGCACACAACGCATTTGGTGTGAGTGCACTTGCATTATTTATCACTGTTGAGATTTGTCAAATCTGAAAAAGAATGAATTCAATTCCGTGTCTCCTAAATGCAGTTTTGAATGATAAACCCGGTAGACCTGCACTGTAAATTAATAGACGATGCACGATAATGCATACAACAAGACTTTTTCCTTTCAAATTTAGTTATGACGAAATCTTTTCTCTAAAATGTTTTTATTTTCACGCCCCTCTCTTCTTCTATACGTGTCAACGACAGACGCACTCCCAGTACTTACTAATATATTTAATATTCGATATCAAAACTTTCAAAGCCATATGTGAAGATTTAGTTCTCATTTCCAAGCGATTCGTCCATATGCATTATGAACAGTAACATATTCGATACAACAAAATATAAAAGATGAAAAAGAAGTATTCTGTGGCATGACGTTTTACCATAAAAGCTCAACAAAAACGAGACCTACGTATATCGATCGCTATTTACATATTAATACGTAAAAAGTAATGTTGACACTGTTTTATCTATACAAATCGCGCATCCTTCGGATTTGAAGTTTTATGCTAACGGGCAAAATTCGTACGTTCATCAAGGAAGAGCTATCTAAGAATATCATGCATAAAAAGTATAACCTGTAACGATAATGATATCGTTCATCTCTTTCTATTCTTTATTCTCTCACCTCTATATCATACTATCTCCGGGTCATATCTCTCTTTCCTCTTCTCTATATAAGCGCGTGTCTTATTGTGAAAGAGATACATTCTGGTCATGTAGAGTAGTCAATAAACATCGATACCGTGAGAAGCGGTCAGCTACTCAACCAGTTTGTCGTTACATAACCTATTTATTCAAAGAAAAAAACGACATATAGAAATCAAAAAACATCATTACAAAAACCAAAACATAACACAATATAAAAAGTAAAGCATCAAAGTAAAAAGACACAAAAAATAGTTCATTTACAGGCATCTGCGTATAAGATACAACAAGAAACACATACGAAAAGGCATAATGAGCAATTCTACTGACGAACACTGAGCATCTCTCCAGATATGAGGATGCGTGCCAAAACGATCGCTCTTTTAATCATGTCTCATTTTGAATACTTCTAACTATCAACACTATTATTTGCTATATTTACGACATCTTAATTTTCGACCTCTTTCATACGGATTGGTATTATCACTCAGCTCTCGCTTTCCCGGTCTATTCCAATCTATGTGAACTTTCAAATCAAGCTGGCCGATCGCTCGAAACGCACCCTTTCGAAGTTCATCCACCAAACTCTCACTACCCGGCGGAATAGATACTTTTCTCACACCTTCCCTATCATAAATACACAAGCAACTGCCATGAATAGCGAGCGCAGTTTCAGTGATAACACATGCATAGATAGCACCACGCAAAAACATCTGCTCCCCTCTCTCCATATAAACTTTGACAAGTCTAACTGGGGATATCAATTGCCGCTGAACACAATCCATAGCGATTTCACCCGCGTCTCCAATTTGCAACTCTGAGTCCCAAAACACTCCTAACGCAGACATTACAATGAGATAATATCTTACTCGCTCGCCCATCATCCAAGTATAACCACTCAATGACTCCTGCTTATTACTCCACTCGCATACCAAAGCCCAGTCCAAACTAATGATCACTTCCTTGGTGGCTGCTTTTTCACCCATACGGCACAGTATGCCACATGCGCTTGTTCTCACGGAATTATCGTCGCTCCTCAACGCTTCGACAAGTCCATCGATCACTTCCTTGGTGGCTGCTTTTTCACCTATATCAACAAGTGCGTCACATGCGCTACTTCTCACGTATTTATCGTCGCTCCTGAGTGCTTCGAAAAGTCCATCGATGGCTTCCTTCGTGGCTACTTTTTCAGCCATATCAACAAGTGCGTAACATGCGCTACTTCTCACGTATTCATCGTAGCTACGAAGTGCCTCGGTAAGTCCAACGATCACTTCCTTGGCCGCTGCTTTTTCACCCATACGACCAAGAGCGCCACATGCACAACTTCTCACAGATTCATCTTCGCTCCTCAGCGCTTCGAGAAGTCCATCAATCACTTCCTTCATCGCTGCTTCTTCACCCATCCGACCAACTGCCTCACATGCACGACTTCTCACGGAATCATTGTCGCTCCTTAGTGCCTCAACAAGTCCATCGATCACTTTCTTCGTGCCTTGTCTTTCACCCATATGATCAAGTGCGTAACATGACAATCGTCTCACGGAATCATTGCGGCTCATAAGTGCCTCGACAAGTCCTTCAATCACCTGCTTCGTGGCGGCTTTTTCACCCATACGACCAAATGCGACACATGCTATTTTTCTCAAGCATTTATCGTCGCTCCTCAGTACATCGAGAAGTCGATCTATCACTTCCTTCGCGGCTGCTTTTTTACCCATACGAAGAAGTGCGAAACATGCAAGACTTATCACGGCATCATTCTCGCTCCTAAATGCCTTGATAAGTCCATCAATCAGTTCCTTCGTGGCTGCTTTTCCAGCCATACGAACAAGTGCGTGACAAGCCCAACTTCTCACGGCATCATTTTCGCTCCATAGCGCCTCGATAAGTGCATCTATCACTTCCTTCGTGGCTGCCTTTTTACCCATACGACTAAGAGCGTCACATGCACTACTTCTCAGGGAATTATCATAGGTCGTCAACGATTCGAGAAGTCCATCCATCACTTCCTTGGTCGCTGCTTTTTCACCCATACCACCAAGTGCGTTACATGCCGAAGTTCTCACGGATTCATCGTTGCTCCTGAGTGCCTCGACTAGTCCATCAATCACTTCCTTCGTGGCTGCTTTGTCACCAATACAACCAAGTGCGTTACATGCCCAACTTCTCACGGATTCATCGTTGCTCCTAAGTGCCTCGACTAGTCCATCGATCACTTCCTTGGTCGCTGCGTTTTCACCCATGCGACCAAGTGCGTTACATGCCGAACTTCTCACGGAATCATTGTCGCTCCTGAGTGCCTCGACAAGTTCATCGATCACTTCATTGGTCGCTGCTTTTTCACCGATACGACCAAGTGCGTTACATGCCCAACTTCTCACGGATTCATCGTTGCTCCTGAGTGCGTCGACTAGTCCATCGATCACTTCCTTGGTCGCTGCTTTGTCACCAATACCACCAAGTGCGTTACATGCCGAACTTCTGACGGATTCATCGTTGCTCCTGAGTGCCTCGACAAGTCCATCAATCACTTCCTTCGTGGCTGCTTTTTCACCGATACCAACAAGTGCCTCACATGCCGAACTTCTCGCGGAATTATCGTCGCTCCTGAGTGCGGCGACTAGCCCATCGATCACTTCCTTGGTGGCTGCGTTGTCACCGATACGATCGAGTGTGTAGCATGCCCAAGTTCTCGCGGAATCATTGTCGCTCCTGAGTGCCTGAACAAGTCCATCGATCACTTCCTTCGTGGCGGCTTTTTCACCAATACCAACAAGTGCCTCACATGCCGAACTTCTCACGGAATTATCGTCGCTCCTCAACGCTTCGACTAGTCGCTCGATCACTTCCTTGGTAGCTGCTTTTTCACCCATCCGACCAAGTGCGTTACATGCCCAACTTCTCACGGCATCATTTTCGCTCCTGAGTGCCTCGACAAGTCTGTCAATCACCTGCTTGGTGGCTGCTTTTTCACCCATACCAACAAGTGCGTCACAAGCCCAACTTCGCACGGCATCATTTTCGCTCCTTAGTGCCTCGATAAGTGCATCTATCACTTCCTTCGTGGCTGCTTTTTTACCCATACGACTAAGTGCGTCACATGCAGTACTTCTCAGGGAATTATCACCGGTCGTCAACGCTTCGAGAAGTCCATCCATCACTTCCTTGGTCGCTGCTTTTTCACCAATACCGCCAAGTGTGTCACATGCCCAACTTCTCACGGAAACATCGTCGCTTCTCAGTGCCTGGCGTAGTGATAGTAGGAGCGGTTCGATGGGGTTGGTAAGTGGAATTTTGGATATAAATGAAAATACCATGTGTCGATTGGTGAGTTGTTGATTGTTCAATAGTCGGACTATTGTCTGTTGTACTCGTGGTTCATTGCAAATTGCATTACATGTACTAAGTGTCTGGTCGAAAAGTTTGGTTAGATATCGCGATCCACTGCGTAAAGCGTACTCGAGCCATTGCATGATCTTCTCGAGTAGTTGTTGTGACTGAATGAATGTTTGAGGTAGTGCTGTTTCATCTAGACACTGAATTATAAGCGCCAGGTGTCGGGCGCCGATGATATCCAAAGGATCATTGAGTATAGCGTCCCAAAATGGTCGATTGCAGTTAGTTTCTTGGTCGTCGTTTATTAAACCGGATAAAAATATAAAGAGTAATTGATATCGTTGATTATATTTGTGTTCGCGTATGAATTGCTTTGCTTGGTCGCGTGTACTATTGGAAAGCGCATTGGCTAAGTAACGAGCGGCAAAGTGTTCTTGAAAGCTGAGGTGAACGAAGTAATAGTGCTTATCTGCTGTGATTCGTGTTCCAATGCCACCTGAATTTGAATCGTATGATTTTAGTAGCCCAACATTGAATAAGTCCGGACAGTCGTTCAACTTGCATCTGCTCTCTTTTTGGGCCTTTTTTAATAATTGTGGACCTAGAAGAGTGACATTGTTTTCCATTCCTAGGAAGGCGAGATTCTCCAAGAACGCCAACTCCTTACGACATTCGTCATAAACATCGGTTTTATTCATTCGATTAGTTTTGATTGGTGACATCTTTTTTTGTTTCTCGAGGTATCGACGGCAGATCCATTCGGCCAATCTGTCATATAGTACTGTAATCGTTACTGTTTTTGTTTGTGTCCAATCAATATTGCTCCAAGTACTACAAATGAGCTCGAGATTGATGGGAATATGTGCGATGCCCCAAATCCTGGGTTTCGATCTGAGAAAGTTTAGTAAGTTGTCACCTTGGTGTGATGAGTTGTCTAACTGATTGAAGAACAACTCGATATAGTTATTGATGTTTTCTTCGGTGAAACCTGTGATTTCCATGTGCACGAAGTACGATAAAGTGTTCATGTATGGACGAGATGTGACGATATGATGTGGGGTTTTGAGCAGCCGTTCAAGTAAGTTTTGCAGGTGTGAAGATGTTTCCTGTACTATTTCATCATAACCATCGAGTAGCCACAAGATTCGGCCTGTGTGAATCTTATTTTCTAACGTATTCTTCTCCTCAACTGGTAGAGATCGATCGAAAAAATATTGATTTATCAAGATGTCCACGAGATTATACTCTTTGTTAGCGTTATACTTTGATCCTGTTAGAGATCGTAAAGGAACGAGCACAACCAGTTCATATTCTGGCCAAATTGCACCGGTTGCCCATTGATAGGCAGCATATCGACAAAATGTTGACTTTCCAATACCAGCGCGACCGAAAACTAATATGCGTTTGTTCTGATCTTTGCATTTTTCGAAAATATCTTCAACCTCAATTGGAGTCTTACTGCCATATATATCTTCGTACGTGTCAATAATTGTTCCAATGTTTTGAGTTTCTTTAAGTTTCTCCTCTTTCTCCCGAGTTTCTTTGGTTTCTACGATGGCCAAATTGATATAACTCTGGTCGATTGGAAAAGTTACCGCTGGATTCATGAATCGTTCTATTTTACTGTTGCATAAATATTGATATTTGATCAGTTCGAATCGAATGTTGAGTCGTTCTGAATTTTCTTCCGGTACATATACCATATTTTGAAGTGTCCACAATAAATTATCCATTTCAAAATCAATATCATCCGACGGTGAGAAATGCCGAAAATCTTCTTGTTTCACTCCCTCCAGAATAGCACTCAACCAGCCGATCGATCTCCAAGTTTCTTCCGTTTTAGTTAGACAGGGAACGATCTTCTTATAACACTTTTGCGCATATTGGAGTTCTATTTGAGAGCGCGCTGAGCTTTCGTATTCTGGACTGAGAAAACATACGACGAATGCTGCATTTTTTACTCCAATTGCAAGGCTGAAACAGAGATATACCGATAGCATCAACCATTTAATGTTTACGGAAATATTCATACCTGTCATAAATATTATTATTCGATATATTTTCGTCGAACCAAACTGGTATCGATCTAGTATGCAGATATTGATATATTTGCAAAACAACAGCTTTGTCATTGTTCTCATAGGACAACATGACATGTTTGCCTTGTGGAATACTCGTACTGAAAGCAAGAAAAAACAGTATCCGTAAATCTGTTGCAACATATGCTAAGTCTTTTAGCCGTCAATATTTCCCAAATAAATCAAAAGGAAGGATAGTCAAATAATATACTTACCATTCTTCGAATGAGTATATGAATGATTCGTTGTTGATTACAAATGGTTCAGTTTCGAGCNNGAGCAACCATGATTATGAGCACCGCCGTGAATCCAAACAAGTACGGGCAACAAAGACGAATTCGATGGAATAATTGGTTTGTAAATATTTAGATAGAGACATTCTTCATTTTGATTCGGAATATAATCAGCAGTTTTCGGCTGTAAACAGCATGGACCAAATGATACTGCATGGTATGAACCATTTGCAAACTTCTCTGAAGCAAGGTCGATGGGCGGTTTCCATCGAATTACTTTTGCATATTGAATACTAAAGGAGGCATAGAGAATGAGTCATTACAAAAGGCAAACGAGTCGGTACCCGAGATATTCAATGGATGCTTCAGTTTGTCGACCATAGATAGTTCCTTGTTGAGTACGAAGTCCAGTGTCAGAATTGGCAGCTTGGATTGCTATTATACACAACAAAATGTGATTTATCTCTTTCATATTTTTTCTCACCGCTGAGATATATCTAATCTAAACGATACTGTGTTGTTTTTATATTTGTTGAAATGTCTTATCTTAGTTGTAACTGTTAGTGAAGTCGCTTCGAAACGACGATGGATAGGCAGAGCTGAAGTTAAATGCCATCGCATCCTTCATCTTCTTCAGGGTGACGCATAAGACAAATATGGATTTTGATGTTTATTCATTTGAACTTAATCACTTGTTAAAAGTTTTGACGATCTCATTTGCACCATGTCACTGAATTGGTCTTTGAAAAAATGAAAATATAACAATAAAATTAATTGTTCAGGGTGGAAGAATCATTAAATCATATTGAACTTGTAATCTTTTTTCTGATTCTACAATATCAGACGGTCAAAATCGAGGTGTACCTCGTAAAAACATACCACATCATTCTTCTTTTTGTAGAAACAAGTAGCGAGGACGCAACATTACTCAATATCATCATAACTGAAATATATTGATGTCAGAATTCTTATCAAAATATGCATAAAAATTTTAACGAATGATTCATCCAACTTTTTTAGATATTCTTTTATCTTTCGATCCCTATGGATCACATTATGAAGTCTTTATGCACTTTCAAATCCTATTTTATAACTTTGATCGTTCGCACACAACTCATCTGGTGTGAGTACACTTGCATTATTTATCACTGTCGAGATTTGTCAAATCTGAAAAATATTGAATTCAGTTGCCTGTCTCGTAAATGCAGTTTTGAATGATAAACCCGCGGCAGACCTGCACTGTAAATTAACAGACGATGCATGATAATGCATACAACAAAACTTTTTCCTTTAGAACTTAGTTGATACGAAATCTTTTGCCTAAAATGTTTTTATTTTCACGCTCCTCTCTTTTTTTATATGTGTCAACGACAGACGCACTACCAGTGCTTATTAATATATTTGATATTCGATATCAAAACTTTCAAAGCCATGTCCATGTGAAGATTTAGTTCTCATTTCCAAGCGATTCGTCCATATGCATGATGAACAGCAACATATTCGATGCAAGAAAATATAAAAGATGAAAAAGAAGTATTCTGCGGTATGGCGTTTTAGCATAAAACTCAACAAAAACGAGACCTACGTATATCCATCACTATTTACATATTAATACGTTAAAAGTAATGTTGACACTGTTTTATCTATACAAATCGGACATCATTTGGATTTGAATTTTTATGCTAACGAGCAAAATTCGTACGTTCATCGAGGAAGAGCTATCTAAGAATATCATCTATAAAAAGTATAAGCTATTTTTTCAAAGAAAACAAACGACATATAGAAATGAAATAGTATCATTACCAAAACCAACACATAAGACAACATAAACAGCAAGGTGTGAAAGTACAAAGAAAAAAAATCATTTACAGGCATCTACGTATGAGATACAATAAGAAACACATACAAAAAGGCAAAGTCACCAATTCTACTGACGAACATTGAGCGTCTGTCCAGGTGTGAGGGTGTGTATCAAAAAGATCGCTGTTTTAATCACCTCTCATTTTGAATACTTCTAACTATCAACACCATTATTTGCTACATTTACGACATTTTGACTTTCGACCTCTTTCATACGGATTGGCATTATCACTCAGCTTTCGCTTTCCCGGTCTATTCCAATCTATGTGAACTTTCAAGTCAAGCTGACTGATCGCTCGACACGCAACCTTTCGAAGTTCATCCACTAAACTCTCACTACCCGACGGAATATATATTTTTCTCACTCCTTCATTATCAAAAACACACAAGCAACTGCCATGAATAGCGACCGCAGTTTCAGTGATAAAACATGCATAGATAGCACCATGCAAAAACATCTGCTCCCCACTCTCGATACAAACTTTGATAAGCCTGACCGGTGATATCAATCGCCGGTGAACACATTCCGTAGCGATCATTCCCGCCTCACCTGATTTGACATCTGGATCCCAAAACGCTCCTAACGCAGACATTACAATGAGACATCGTCTTACTCGCTCATCCATCGCAAATGCATAAGCAGCTAATGATACTTGCTTTTTACTCCACTCACATTCCAAAGCACAGCCCAAGCCAATGATCACTTCCTTCATGGCTGCTTTTTCACCAATTTGAACAAGTGCGTCGCATGCCTCACTTCTCACGGAATAATTGTCGCTCCTGGCTGCCTCGAGAAATCCATCGATCACTTCCTTCGTCGCTGCTTTTTCAATAATACCAACAAGTGAGTCACATGCACTACTTCTCACCCAACCACCGTCGCTCTTGAGTGCCTCGAGAAGCCCATCGATCACTTCCTTCGTCGCTGCTTTTTCACCCATACGACCAAGTGCGTAACATGCACTACTCCTCACGGAATAATTGTCGCTCCTGAATGCCTCGAGAAGCCCATCGATCACTTCCTTCGTCGCTGCTTTTTCACCAATATGAACAAGTGCCTTACATGCACTACTTCTCACCCCATCATCGTCGCTCTTGAGTGCCTCGAGAAGCCCATCGATCACTTCCTTCGTCGCTGCTTTTTCACCAATATGAACAAGTGCCCAACATGCACCTATTCTCACCCAACCACCGTCGCTCTTGAGTGCCTCGAGAAGCCCATCGATCACTTCCTTCGTCGCTGCTTTTTCACCCATACGACCAACTGCGTCACATGCACTACTTCGCACCAGACCATCGTCGCTCTTGAGTGCCTCGAGAAGCCCATCGATCGCTTCCTTCGTGGCTGCTTTTTCGCCCATACGACCAAGTGCGTAACATGCATTACTCCTCACCCGACCATCGCCGATCCTGAGTGCCTTGAGAAGCCCATCAATCACTTCCTTCGTCGCTGCTTTTTCACCAATATGAACAAGTGCGTTACATGCACTACTCCTCACGGCATAATTGTCGCTCTTGAGTGCCTCGAGAAATCCATCGATCACTTCCTTCGTGGCTGCTTTTTCAATAATACCAACAAGTGCGTCACATGCCTCACTTCTCACCCGATCATCGTCGCTCTTGAGTGCCTCGCGAATTCCATCGATCGCTTCCTTCGTGGCTGCTTTTTCACCCATACGACCAAGTGCGTCAGATGCACTACTCCTCACGGAATAATTGTCGCTCCTGAGTGCCTCGAGAAATCCATCGATCACTTCCTTCGTGGCTGCTTTTTCAATAATACCAACAAGTGCGTCACATGCCTCACTTCTCACCCAACCATCGCCCCTCTTGAATGCCTCGAGAAGCCCATCGACCACTTCCTTCGTGGCTGTTTTTTCACCAATATTAACAAGTGCGTCACATGCACTACTCCTCACCGGGCCATCGTCGCTCCTGAATGCCTGGAGAAGCCCATCGATCACTTCCTTCGTCGCTGCTTTTTCACCCATACAACCAACTGCGTCACATGCACTACTTCGCACCAGACCATCGTCGGTCTTGAGTGCCTCGACAAGTCCATCGATCAGTTCCTTCGTGACTGCTTTTTCACCCATACGACCAACTGCGTCACATGCACTACTTCGCACCCGACGATCGTGGCTCTTGAGTGCCTCGCGTAACGCTAGTAGTAGCGGTTCGATGGGGTTGGTAAGTGGAATATTTGATATAAATGACAATACCATGTTTCGATTGGGGAATAGTTGATTGTTGAATAGTTGGACTATGGACTGTTGGAATCGTGGTTCGTTGCAAATTGCATGGCATGTGCGTAGTGTCTGTGTGAGAAGGTTGGATAAATATTGCGATCCACTGCTTAAAGCGTATTCCAGCCATTGTGTGATCTTCTCAAGCAATTGTTGTGACTCAATGAATGTTTGAGCTGGTACTGCTTCATCTAGACACTGAATTACAAGCGCCACGTGTCGCACGCCGATGATGTCCAAAGGTTCATTGAGTACAGCATCCCAAAATGCTCGATTGCATTTAGGTTCTTGATCTTCGTTCAACAAACCGGATAAAAATGTAAAGAGTAATTGATATCTCCTATTATATTTGTTTTCACGAATGAATTGCGTTGCTTGGTCGCGTTTAGTATTCGAAAGCGCGTTGGCTAAGTAACGAGCGGCAAAGTGTTCTTGAAAACTGAGATGAACGAAGTAATAGTGCTTATCTGCTTCGATTCGTGTTCCAATGCTACCTGAATTTGAGTCGTATGATTTTAGTAACCCAACATTGAATAAGTTCGGACACTCTTTTAACTTGCATCTGCTCTCTTTTTGGGCCTCTTTTAGTAATTGTGGACCTAGAAGAATAACATTGTTTTCCATTCCTTGGAAGGCGAGATTCTCCAAGAACGCCAACTCCTTACGACATTCGTCATAAACATCTGTTTTATCCATTCGAGTAGTTTCGATTGGTGACATCTTTTTTTGTTTCTCGAGGTATCGACGGCAGATCCAGTCGGTCAATCTATCATATAGTATTGTAATCGTTACTGTTTTTGTTTGTGTCCAATCAATATTGCTCCAAGTGCTACAAATGAGCTCGAGATTGATGGGAATATGTGCGATGCCCCAAATCTTGGGTTTCGATCTGAGAAAGTTTAGTAAGTTGTCACCTTTGTGTGATGAGTTTCCTAACTGAGTGAAGAACAACTTGATGTAGTTGTTGACGTTTTCTTTTGTGAAGCCTGTGATTTCCATGTGCACGAAGTACGATAAAGTATTCATATATGGACGAGATGTAACGATATGATGTGGAGTTTTGAGCAGCCGTTCGAGTAAGTTTTGCAGATGTAAAGATGTTTCCTGTACTATTTCATCATAACCATCGAGTAGCCACAGAATTCGGCCTGTGTGAATCTTATTTTCTAACGTATTCTTCTCCTCAGTTGATAGAGATCGATCGAAAAAATATTGATTTATCAAAATGTCCACGAGATTATACTCTTTGTTAGCGTTATACTTTGGTCCTGTTAGAGATCGTAAAGGAACGACCACAACCAGTTCATATTCTGACCAAATTGCACTGGTTGCCCATTGATAGGCAGCATATCGACAAAATGTTGACTTTCCAATACCAGCGCGACCAAAAACTAATATGCGTTTGTTCTGATCTTTGCATTTTTCGAAAATATCTTTAACCTCAATTGGAGTCTTACTGCCATATATATCTTCGTACGTGCCAAGAATTGTTCCAATGTTTTGAGTTTCTTTAAGTTTCCCCTCTTTCTCCCGAGTTTCTTTGGTTTCTACGATGACCAAATTGATATAACTCTGGTCGATTGGAAAAGTTACCGCTGGATTCATGAATCGTTCTATTTTACTGTTGCATAAATATTCATATTTAATCAGTTCGAATCGAATGTTGAGTCGTTCTGAATTTTCTTCCGGTACATATACCATTTTTTGAAGTATCAACAATAAATAATCCATTTCAGAATCAATATCATTGGACGGTGAGAAATGCCGAAAATTTTCTTGTTTCACTCCCTCCAGAATAGGACTCAGCCAACGGATCGATCTCCAAGTTTCTTCCGTTTTAGTTAGACATGGAATGATCTTCTTATGACGCTTTTGCGCATATTCGAGTTCTATTTGAGAGCGTGCTGAGCTTTCGTATTCCGGACTGAGAAAACATACGACGAATGCTGCATTTTCTACTCCAATTGCAAGGCTGAAAGAGAGATATACCGATAGCATCAACCATTTAATGTTTACAGAAATACTCGTACCTGTCATAAATATTATTATTCGATCTATTTTCGTCGAACCAAACTGGTATCGACCTATTATACAGATATTGATATATTTCCAAAACAACAGCTTTGTCATTGTTCTCATAAGACAGCATGACATGTTTGCCTTGTGGAATACTCGTACTGAAAGCAAGAAAAAACAGTATCGATAGATCCGTTGCAGCATATGCTAAGTCTTTTAGCCGTCAATATTTCCCAAATAAATCAAAAGGAAGGATAGTCAAATAATATACTTACCATTCTTCGAACGAGTATAGGAACGGTTTGTTGACGATTTCAACTGGTTCACTTTTACGGTGTACTCGTGTACCTGGCATGAGGATAATTTCCTGTTCCTGGCTAAGAACAGCTGAATATTGCGAAATATCTTTTCCATTTATGACTTCAATAGCATAAATAGTACCAGTACCAGATTTTCCAAGATAAGGTTCGACAATCTTGGGATCTTTCGAAGTCGAAGTTACTCCCCACCAAGTTTCGTGCTTATCATCAGAATTAGCATCAATTATCTCCGGCCTACCGCGCCACACAATACCTTTGAACGAAGGTAACTTATTGAGAGCCGTGATGAAGAGCTTTAAGTATGGAAACCATGGTTTTAACGGTCCTTTGTCCATGGCTCGAAGACGACCGTTTAGCCTTGAGGAAAAACCTGAGCCGGTCATTGTATAAAGATAGATGGATGCAAACTCATCCTCTGTTAATATACATGGTCTCCTGTATTTTTGCTTTGCTTGCGTTACGTAATCATCAATTCGAAGGATTTCGTGTCTGATGCCTTGAATAGCTTCTTCCAATGTTGTAATAACTTGGTCTTGATAGCCGTAGATCGGACTGGTACTTTCGTCTCCATATAGAGTATCACTTGTGTCGACGAATCTGTTTTCCATTTTAATACCTTTCTTTATAAAAACTATATTGCAAATAGTCTAGAATAATAAATGTAGACAAGTAACGCTCATCCTTTGGATTCGCTGATCCTTTTCCGAAAGAATTTTCCTAATGCTGAATACATTCAGAGACTTTGAAAGAGAAAAAACGTACTGCGATTGCTACTGGTGCTCAGTTGAAACATGTCACAAATTAGAGTGAATAGGAGACAGATTTTTTCAGAAGCTAGACCAATTAGCCATTTTTCAGTGCGTAATTCTCGAGCACTAACTGTGTTGACTAAACCCTCGTCGCTCAACGGCTAGTCATTTGTCGCCCTCCCTTCGGTCGGCTACTCACACCCAGCCATTGACCTTTATCACCTGTGTCGTACAGCGAAAAAAAATCTTTCTTTTCTTTCCTGTCAGCAAAATGATACCCTGTCGAATATCTTCATTGAGAAATGCCCATTCGTTAAATTCCTTTCAAAATTATCTGAAGCCAGGCAAAGTTATTCGAAGCGTATACGTTAAGACTAATCTGGAATTTAAACGCGTAGTCGGTCGGCCACTGACGGCTAGCCGTTAACGCACATAGTAAACTTTCATAGTATTTTCATATTAGGAAGTACCTCGTTGTTACTGAGTCGATCTGTGATCGAAGTTATCAAAACTCTTGGTAACTGTGTAATCTATACATAGTACATTCTCTATTGGTCTCTTCAATTTGGAGTGCTGATAATGTACAGACCCTATTCTCAAAGCTCGAAAACACGTCAATTATGTTCGTTCAAAAACCATTGACTTTAGCTGAAACTCATTTATCTCATCTTTCAAGTAATTTTCAGAACCAACGCCTAGTCGTTTGTCGATCTGCCTCCGATCGGTCACCCACGGCTACCCATTACTATGCTGTCTCTGTTACTCCTTTCATCTGCGATTGACTTTCAAACTGAATGGTTGCGGTTCCTTCTATTGCCACTTCGACAGTGATGATCTTCCACTCATTCGACTACCAAAAGAAACTAGATGAAAAGATTTTAATGTATGATTTGCTCCGAAATGAACATATTTCATAGTACTACAGATGTTTAGAATACTGTTTGTATAGTCCACACCTCTGTACTTAATAAGATGGAATAACATTGACGGGTATATCACTTTGCGGCCTATTTCCGCTAGATTCCTATGAAAAGACATGACCTATGCAGTATACAAGGCAAAATTATACTAAGCTCATATCACTTTCGTTGATTCCTTGAATTAGAAATATTATGTGACATGTATTAAACCTTTTCGTGTAAGCTGTTGAACTACTATCTTCGTACACATCACATTCATAAATAGCGTTTGATCCACTACGTGCTAGAAAAGATATCGGAATCGATAAAGAAAAATATCTTCTTTGAAAAGAGGAAGATAGAAGCCGAAGCTTGGTGAATGAGAAGAAACTAACCATGGATCCAAGTTCTCCGACCTCGATTACCCTACCGTCAATCATTTCCTAACAACCATCGATCAATTTCATTGATTTTGAGGATGTGGTTGTGGGTGGGGTGAAAATTTTTTATGATTGGAACCGATAGAGTTCGTCGAGTTTGATCTGGAACCAGTGTTACAATCGCGGTCGGTGGTTGTAAAACGAATCTGCCTCGGTTTTTCTCTAGTTTCGGATCTTTTTTTGGGTGTTTTTTTTCAGATTTTTTAGGCTTTCAGGGTGAACAAAGAGCTTTTTTTGGAAATTTTATTTTTGGAAACGATAGAGCTCATCAAGTTGTACTTGGAACCAGTGTTCGTTTGATTGGAACGTTCGGTGAAACGAATCCGCTCAAGAAAATATCGAATCTTGCCCGAACGTATCCTACGTCACGTAGGCCCCTAATATTCAAAGGGAGGACAACATTTGTTGTTTCAAAAATGTAGATTTTACAAATCTGTGAGTGTTAGTGAGAGTAGCCTATGGACAGATTTAAAAAGCTGAGTGTGTGTGCTGTTAGCATAAATTAGTAATACCCTCGTCAAAAACATGCTATCTAAATGAAATATTTTACCGAAATTTCAGTGAATCAGGTCGAAAACATACAGAAAAGAAAGAAATATTACTTTAGTTTACAGTCGACGCGTGCGCATAGCGGAAGAATAAAGCACCAATGAAATTGTCGAAAAAAACACTATTGAATAGTGAGATAAAGTGAAAGTATATCGACAGGTGTCACCGGCGTACGCTCACAGGAAACAGCTCAAAGGTAAAGAAATTGTTGAAAAAAAGGGGATTTTAATAAATTATTGGACATAAATGTTTACAAACAAATACTATTCTAAAAGAGACAGTAAAACTTCACCAATACGGATGGGAAATAATGAAACAACAGAGGTTTATAAAGAATTTACGAGAAAATGATTCATCAGTGTCGAATGAATGTCTGCTCCATGATTTGTATGAATTTTACACGACGGTTTCTTATATTTTTGAGCGGGTAATTCCCAATCAACATAGTGTTGATCGTTATTGAGAAAGCAAATGTTGTGAAGAATTGCGGCATTCTTTGTTATATCGATGGTATTCTTCAAAACGAAATATCTTTTTCAAAGCTCCAAACGCTCGTTCTACCGAACAGCCCTGCTAAGACGATAATAAAATGTAGAATGACATTTTGGCATATCGGCACGATCAGCACATGCTTTCAGCAATGTTTACTTCAGTGCAAAATCAGAATCGGCAATTAGATGAGATTAAATCGTATCATTATTCACCTTCATAAAATATTTCGAATAAGATACAACGAATATAAATGGAAGCATCGTTGCATCTACCAGCAGCACCGACATATCGGTGTGAAGCTAGCACGAAGGAGCTAGCACGAACAAACGATATGTTAGGTAAAAACTTTTTTACCAAGTATGTCCCGTCCATGAGAACTACACCATTCGACTCAGAATTTAATTCTGCATCGAATGGTGATACTTTTATTCGCCGGACAAACTTTGGAAAAATTCTATCTGGATTATAAATAGACATAAAGGAAACGAACAAAGATATAGATAGAAAATTTTCCAAAGTTTGTCCGGCGAATAAAAGTATCACCATTCGATGCAGAATTAAATTCTGAGTCGAATGGTGTAGTTCTCATGGACGGGACATACTTAGTAAAAACGTTTTTACCTAACACATCGTTTGTTCGTGCTAGCTTCACACTGATAAAGATTGCACATACTTGTAACTAAGACAGGGTTTGCGGAAGTGATCGGCCTTGAATGAATGCATTTAGGAGGTTCAACGAAAGTTCCGTTTGTAAAAACTATTTAAATACATTGAGCCATATGCCCGTCGGCATATTCACTTGTCACCCGATGAGAAAAGTAAATAATAATTGATGAGGTAGTTAGTGATTGAACAGTCTGACTAGGTGCAACACGTAATATGTACTTTGTTGTATTTAGATGAATGATTTTTATATACTGGACTATGTTTGTTAGACTGATTACTGTTTATCTCCATAGTTGAAGTAATGGATTTACTACATACGAGAGGACAAGAACAGTGGCAGTGGAAGGGAGTGCTTTCGTATGTAGTTAAATCAAATATTGTGATGCAGTCATCGTCCCTGAAGTTGGCGTTCTTCCCGACGCAGAATTAACACCGGTGTTGGTATTTAACGTTTGCGAAACGTTTGAGCGTTGTTGACTTTAGCTGGCTCTTGAAGAGTTCATTTGAAAGATAACATAAGTTCCATTTGCACCTTCACGCTGGTAGCCCCGAGCAACCGTCGATTTCAAGTGATCAACTTGTTTCGTTAGACTAATGTGAAACGATGTTAATATTTAGTATTTTTCGCGAAGGACGACTTTTTTATGTGTGTCGTATTACTTTTGATTCGTATATGTGTGACCAAATCGAATATAGCCTTCGTATTTTCTACCTTTATCGGCTCTCCTTCGAATACATATAAAAAAAAATACAGTCGTGTACATACGTGTAGATATATCCTTGACGTCAACGCCGAACTATAGAAAATGTCGCAGAGTAATGAGCACGTTTGTGTCTTATTATCTATCAACGCGTATGTATCACGAAATAATTGGTAAACAAAACTCCCCGCGACGAAAAAGAAGTGGAGAAACGAAAAAACTGCTAAATAACGACTTTGTTTTGTAGCTACCGATNTCACTAAGAATTACGTTCATCTTTCGAAGATAATCCGCTCGATTCATAATTACTACACCACGCCCTTTGTCAGGTCGACTGATAACAATTGATTTATTTTTTGCTAGTGAACGTAAAGCGGTAAACGTTTTACGATTCACTTTTCCAAAGTGTTTCAGTTCGGTTTGAGCTGCTTTTTGAAATGAATTCGCTGCTTGACGTATTTCAGATGCGGTATTTAATTCTGTTGGTGTTAGTTTATGAGAAATGTTGAGATGAGCTGGTTTCGATTCATAATGGCGATATGGAGTTTTGAAATTCAAGAGACGAGAGTAGAAATATTCCATATCGCAAACAAACTGCGGCTGATTAAATTTTTCTGGGGCATAAACATGATTTAATCCATTGACTAGGGCATCATGTTCATCTTCAGACAGAATATAATCGGACAAATTTTTCACCGGATCCAATTGTGTTTGACGTTCAGGAACATAAGCAAAATATTTAGCACGTAAATAATCCAACTTGTTTTTATGCTTATTTTGCATGATTATCAATTTTTTGTTGACAAGTTCAGTTGAAATAGATTTCAAACGGACATAAATTATATGTGGCACCGCTTCTTTCAATGCTTGATCCAACCGAGCCAGGTGTTTGGCAGCTTGACGCAAAAATTCTCTTTTAAACTGCAATTCATCTCGTAAAATATTATCCTGACATTGTCGAATCGTTTTCGAGTTGGCTAAACGTGGAATTGCTACACGAAATTGAACAAAAGTTGGAACTAAATTTTCATTTCTACAAGTACGAATGTATAAGACTGCAAGATTTAATTTACAAATTTCAATGCGAGTTTTCATTAATTCACCAAAAAGGGTTTTTGTATAATTACCATAGTGGCGCCAAAGATATCCATACACATTTGTAGATGATAATGGCAAAAGATTAAACAAGAACTTACTAAGCAGTACTGCCTTGAAAAAAGTAGTACTTAGCTGAACACCATCCACCATCAGAACTTGAATAGAGTAAAGTATGAAGAATAATAAAAAAAGAAGAGTAATATTGGCAATTTATAATAATACACTATCTGTGGTAATATAGTATAGTGAACGAACAAAATCCGTATTTATAGTGATAAAAACAAATTATTTTTCTCTCATTTTGAGTCATGAAATTATGCACGTGATTTAGGGATTACATGTCTTGAAATGACTGAAAAAATTAAAATTTGTCATGTGATATTCTTATTGACTAAAAATCGAACACATCCCTTCAACAATGTATTGCTACTTCTGCATAAAGATATTACAATGGAATTTCTGTGTATACATTGTTCGTCCACGTGTTTTATCTTAAACTAGCTCTATCACATGCTTTTTCCAGTTCTCCTTCTACTCTTAAAAAATGTAAACAAAGACCATCACATTGGCATACAATTATGACTCAGAATTTTTGAGTCACTTTCATGATGACATGAGCACGTGCTCTAAAATATAAGAAAAAACTATAAATACAATATCCTATCAATCTTTTACCACTCATTTTACAATCAAACGTTGTCCATACTGAATATTAACACATTTCACTTTCTTCTCAATCATACTTTGCTTATTATTGTAAGTAACAAGACTTTATTGTAAAAACAGCTACTGTAATTCAATTGAATTTAAATATTGTAGATGAAAAACATGCAATTCACCAAGGCTTCTTATTTGTTTATTTTATTCCATTTTCAAACAACAATCACCACGACCAACTCCCTTCCCACCAATCATCTCCAAAATACATTAGNTCCAAATTCAATAAATCTTGTTTTTTCGTTATCAAAATCACATCATAACAATCAATTCGTGTTAATTCTTTAAAATTAGTCTAAAATTTCAGTTTTTCGTTTTGAAATTTCTTGTCATATGATGTCACTAGACTGTCAATTATGTGTTGGTCGTGGAGATGGTGCTGAAGATGTCAATTTAAACTTGACGAAACGTCCAAATTCAATAAATCTTGTTTTTTCGTTATCAAAATCACATCATAACAATCAATTCGTGTTAATTCTTTAAAATTAGTCTAAAATTTCAGTTTTTCGTTTTGAAATTTCTTGTCATATGATGTCACTAGACTGTCAATTATGTGTTGGTCGTGGAGATGGTGCTGAAGATGTCAATTTAAACTTGACGAAACGTCCAAATTCAATAAATCTTGTTTTTTTCGTTATCAAAATCACATCATAACAATCAATTCGTGTTAATACATTTGACTCAAATAAATCCTTCAAAGATCTTATTCTAGAACGAAAAAATGAGAAGAAAGGAAAACATACGACTAACGATCTCTTATCAATCACAAATGGTACATGTTATATTATGGATTGTGAAGAATGCAATTCAGTTATTTGTTTAGATTGGCGTGAGATATGTGATGGTTAGTATAAATATATATCTTAAGAATCCTTCGAGTTTTATTATCATTTTTATAATTTAAGGTAAAATCGACTGTAGTAATGGTCTCGACGAATATCATTGTTATAACCTTGAAAAGAATGAATGTAATCCAGACAGTGAATACCGTTATTCTAATGGACAATGCATCGACAAGATATTGTATAGAAATCATTATTATGATTGTATGGATGATTCGGATGAAACCGTATTCTTATCGAAATCATGTAATTTCTTTGATCCTTTAATGCATTGTGAAAACTATCCATGTCATTCATTATTGTTTTCATGTGGAGATGGACACTGTTATAATGGGCCAAACGTTCAAAGTACTGATCGATGTGAAACACAGCGAGATCGTCTCTATTTCAATCAAATGCCATCATCAACACTTATTTTATATTCACATATACATTTGATTTACAATGATATGAAACCAGAATTGATCCGTTTTAATCAAACATCAAATGAATTAACATGTCGACTATACAACACGTTTACTGATGAGAAATATACTAATTTCGATGATATGTTAAAAGATGTGAAACGTTTTGTACGCTCATGCTCATTGCTACAACAAAACAGCCACAATTGTTCATTATTTCAATGTAATGATCAAAGCAAATGTCTATCTTATCATCGATTATTAGATGGTGTTGCTGATTGTGCAAATGAAGAGGATGAATATCATCCAAATTCATGTTCTTTTCAGATTCCTTATCGATTTGCATGTGATAATGGAACACGTTGTATCTCTCAAAGACTTGTTTTTGATCGCATTGTAAGTAAATTTCATGTTTAATTTACTTTCAATTTATGTATTTTTAGCTACATTGTTCAGATAAGGATGATGGACATGCAAGACACTTTCATGCATGTCGGGATCATATGACAGATCAGTGCCGTACTTATCAAGGAAAAGCACCTCGTTTTGATTTCACTTTTTCTGAACTTTGCAATGGTATTATTGATCGAATGTCTAATATTTCAAATGATACAGATGAATCACATTGTGATAAAACCGAATGGCCTTGCTCCACGTATTATAATGATTGTAATCATGTATGGAATTGTCCAGATGGAAGTGATGGATTAAATACATGTTTAGGATTCAACGGAAAGCTTACTTTTCTACATTGTAATAATACGATGCATTTTTGTTTGGATATTCAACATGGTTTTCCAATATGTTTACCAAAAGAACGAGCTAATGATGGCATTATTAATTGTGTTGGATCAATTGATGAACAAGAGTTTTGTCGACTGAAATATCCAGGAAAGTCTATTCGTGGATTTCGATGCAATGAATCAGACATTTGCATACAACGTCATCAGATATGTAATTGTCATCAAGATTGTCCAAATAATGATGATGAAACAACAGCATGTGTTTGGCTCAACAATGGCCAAGCAACTTCATGTGATCCTAATAAATTTCGGTGTCGGGATGGTCGATATACAGATAATAGTAAATTTAAAATTTTCTCTCGTGGACTAATTGATAATTTGTTTCATATAGATAATTGCAATGACCTTCGTTTGTGTTCGGATGGTGAACATAATCTCTTCTGTCAAGTTGACAACAATGAAATTGTGAAAGATTTTAGTATAGACAGAATTCAAGAACATTTACATCGAAATACACAACCATCATCAACATTAACCAATATCATTCTATAGCAATGTAATGTTGGTATATATGTTCGTACAACAACAAATCCACCTGAGTTTTTCTGTCTCTGTACTAGTTATTATTACGGTGATCGTTGTCAATTTCAACGCAAACGAATAACGATTATGCTTAAACTTGACATAGGAAATTTTATCGATAATCATATTCCAATATTCAAGTTTGTCATTCTATTAGTACGTCATAATACTACATCTTCAATTCTATTTCATGAACAATTTATTTATACACCTCAAAAACATTGCTTACCACGATATACGACGGAATTACTGTATCCAATTACTGATTTATCATTATCATTTCTTAATCATTCTATATATATTCATGTATTTATTGCAAATACACTTCAACATTTTGTATCTTGGCATTTTCCTGTTTCATTCGAATTCTTACCTGTTCGTCGTATAGTAAAACAACTTCTCGTAATGAATATCTCAAAATTCACATCAACAGTAACGATAGACTTTCCTAATTGTACGTCTTGTTCGAATGATTCTTTATGTCTTGGATATGATATTGATCTTGATCGAGAAATTTGTTTATGTCCTTGGCATCGTACTGGCCGTCGATGTCTTATTACCTTCAATCCATGTCGGAATTATAGTTGCAATGATCATGGTTCAATAGACCAATTTATATGCGACTGTTATCCCACGAAAAACTTTTTCGAATGAAACCAGTGAAAACCGCAACTTTTTTGTTCTCACTGCGGTTCTCTGTGAGTAAACCGCAACGTAGTCAGAAAATCGCACCTTTATAGACCGGTTAAAATCTCAATCTTTCAAAACCTCGCACGTCTTGTTTCGTACCGCGGTGTTGGTCCTAATAAGTACATATGATAAAGAAAGATGCGGTGTCATACAAGTTCACCNGTACAGACTTATTCGATAAACGATGCTTATTGATAGAAATCTTTCCTGATTTAACATAGTCAATAAATGGAACTAGTTCCGATGATGAACAATAATGAGTTGATGCATAATAAGCTTTTGTGAATAGCTGAAGATTGATTGACAATTCAGTACCGATTCTTTTCGTTCCATGAATTGATGAAGATAAACAACCTACTCGTAAATGTAAAAGAAATAGAAACAGCTGAGAAAATTTCGTTTCGCACATATTCATACCAATGACACTCCATCATTTGTCGGTCGTCGTATTGCGCCGAATTCCAATGAATCGACGAATCGATCAAATATACCAACAATACTTCAACAATAATTAGCGGCCACATCGAAACTTGAATCTCAGTATTTACGTCCTCTTCTTGTTGCACAAGAACGAACCGAAACCTTAATAAAATCTTTGTTCGCAAATCAGAAGAAGATAGCAAAGGCTTTGCGGAAACAAAAGGTAATGTTAACTTTCGTTCTAATATCTTGAATTGATGTTTTACTTTATATGTCTAGATTAATATCTCATTGATTGGATCGGATGAACCAATTGATACTGTTGATGATCAAACATTCTTGACGTCTTTGGTAAAATTTTCTTCTCTTCGACATATTAAATGTGAAAATCTTGTCAATTTGTGTTCTCTCTCCAGGAATATACGTCAGATGATGGTGTAACTGTCGATCTACTCAAACGAGCCGGTGTCAAAGAGCATGCAAATTTATATATCCCCTCTTTGATGGACTTATTATATAAACCAGAAGAACTGTTGGCTTTGGAAACCAAAGATGTTCCAAAAGATGAACGATACCAATTGTTGAGAGGTAATTAAGTTTTGATTCACTCAATTAGTCGTAAACATGCATCTAATTTAGAAGCAGTGAAGGATAAATTTCGATTGACTTCAGACGAATTAGAGACAATGTGGCAGTGGCTTCACACAGTCTTCTTAGCCAAACGTCGAACACTTCATTGGAAGAAAAAACGCGAAGCATTAGTACCTATGAACAATAACTGATTATCTCTGTTTGATTCTCTTTTTTATCTCATTCTTTACTCTGGTGTGAAAAACAGTTCTAGTTATTTGTTTCCATTATGTTTATCTTCTTTCTATGATTGTTTGTACGCCTGTGTTGTCGTTTATCTTCGACCTGACAATGTCAGTCGAAGTATCTTTCTTTGTTTTGATTTATAATTAGGTGAATGAGAGTGATTTCATTGTCAAACTTTATTTTCTTTTATGAGGGTGTGGAAGAAATTGAGAAAAAAGAAAGGTTATCCGATTGTATAACATACATTTGGTCTAAATGCAACTTCTAATTGATGACAGAATAGCAGGCAGAGGATACTACGAGACTATAATATTTACGACGTACTTACGAGTAAATACGATTTTTTCATCATAACTAAGCGCAGTTACGCCGCAATTTCATCGTAATCGAGCACATGGGAGGTGCTCATTCGATAGAGCTCGTCGAGTTACATCTTGGTCCCGTTTGGTCCCGTCATCAGGCGAATCCATTCAAGAAAAACTCGAATCCTAGCCTAAGATAACCTACGTTCTAAATAAAGGAAAATCTTTTTTTACCTTTGAATTTTATTTCGACTNAACCGAAAAGAAAAAGTCAGGGGGGGCAGCTGAAAAATTGATCTTTTTTTCGCAAACATCAATCACAAAAATTTTTTCATCAAAAGTGACTAGTCGGTCTCCTTATCATCTTCCATAAGTTTCATCTTGGTCCCATGTTCTAAAGCTGAAATATACCATACTCAAAAACCCCCGGCCCGCCACTGATTCTAGGAAACTTTAAGAAAAAACGCAAAAACTTTCTGGCCAACCTAATATCAATATGTCCATGTTGAAATCTGTTTAATTGATAATCATTTGATTTAAGCTCAGTTTCTCTAATTTAATTAGTTTGACAGAATATTGTTAAATAAACATTCATATGAGTTACAATAGGATTCTGTTACCAGTTTTAATTCGAATAATCTATAAAACTCGGTGAAAATAATCAGTTTTACCGAGATTGTATTCATTCGCACCATTGATTAGTTCCGATTCTAAAACATCAATACTGTTTTCAAATAATTGATTGATATCAATTGAACAATCAAGAAATTTAGAATATTCTAATGAAATATGTGTCCAAATTATGTCTTCAAAATTACCATTAATGAAAAAACAGTATTCACATGAAATAAAACTCATATTAACCGAGTACATATTTGAGTTAATAAATGTCACATTGTAAAATTTAGCATAACTCAAATCTGTTTCATAGAAATTCATATATTTAAAAACTGAATCTTGAATAGTACTTTTGATTAGTGAAGACTTGTCCATAATTGTATTTGTAAATATCGAATTATAAATTCCTATTTGAGATGCTTGCACATTTGACCAATCTGATTTAGTAAAATTAATTGCTTTAAAACTAGCTGAATGAATTAGTGCATGAGTAAAATTTGTATAATCGAATAGAAGTCGATTCTTGGAAAGATAAAATGTATGAGAAACTTGAATAATTTAAATTGACTTTCGCTATAATAATCCACGACAGGTGAACCTGTCTTTTTCTTTATGAAATGCTGTCTTTATTAGATCGAATATTCTGAAGCAGAAATGAAGATTTTTGTCATGTATATTGTCGAAAAGCAAAAAATGACCAAGAAAAAAAAGAATTTGTTTTTGCCGAGGAATGATTATAATTGTCAACAAATGGTATCGATCGCCTCCTATTTGTGTAACTAAATTGGAATGATCCTATACACTCAAAGTTGGAACCTAAAACTGAAAAGCATTGTGGAGTCAGGGGAAAGTCATACTATTGATCAGCAACAGTACAATGATTCAATCGATTGAAAAAATTGTTTTCTGTATACTTTCGAAGGTAATACAAATATAGGAAAAGTCACCATAGAAGAAATGAATGAAATAAAATAACCACTTAAAAATAACCAAGGATCTCGAACAGATTTCATACATTCAGATAAGAACGGAATAAGGAGCCGAGGTGATGCTAATAGTATAAGAATACATGGCGAAATGAGAAGATGTTTGTGATTTTGTAATTGTTGGTAAAAATGTTCTATATAAATCTGTTTTCTCTGGATGTTTGATCGTGTTCGAGCAGTAACAACAATAATGATTAGAGTAGAAATCAAATTAATGGAAAATGGAAGGAGAAAATGAAGAAGATTAATAATCGAATCAAACATCTGAATAGAAGGTGACAGTGTGATTACACACCATGTTCGTTCTTCATCTTCATCATCCATAAGACGACGATGTAACGGTTCTTGAATATTTGTACAAGTAACAATGAGGAAAATAATAATAATCATCCATTTTGCTATTTTTTTACTTTTTCTCTTGTTGAAAACAGCTCCGTTCGAAATGATTACTCTTTCAATTGCAATACAAGCATGAAGCCAATCGCTGACACTTAGACAGATACGAATAATAAACTCCATAGATCGACATTGACCAAGAATAAATAAACGATTTCTTATTAAACTCATTTGCGTTATAAGCATAAAGCAGGTTTTTAATAGAAAAGCATTCATAGTAAATGTAGTAACGATTGACAATGCTAACAAATAAATGTCACAGCCTATTTTACGTGTTTGCTTTTTGCAAAACGTCATAGCTAATAAAAATGCATTGATTTGACCCAGTATGAATATAGTTGTGGTAAGAACTATGGATACTTTCACAGCAGTCGATTGCTGGCTTAACACAATATTCGGTCGTATTTGGTATCCAAGAATTGCATCTAATGACAGACGAAAACCTTTCGTTGAAAATTGACAACGTGGTCCGTAAAAACATGTAGGACAAACACAGATAAATGATGTCGGACACTTTTGATCATCTTGGAAACATTGACCACCGTTTTCGCATGGACTTAATCCATAACAATTATTTGTAACATCAATGTTAAATTTGAAACAATTAGCATGTCGAGAAAGATCACATAAACACAGATGAACAGCATCATAGAAACAAATTAATTCTTTTCGCTGTTGACATGGAACATGATAATGTTTTATACGTCGTAATAAATGTTGGTTAGCAATTGTGGTGTTGAATAGTTGTTGAATGGATAAACATTGGTTTGAAAGAGTAATTTGTGTTGAAATATCTTCGGCGTCAATATATGATTTTCGAAGAACAATCAAATGATATTTGTCTTGAAATTGTGCAAAAGCTATATTGAATATAATCGAAGTATGTATTGTAATTTTAGTTTGATGAAATGGAATTAATTTTGATATTGTTGTTTGGATATGTGGAGATTCAGTAAATGTCTCAATAAAATGAATAAATATAGATTCAGGAATATTAAAATTATCTGCAAACGATATGTCAAGACGAGTTTGATTAAATTGACAAGAATTCCCATTATAGCCTTCAGGACAAATACAAGTCGACATAGAAATCATATTTTGTATCGTTTCTCCACGTGAATCATCCATTACACACCGTCCATTATTTAAACATTTATTTTCTTTACATAATATCTGATTGAGATAGCACAGAGAACCGAATTTATGGACAGAACATATGCATATTGATTGATCAATACAAAGTGAACCTGATGAACAATTACATTGATGTGCGATCGAACATTGACTACCTGACCAACCATGATCACATCGACAGAAGAATGTATTTTCAGTATTTGTATATTTTATACATTGACCATGAATACATGGCAATGGACAATATGTTATTGGTTGAACAGATGAAATTGGAATAATAAGTTGAGTTGCTAAAGGATATACAGGTAAAAATGAAAATAAAATCGGAAAAATCCAGCTTGCTCGATAATTTAATGTTAACTTGTTAAATATATCAATACGTACACTATAATTTTTAGTATTATCTTTTGGTCGAGTAGAATAAAGCAAATTGACATGAAATTTTTTTTACAATCTCGAATGGGTAAATATTCTATCCAATCATGGGAATGAACTTTTCCTTCATTATCCAATAGGAGAAACAAGACAGTGAAAAGTGTCCTCCAGTCCGATGCTACATATAATTGAATAATGATACTAACACGTTCATTTTGATATTGACATGTTTCTCCATAATAACTTGGTGGACAAAGACATCGCTCTGATTTATTTTCACTGCTGTTCATTCGAATACGAATGTTTAAGCCACGGTTACATTGTAACATCCAATCATTTTCAATGTCAGAATTCGGTGTACTTTTAAGTAGTGAGTCTTCAGATAAACTTTTTGTAACGTCATTGTTCAAATTAGATGGATAAATTAGCATATTTTCAAGTGTAAAATAAATGAGTTTTTTTCTTGAAAAATCATGTAGATTGTGGAAAAATTTTTCAATTTTCCATGAAGATTCAGCACTGATACTAAATTCTGACGATATCTCATCATTTATACAGAATTGTTCATCATCACCAAATCTACAATCTTCAATTCCATCACAAATATCAAGTACATCAATGCATTTAGTATCATTCCAACAATAAAAGCGTAAGTGTTTATCATTTTCATGAAGCATTCGACAGTGTTGACGTTCATCGGATGCTCCAAGACAATCAATATTATCATTACCAGTTTGATTCAAACGTATACATTGTAATTTGTTAGGTTCGTTCGGAAAAACACACATATGATGAAAAGATGGACAAATAGAATCTTTACAATTGATTTCATCTATTCCGTTTTTACATGTCCAAATACCATCACATCGATTATAAATACTATCACATGGCCAATATTCACATTCGGTTTCATCTGTTTCATTTCGACCATCAATCATTATTGGAATGAGTTCTTCATATCCATTACAAATTGTTTGAAAATAAATATGGTATTTTCCCATGAATTTACCGATTTCTGATTCATCTTCTCCTGTTGGACAATCATAATATATATTTCCAACGATTATATGTGCAAAACATCGTTTCTGATCATTGAAACATCGAAAACGATCATCACTATCACTCAATTCACAACTTTCACTGTAATCTTCATCATCCTGATATGGGCAATCTTTGAAACCATCGACGAGACGATATTTTGAAATACATTTTGTAGAATTCTTACATTGGTACGCATTTGCATGATTACAATCATATGTTCCAGTTGAGACAATTGCACAAGCACGAAAAATTCGTTTGAGATGCTGAATAAACCCTTCGAAATCTATTTCACTGTTCATTGTAGATATATCGAACTGATCAATATAACGACAAGCGGATCCATTCAAATAAATGGTAGCTGGCAAAAAATCTTCGCATAATTTTTCATTGTAACATACATATGATGGTAAGAAAGTTTTGTTAATCATTTTTTTAATTTCATACACCAAACGCACATGACCGAATAAAACAGAATCTGGAGGAAATTCTAATAAAGCTGAACAATTGTCAGAAATATAGTTGATATCTGAACAAATTTCCTCGCACCATTGATCACAGCGATCATCAACGATTTTCACTAGACAATCTAATGCATTAAAACATGATCCATTAGGTAAAATACTACCCTTCCCATTATAACACATTGTTCCCATTTCCGTCATACATTGACCATCTCCACATGCAAATTCATGTGTACCTGGTCGACATGTCCGATCTTCGCATCTAAAAGAAGGATCTTGAATGCATGAAAATAGACCTTCAACATATAATGATTCGTCACTTCGATCTAGACAATCTGGATAAAAAGAATTATCCAAGAGAAAACTTTTCGGTATACATTGTCCATTGTGACAACGAAATTCATTACTAATACATTCGTTCATTTCCAATAACCAGCAATCAGACTCATCAGTTCCATCTAAACAATCCATTTTTCCATCACATATGTCACGCCAATCGAGACATATTAATAATGTGTCACATTTTAAATGTAAATAGCATGTAATCATTGTGTTGTTAATGTTCGGTATTTTTGATTCGAAAGTATCTTGAACTAAGGCATGGAAATATTTACTACGAAAATAATCAAATGAAAATTGACAAACAGGTCCAAACCAAGGCCATGAACACTTGTAAAATACATATTGATCATCTTTGAAAGGTACGAAAGATTTTTTATTCTCTATATATATCTGATAACGCTCTGCGAGATCAATTGTAGCTGACCATTGAAGTAATTCTTGACTAGTTATATTTTGTTCATATAAAGTATTGAAAGTAAAATGTGGATCGTACGTATTATCGAAGTTTGCATCATATATACGTGTACTCTGTGTATCAGATCTGAAACAATATGGAATAATTTGTTGCATCTTTGTATGTCGAAATTCAGGAAAATGATCCAAACAATAATTATCTTGTTCATGATCTATATTATACATATTGAATTGATTAAATCCCACAATATGTATGAAATACAACGCAAGCGCACATAACATCAGTATCGTTGATATGTGAATACTTATTAAAAATACTTTGTCAGTATAGTTCAAAATTTATTTTCTTTTTCTATTAATAATTCTGTCAAACTCGCAATCGCAAATTAAATAGTTACTTTCTCTTTCATTTATTTTTATCAGCTAACAGAAATTTAGAAGGTTCTATTTGTAACTTATTAGTTGTACTACTAGAAAAATATAAGATAATATTCTATATCAAATAAAGATTTATTTGGTAACTCATTGTTCAAAATAATAAAAATAATATTGAAAATGTTAAATTAAAAAAAGAGATTGATGTTCATTGTGTTAATTAAGTAGAATTTCCTTTTATCTTAATATATGAATATTCTTCATCCATAGAACGTCAATACTTTCAATAATCTCTTCTTTTATTGATTTTCATAAAAACATCAGACTACTCAAATATGCTTATCAACTAAAATGAATCTTATTAAAATTAATAACATGTGTTTCGAAGTTATATTATGTTGTTTTTATTTCATACAAAGAATTTTATAGATGAAGAAACTTCAATCAAAATATCATCCTTGGGGATGTAGATGAGGATTAGGAAACGAAAGCGATTTCTATTCGCAATCATTCTAGTAAAGAATCAGGGGCGACTATGTCATGTTATTTATTTTTATTTCAACATTTGAAGATGACGAAAAATGAAATTAGTTTTTATTATACTATTCGAAAAAGAAATCATTTTATTTCTTTTTGATAATGTAAAATGAAATGTTGATATTCATTTTAATAAAAACTACACCATAGAAACCATTATTTGTTGATTCCATGTCGGTCACAAGTCCGGATAAAGGAGGAGTGTTGAACGGAAGGGGTGCATATATCACCGTCTGTAAAAAGAGCAAGACGAGAGACAGCAACTAACCGCGAACGATTTAAGAGGAAATTCATACCAGCTCGGACGGCGCCCGAGAAGACCAGGGCAGAGTCGATAAATTGGCGACTGGAAAGAACTCATACACGAAACAACTAGCTCTTGCCAAAAATTCTTTAACAGTTGGAAGATGGAATGTACAGACCCTATGGCCTGCTGGAAAATTGGAATTATTGCGAAATGAAATGAAACGTTTCACATATGATATAATTGGTATTTCTGAAGTTCGATGGACAGGAAAAGGTGAAACACCGAATGGAGATTTCATCTGGTCAGGAGAAGAAACTGTACATATGAGGGGTGTCGGTTTCTTATTAAGTACACAAGCAAAAAAAAGCATTAATAGGATATAATCCAATCAGTCCACGAATAATTTCGGCGCGATTTGATGCTACACCATTTAAGACAAGTAACGCGATGACAACATCGCTGACCCTCTACTGAAAGGAATTGATATTATGAAGCTTATAGTGTGCATACACAGGCTGTATAAACAATACGACAGCTTGCGTATATCTCTCGGATATATACAGATATAAAAATATCTGGGCAGTAAAATAAATNTTAAGACGAAGTATTAAAACAAGACAATCGCTTGATTAATCTAAAGTGATGCCGCCAATTATTACTTAATATATATGTGCAAATTTGAGTGGGTAAGAATCTTTTGAAAACATAACTGATATGTCTAATCGAGTAAAAAGCATGACTTTTTGGTCATCCATCCTTCTGTATCGTTTTCAGATCGTGTTTTCCCAGTCGTTCTATACTTTGTGTGTTTGTAGAAAATTTCTTTGAATTATCTGAGAATAAATACCGTCTGGCAACATATAATTTATTTCATTGAGAATCCTTTTACATTTCTTGACCACTTCAGAGATAATGACTGTTGATCATCGTCGATAAGACTTAAAAATTGCTTGAAAATCCCATCACAACGACTCACAATTATTTGTTTGTCTTCATCAATGACAGATTTGAGACTATTCGCGTAAATTAAATGAAGTTGTTCAACATCTTCATTTAATTCTTCGACTGATTTGTATTGTTTCGGACAAGGCAAAACACGACGCTTGATTGTTCCTGAATAGAATTTCGCTAATTGGTCGTAAACTTCCACCACCTTCTGATAAATCATCGATACTTTTGTTCTGCTTTGCGATTGTGCTAGTAATTCATCTGCTACTGTTTGCACAAGATCTGTTAAATAACATTTGTCTCTCCACTCCTTCGGAATCTGATCAATACCATAAAAAGCACCTGCTAACATTCCATAAATCGCTCCCACTGTGTCAGCATCATCTCCTAAGTTCACTGCTTTCAATGCCCCTTCTTCGAACGAGTTTGAATGATAAAAAGCCCACAGTGCCGCTTCCATTGTTTCGATAACAAATCCAGAAGCTTTGATTTCTGGTGGATTCAGATGTTTATATGATCCCTTCATAACTTTTAAAACATCTGTTTCGACTGTATTGATGATCCAATAATCATCCGGTAAGCCATTTGGAAGAAACAGTTTCTCGTCATTCAATAAATCATTTTTTGAAAATCCTTGTAAAGCACCAATGATTAAACTAGTGTAGATTCGACAACAATCCAAGCAGAAAGATGAAGCATGCGTTGTTTTTGATGAATTCATCGCTTCGATCATTGCTTGCAAAGGATTTTCGCGATAGAGTAATGGAATCGATGCTAAACGCATCAACGAACCATTGCCCGATGCTTTTTGACTTGTATTTCCGTAATAGGCAGTTGAACTGATTGACTGTTTATCCGAATCGGAAATAAACTTATTCAAAGCAACTCGAACAGTTATTCCGATATCAAAACATTCGCCATTCGATGATAAATAACCATTTTCATACCAACGTCGATAAAGATTCATTTGTTTGACTGACTGATGAGTTGTTGAATCGTCATTGTCGTCCAATAGAGCGAACGCTAAGCATAATGCCATAGATCCATCATCGGTAAATTGACCAGGCTTTAATTGAAACTTTCCACCACCTCGTAATGTTTTCACTGGATCAAATGAGCCTGATGTCTGACATTCAACAGCAGTTCCGAGTGAATCGCAAATTAATAGACCAAACAATGAACCAGACACACGATCTGATAAGTTGATTTCGTTAGAAGACATAGAATTATTTCCGAATAACAAGACGATTGTATTTATACTGTTTTCTTCGTCTTACATCAAAAGAAAAAAACAGACATAAAAAAGAATGTTGTCGTCAGGTTTTTTTCTTTCCTTCTGTTGATACTCTTCTGAGTTACCAAAGACATTACTCGATGACTAACACAGCCGAAATGCTGGTCTTCTTAGCATGACTATTCCACAAATACAAGCAAAAGTCACCTACACAGAACTCTTTTTTCTTCTAGAAAATTCCCTTATAAATAGTTTGAGCTGACACTTGTCATGTAGTATTGTTAATCACATGTGTTGGACTATTGTGTATTACAACATTGTGCTTCGGTGAAGTTTGAAAAAAAAAACTCTTTCGAACAGTGTACATATTCAACAGACAAAGTCATTGATAAGTTAACTAGAATGAATTCTGCATTGAAGTCACGGTGGTAGAAGAGTTCCAAAATATTTTGACTTTGTTGAACATATATTTTATTATTATCACACCCGATCATTATAGTTAAAGTCTGAGAACAATGTTTATGAACTTACTTATCCAAGTAGTTTAGTCAAGAATCGTGATCAATCTTTATGTTTCGTGCAGCGATGCATTCCTTAAAGTTAAAATGATCATAATTAATGATATGATAACAAGAAAAGTAATTCATAGCACGGATTTATCATCTATGTGTAATAGATTTTAGATATTTGATTCGAACTTATACACGGCTTGAGGTGGATGGGTTTTTATTTGATATAATTGGGAGATTGCTGAGAATCACAAATGTTTTGTATTGAAACTAAAAGTGCGATATTTCACTGAAGGGTTCTTATCGTCTTTGACATGTATTTAACAGATTGATCGAAATTAATGAATTTGATGAAACTTATTAATTTGCTACTCGATTCAAATTCGCACGACGAAGCTTCAGGTTGTTTCAATATTCCCATAATAACAGGTAAAAGAAATCGATTTCTCGGAAAGTACTACTCTCTAATTCAATCTTACCGATAGATGTCACTTTGATAATCTCAGATGCGACCTGCATTGAAATTATCACAAAAGTTTTCTCCAGTTAGTCTGCCTCTGCATCACTATACACTTGTGTCACACTATGGCACTGAATATCGTCGACACAGAATGCCATCTAAGAAATGCTTGTTTGATGTTTTGCTTAACCTTTCGTCCACGTTGTGGGATCCAAGCAGGCCTGTTCTGCGCTTTTTTGATGCGGCATGCCTTTGATGTAATCTGTAGTCAAGTATTGATAGTTAATATCATAAAGATAACTTGCATATAATGCTAAACTAGAGAAAACTAATCTATGGGTCCGCTTAGGCCCTGTGACAGCGACGGTGTTATATGATCACTTTTTATCTAAGTGCAACTGTCCCATTTTGTCTTCCAATAACTTTTACAATTGTATTCGTTATGGTTGGTTCGTATGTTGATCACTGCGCAAAAGATTCATATCTTTATTTTACAAAACCAAAGAGAGAAAGCTATACTCCAGTACTCTATCTTACTCCAGTCATACACTAACTTATTCTAGCAGTACTCTCAATCCTTTTTGGAGTATTTGAGTATCGCTATCCCCCTCTCTTGAGTGAGAGGCTCAGTTTCTCTTTAAAAACACCTGAGTTCTATCAGATAACTTTGGAAAATGGCTACTTTCTTTTATAAATAATCAAACTGAAATTCAAATATCTTATGAAATTACTCATTGATTGACTTCTACTAATATTTATTACCAGATCTTCAAATATTTATGTCGTACAAAATTTTCAAATAAAATAAAGCGACTTATCTATATTGATGGTAGCAAGTTTTGTACATTTTTACCCGACGCTTAAAGAAAAATAGCCAGTTTTCGCCATCTTCGACAGCAATAACAACGACATTTA